AAGCATGATAAGGAAATCAAACACAAACTGGCAACTGTATGACGCATCTTCCTATATAGGTCCCCTCCCATTTACCCTGCGCTAAAAGAATATGTATGTTTTTATATACAATATTATCAGCTATGCTTGCACTTAGATATAATCATTGCAAATGTGTTTTACAAAAACCCTGCATGAAACAAAATCCTTCATCAATAAAAAAAAATAATAAAAAAATGAAGGTTATAACATTGTCTGTACAGATCAATTGAGAGAGGACCTAGGAATATACCTTTTGATACAATTCGATTGTGAGGGCATTTTAAGAGTCAGCTTTTTCAGGGATACTCTTCTTTATCGTATTCGTCCACGCTATCGTAAAAAAAGAAATGGAAAACTCAATAATCACCGTTCCCAGACCTCCTCTCTAACAGTGCATGGTAAGAAAATAATATCGAGATGCCGGTGCTATGCATGCGTAGTGAATTTGATCAAACACGTTTCAAGGACGTACTTATCCACAACCATGATCGCCGAAATAGGCCGAAGACGTTATCGTCTCAGTGGAGAGAAAATCAATTTTCTCAAATCATTTTTTCCATAAAGTATTTTTCACATAAAGCCTCCTTATATGTTGGGAAGCTTCAATTTCTGTATCAATGTTTGACCTTTCGAATCGAAAGAAAGGTCAGGTCGAAACTATGATTTTTCATATATTTTTTCCAGACAAGTTTGCTTCTACTTGAAGTTGACTGCCATGCATAAAGATTAACGATACAGCTAGGTGAAAATATTTTGGGGGCTTACAAAGTATGGAGAACTCAAAAAATTCACTTTTAAATGATTAACCAGACAGTGTACATACCTTAATGTCCATCAATTATTTAGTTGCGGTTCCAGGGGTGCACATTTGCAAAAAAATATCAAGTAAGATGAAAGTGGTTTTAAATATCAGACAATAAAACAAGCCAGCATACAGGCAAGCAAGCAAGAAAGCAAGAAACAAAAATATAATGAAATTATGTGTGGTGATGTGTAAACAAGGCTCAAAGAAGCCAACATTTACAGAAGGATCGTTTTTAATTTAGGGTGTGTATGAGCGTGTCTCACTCCTCCCCGTCTAAATAAGCCTCTTTCTTCTGAAGACGATTGTCATATATATTTGCATATCTTAGAAATGAACACTCATTATCTTACATCAATATAAAGAAGTAATTTGCAATGTCTTTATTTAGTACAAGTTATAAAATGATGCAGAAAAATATCCCTTATTAACATTAATGAAAGAGTTGCACTGAATGTTGCCTGTTTGTTTTAAGATGTATACGTTGCTATGATTTTCGATGTGAAAATATTAATGTATAAATGTAAGCGAGGGTCTTTATGAGGATTTTAATGCCTCTTTAACCCGTGTTTTAGCACTTCTTTTTACATGTTAAGTGTTTTGCCCAAATAGTTTTTGTGTTCCGACATTAATGAAGAAGGATTACAAATTTGTATCATCTTTTTAAGGAATATATTTTTGAGGGTTTCTCGGTCTAAAGGAGTGGTAAATTTATTCTTACATTTGCTGTTAGTGATTGATTTGTTATTGATCTTACATTATTTTTTTTCTACACCACTCTGAAACTCTGAAACCACACAATTCATATTAATTTCGATTCTGCAGGGCCCGCAGTTTTTGTAAATGACAATTCTACCCTGATTCACAAACACTGAATAATGGAACAAAAGATGATATATTTTTCCATGTATTTCGTGAAATATAGCTGATAATATATTCCTGCCATACTGATTATATTTTTTTTTCCCCTGGTAGGCAGATGTTAGCATGATTACTGGCAAACTTTATCTTCTAAGGCAAATAATACCCACTTTAGAAGCCTGGTCATTTCAAAGGTAGCGTCGTGATATTACATTGTTTTTGAAATTCTATCGCAAGTAACTTATTTTTTCTCTTTTTTTAGCGCTGAGTCATTTAAATGAAAAAAAAATGTCCGACCGCAGACGTATCTGGAGGATAGTCAACATGTTCGCCTCTCTTATTCTTTCTCTCTGCCTCTGTGCCTCTGTGTCTGTCTGTCTGTCTGTCTCTGTCTGTCTGTCTCTGTCTCTGTCTCTGTCTATCTGTCTCTCTCTCTCTCTCTCTCTGTGTCTCTCTCTGTCTCTCTCTCTCTCTCTGTGTCTTCCTCTCTATCTCCACCTCTTTCTTCCAACCCCTCTCTCTCTCCCCCTTCCCACTCGAAGGTTGAATGAACTAATACATCTAATGCATCGTTAGTCTCTTGGTGAAAGATATACTCATCAATTCTGGATGTCCGATGGAAGCTTACCGCGAAGAAGTCGCGTGTCTTAGGATGTTGACCTACATGAAAGGGACCTGATAGCTTTCCATGGTATTATCAATCTTATTGTACCTCACACGGTCACACCTTTAGTGATTAATGACACCCTTGGTAAAAATAACAGGAAAAGGGAAGAAAACATTTCCTAAATGCCATTCTCAAAGAGAGGTTAAATGTTTTATTTTGTTTAACCACAATTCATGTCTCATAGTTCTCATTCAATGAAAATAAACGTTCTCAACATGTTCTCAATATAAAACACATAAAAATAAAAGTACATGAAGAAGGTCATGCGTGGAAAAGGAGATTATGGTATCTCGAGTACATGGCATATAGCCATACATGTTTTCAAACTGAGCCAAACAACAACGACATTAAGAAATAAAGGAAAAACCCCGACAACTACCAGAGTTATCTCACTCATATCCTTTGTACCGGGTAAGGTATATCAAATATCGAACGACCGGAGATGTATGAATATTGGCATTTTGTACATGTATCATAATTAACGATGCCTTGCACCGTATTGTTTGCAGTGTAAATACCAGAACTTTGCTGCAATTCATCAAGTGTGTGTGGGTTTCGTCAAATGTACACACTCGATTGAAAAATTGTGCACGTGCTTCTATTACGTCAGCAACTTCGTTGATAAACACTTTAAGAAATTAGAAATGAAGAAGGGAATCGAGCATTTTTTTGTTAATCATAGGCCCGAGTTGCTGTACGGCGAGGCGCAAACATCGTGAACATGGCGAATAAAGTATGGTTCAGTTCGTGTTTTCCGAGGCGAATGATGTAGAAGATGAGGTGCTCACAAACCCTGAGAAATATGTGGAGGTGGTGAGTCAATACCACTCATTGGTATATCCAGCAAAAGCTGAAGCACCCCCCCCCCCCCACCCCCACCCCCTTGACTGTGGTCTGTCCGGTCGGGAAAATCGATACAACTCGCTCCGAGTATATACGGTTTAGGGCCATACAGCAGACTCTGCGCGACGTAGATGTAGGACCCCATCCTCAGGAGGGTCCTATTGATGATTATGATGATGATGGTGATGATGATGATGATGATGATGATGATGATGGTGATGGTGATGATGATGGTGGTGGTGATAATGATGATAGCAGTGAGGATGATGGTGGTGATGATGGTGGCGATGATTATGATGGTGGTGATGATGATGGTGGTGATGATGATGGTGGTGATGATGATGGTGATGATGATGATGGTGGCGATGATTATGATGATAGCAGTGAGGATGATGGTGGTGATGATGGTGGCGATGATGATGATGGTGGTGATGATGATGATGGTGATGATGATGGTGGTGGTGGTGATGATGATGATAGCAGTGAGGATGATGGTGATGATGATGGTGGTGATGATGATGGTGGTGATGATGATGGTGATGATGATGATGGTGGTGATGATGATGATGATGATGGTGGTAATGATGATGATGATGGTGGTGGTGGTGATGATGATGATGATGATGATGATGACGATGATGATGATGGCGGGGGTGGTGGTGGTGGTGATGATGATGGTGGTGGTGGTGGTGGTGATGATGATGATGAAGGTGGTGGTCATGATGATGGTGGTGGTCATGATGATGGTGGTGGTCATGATGATGATGATGATGATGTGATGGTGATGAAAATGATGATGATGGTTATGATGATGGTCATGAAGTTGACGATGGTGATGGTGGTGGTGATGATGATAATGATGATGAAGGTGATGGTGATGAAAATGATGATGATGGTTATGATTATGGACATCATGTTGACGATGGTGAAGATAATGGTGATGATGATGAAGATGATAATGGTTCAGTGACATGAAAGCATTAGCGTATTCAAAATATCATTAACGGTATCACAGCAGGCTTATAGCTAGATTTCTATTTGGTTGCCTTGATAAGATCATATATTTATTGAGTGTTCCATTCCGACATAAAGATACGTTATTTCAAAAATGTCTATTTCCTGTACCGATATATCGGATAACTGTCCGTGCACATAATTGAAGAAAAATGTTCAGTTAAGTGTAATTGTATATCAGAAAATGTATCCACCGAGTGATTTATCATTTTGATAATTGGGATGTCGAAAACACCTTTCAGGGAATCGCCTGAAGGCATATGATATTGGTTTTCAAATATAGGAAAGGGAGACCAATCAGTCAGTCAAATGAAAAAAATGGTAAGAGGGTTGATGTGTAACTAGGTACTAGATACTCCTTTAAGCCTTTATTTCGGTTGATTTGTGTATGAATCTTATATAAATATTTTTTTAGAACTGAAATAATCACGTAGTTTAGCGTGTTGAAATATTATGTGTTTAGATTTATTGTCATGGGGTTAACACACTCAAAATAATTCACTATAAGTATACATATAATCATCTCATAATTTAGGCAGGTTTACTGGCCCATGCACCCCTAGCCTCTTGTCGATGGCCCTCGCGTTGTTGGAGTCCGTAAATTCTGGCGAGCGAAGCGAGCCAGAGAAACTGAGGCGCCCCAGCGCAAGCGTTTCGCTCGCCAGGACTTACGGACCCCAACAACGCGAGGGCCATCGACAATTAAGAGGCTAATGCACCCCGGAATCGGCGACCAAAAGATGATAACTCATTGTGTTGTTCGTCCGTTTGCAAATCATACAAATTCGCAGCGTTTCACTTATAATATGATTACTTATGATTTCCCCCTTTTTCTTTAGAAGGATGTCACACCTAACAACGCCATGGCATTTTAACGGTAGACCAACACCACTGATCTACAACACGTATTTCCCTTTGACATTGCAGGATGGCTACTGAACACCTCGACATGCAGATGATGCAGCAGCTGGTGGTAGATCCACCCTACCAATCCTTGGAACCCAAGGTATCATACAGACCACGTTACAAATCGACCGGCGGCATGATCACAGGCATCATTCAGCTTCTGTGCGGCTTCGTCGTGTTCGTTCTTGGAATCGTTTGCCATGCCATGAACCTGACCATGTCAATGGCCATTATCGGTGTCTGGGCTGGACTAGGGGTAAGAATGTGATATTGATATATTTGAAATGTCCAGTAAGTCTTCTGGCCCATGCATAGGCTAATCATAATATAATTAGCCAATTATAGCATGTCATTGCGTAATTAAAAACCATATTGGACCTCGTAATCACATTTTCTAAAAACTTCTGGTAACAGTGTGATTAATGCGTAGGCGATGCACACCACAAAATATCATTCTCTGACGTAAGTAACAAATGTTATTGCACATTAATAGTTGTTATCGCGTGGCATACTTTTTAGAATACCTTCCAAGTGATCTTGTTGAGTCCCTTATCCCACACCGAATGCTTAAATCTTTGAACCAATATCCCTTTTTCTCTTACGTAGTATTTCCCCAGTTCTTGAGTAAACATAATAGCCTGCGACAGAAAAATTATACTAAACCTTTTTCAGAGGATGTTGTTTCGAATAGCCCAGAGCTAATTTTAGAAGAAAAAAAAGGAAAGTGATTAAAATGAAAAAGACCCCTCCCTCACCTTCCACATTCTCCCATTACTCAATGACTTTTAAACGTAATTTGTATCCATCTGGTAAGATGGGTGTCAATAACCTCCCCCCCCCCCCCCCCCCCGCCAAACCATGATGCCAGCCGCTCAATCTTCATCTCCTGTTTTTATCATCATGTTTTCTTATCAATTTTCCATGATCGCGGGGAAAAACCCACACCCCCTTTGGAAGCTGTCTTAATAGTCGTTCGGCAGTGTACGCTGAGCGTGATATAATTCAGAGTAATTTAAGGGGCATCTCAACAAATTAGTGATGGAATATCGATCTCTGGGGACCGCCGAATTGACGGAGATGGGAGAAAAAGGATGCCGGGGAAATATTTAAAGAGAAAGTAGGCACACATCGAGGCGATATTATGAGAGATTGTGTTTCGCGGCATATAAAGCCAGCGCTTTGGTAACACGATCGCTCAGACTTTCGTAAAATCAACAAAAGCGAAATTTCAATACCTTATTTTATATGTCATAGATACCATGTTCGGATAACGAGCTAGAAATAGGTCAATGTAATATTCAAATAATATGTCAATTGGTGACGTCATTGAAGATAAAGTTGAGTTCTGGTCATGCGATTACATTGTGAAAGAAAAGGTGTGGAATGGATCAAAGAAGGTTGATCAAAGCATGTAAGTATTGGTGTGTACTGCAAGGTTCTGGAGTCATCAAAATCATAATAGATTTGGTCCAGTCTTGGTAAAAACAAGCACTGTACACAGAAAGATGTATATTGGGACTACACAAAATGGTGTCGGGGCTACTTACCTTGATTTCCATATCTTTCTATGCTCATTACTCAGCCAGTATACATTTTCTGCCAAAATTGTTTGGCTAATAACTTTTATTTGTAATCTTGAAAATTCAGTGTAAGTTTCGTTTGATTCTGTGAGAATTTTTTAATTTTTTTTTTTTTTTTACCAGAACTCGAGTTTATCTTTGATATTGCCTGAGTTCGATTTTAACCACAGTCCTTGTGATCGTACCTGGTGCATTTACAGGTCTCTGTTTTTACAAGAAGGAACCGAATTATGGCTTAATCTTTATATCCCTCACTTAGAAATGTAAATATCCAGACAATTTTCAAGTTTTCTCACCAAGTATTAATTATTATATTTTTACGCCTTTTGTTCTGTTTTGTTTAATCAATAAAATTTCTCTTAAAAATCTATGTTGAGGGGCCATGAAACAACTTCAAGCCACCACTTGATCACAGATATTTATTTCTGAGTCATTTTGTGTGATTGAATTAATGAGAACAAGTTTTCCGCCACTAAAATCATAGCCAATTTGAAGAGCTCATAGCTACACTGATCACAACCTTCGAAAATTCAGAACTTTCTCTTTTTTCCGATTTCATCCAAATTTCCACCATTCTACTAATCAGAGAATCTCTGATTTGTCTGCTTTCTTCTTGAGAAGTTTGCTATCAAGGTTGGATTTCCCTGGAATGGGGTAAAAGTAATCTTTCTCAGAGATGTCTTGTTCTTGTGGGTGTGTTACGGGATTTTCACACATCGATAAACTGAGTTCACATCCTGGCAGAAAAAAGGAATTACACTATAGGCATTCTTGAACAGCGGAAACTGAAAAGAAAATATAATTAAACGTTAACAACACTGAATGCTAAGAGCATCTTAGGCCTAAATGGCAACTCGGCTGAAGCCTTTGTCAGTTTTTGTAATAACAATGGAGCATGCAACATGCAGCTCGATGTATTTATTCAGCAATTGTGCAATATAAATCTGCAATATCAATATTATTTATATCATTCGTCTTATCTTCTCTTCCCCGACAGTTCTTCGCTCTGAGTGGGGTGCTGGGCATCACTTCATCACGAAGACAAACAAGTGTTGTAAGTATTACAAAATAGAGTAGTGGAGTAGCTAGAGTGTTTCACGGGGGCTCATTCCCCATCATAGTATAGGAGCACTGTGGTGTATTGTTAAAGGCTCATGACTCTTACAGTTGCGGAAAGTCCTAGGTTCGATCCCTTGCATGGTGCTTAGATCCTCTGACAAGGTGTTTGCCCATATAACCCTCCCGACCAAGATCAAATGGATATCTAGCAGTGCTGGAGAGTGATTTGATAAGTTACACAGGGCCCTCGGGAAGAGCAGTATTAATACTGATGAGGTTACTACTCTTAGTAAATAAGAAATTGTGATTATTATTCTCAAATGGTTGAAAAAAACTTGAAAAGGGAGAAAGAGAAGGGAAAAAAATGGGGGGAAATGTAGAAATGAACATTAAAAAAGAAGATGCATTCCACACTTCGCCCTCCCCTCTCAGTAGCCTTATCAAAACTTATTGCACCCCCCCCCCCCCCGATGCCATTGCCCCTCCAATGTCGGGCCCGTTTTACACCACTGAAACTGAATACGTACACTATAGCCTAGCCAGGGGATGGGGCGCGTAAGGATAGCACCCCCCCCCCCCCCCCCCCAACTACAGATCTCATGAACATTTTCCTGATTTTCTCGGCTGGACGAAAGCAAACCAATTTAATTTTTGTCCAGTTTATCGGTACATCATACATGTCATATTATAAGTTGCTCAACAATCCGAACATTAGAAAGCGGTCTCCTCTTTAACGGCTGGCTGGATTTCAGTGCTATACATAATAATTATGTGTGGGGGTTGGTGCGGGGGAGGATGAAGAAGAAGAGGGTCATGATCATAGACGCAACAGAAAGCCCGTCGGCATCTTCAGAATACGATTATTATTGTTATTATTATTATTATAATCATCATTTTTATAATCTCTTCATTTCAAGTGTTCTCTAATCCAATTTCAAAACCCTGCCCATCAACGTCAAACAGACATTTTAGCCCAAACAATTCGATGGCTGATATTTATGATCTGTCTCGAAATTCATGGTTTGTTCTTATAAAGGTAATACAAAGTTTGGGGAAATTTAGAAAATTGGGTGGATAGTGAATCTTTACAATTTTGATATATTTGGATACCCATGTGAGCGTATTAAAAGCACTACAAAAATTTAGCCTCTAAAACACTTCTGTTTTCGAGAAAAATTGAATATAAAAATTTACCGGTGCTCCCGGTAAATTTTGATGAATTTCAAATAGCGCCTATGGCCGTGCAATGGTAGCTGCGACCATGAAAATCTCAGAATATGTGGTTGTGATATATAATTTCCAAACGGGCATAGCTAATCGGTCGATTTTAGTCAAGAAACATTGTTTCATAGCTAAATGAATATCTTGACCTTGAGAGGGAGCTATACAACATAAAGAGTTTATTATTTATAATTTCATAACTTTAGACTCGATTTCAACCGCGACAACGATCAATGACTATTGTAGGAACGCATATGCTTCCAATATGTTAATTTGAACCAAATTCATGACCCCATACCAAAACTTTGTACTACCTTTAAACTAATTAAGAAGCACTTCGATTCTCATCTGAATGTCAGTCACGGTCTCACTTTCATCAATCAAAATCATGCAGTCTAAGAGGAATTACGCACGCAATTTGCAAATTTCACATCCACCTAACATATTCCGAACACGCAGCACTGAGAATCATGCATTTCGGCTGATTTGGAAGCATCTCGTGAGGCACTTCATGCATTAAAATCATCTACTTAAGTCTAGGCTGTCTAGCAGTCATTTTCTGTTATTTATTTAGTTTCATTCATTTAATTTCCTTGAATATTATATTTCAACACTACACCCGCATAATTTATTCGATGATCATCATGTGTGACATCATGATTGAACGGGTTTTCTCCTGATCACATTTGAAAGTCAATGTAGTTCGGCACTTCATGTATTTAGTCTTAAGCCTCGGTCACAAATGCCATTCGAACGCCGTACGAACGATTTTCAGACAATGGAAATTCGGGAAGACTATGGAAAAACAGGGAGATTCGTACGAAATTATCGTTCGTACGTACCTTTGTGACCGTAGCATGAGATCTATCATTTTGTTGTATTCATTGCACTCCCTTGAACACTAATTATTACAGCATTAATTAAAGGTGTGAAACTGTCCGATAGAAAGAACATTAGTGAGCTCACGGAAAGGTCGGGTCTGGAAGAAAACTGTGGTGGATGTGGTAAAGAGAAGTGGATTGAGATTGATAGGTCACATGTTGAGAGGTGACAATGATGAACCTGGGAAAAAGAGCGTGGGATCTGGAAGTGGATGGCATAAGAGGTAAAGGAAGGCTGAAGATTTCATGGAAAGATATGGTGAAGAAATTAAAAAGCAGCAAGGTTCTTCTTCTTCCGGTTGCATCTGCCTCCTTATAGACATAAGGGCCCGAATTCACAAAGCAAGGTTTGAGCTCAGACCAAGGTTTGAGGTCAAACCTCCTTTTGTTTCGCCAAACCTCCTTTTGTTATTTACAAACCAGGTTTGTAAATAACAAAAGGAGGTTTGGCGAAACAAAAGGAGGTTTGAGCTCAAACCTTGGTCTGAGCTCAAACCTTGCTTTGTGAATTCGGGCCTATAGGTTTGAAGATCATTGCAGACTTGGCTGGTCTATATATATGAGAAGGATACTCGAGACAAAAAGAAGTGGAGGGAGGGAGCGTCACAGTGGTGCGAATGTCACTAATCCCTCTAGAGGGAAACTACTTAATTTTTTGTAAATGATGAAGGTGATAATGTAATGTTGGGTATTTCATGCACTGAATTGATTTTTCTCAATCATTCATTTATCGTTGTTATATTTCATTTGTCATGTAATAGAAGATATTTTTCTTATTACAAATTTATGAAGGCATGTATTATTTATTTTTTTATGGATAGAACGAATTTTCCCAATCACTTTTTATGTATGTATAATTTGACACTTCATGCATTCAGATTAACTATCATAGGTCTATATTTCTGTTTTATTCTTTTGATTTCCTTGAATATTCTATAATCATGTTTATCACTATGTATAGTATTTAATTCACACCTTGAAATTGTCTCGGCCATCTTTGCACTGTATTTGGCACTCAATGCATCCAAACTATCTATATACTAGATACATATTTCAACCATTGTGCAATGTTTTCTTCATTTTATTAAACAAGTTATTATAACATTATGCAGGCCCTAAAATTCCATTTTTAAGCATAGAAATCGGTTTGTCTTAATAACATGAGTTGACGTTAATTATTATTTTTAATTATTGTTTTACGTTTTTGTAAAGTCTTGTTTACCAAAATGGTTATTCATGGTCGCCTGTTAACTCCATCTACGTCAATTCAAGTATATACCTCATCGAGGAACAAGCATTTGAATACAGTAAAATATTTGATATAAATGAATTAAAAATATCGGGGGGGGCTGGCCTTTCGCCGCTACCTGCGACGGATTTCATCAACAAGCAGATCACAAATATTTTTCCGTTTTCAGCATTATTCATGACAGGAACCAATACACTAATACAATACGTGTATCTCAAACATGTTGGGTGGGTAAAATGTTTTGCTAGAGTGGTGGTTATTACTCTCCGATAAAAACTAGAGGGACCCCCCCCCCCCTCCCCCAATTTTGTCCTATGTCTGCTAGGGTGTATAGAGTAGCAGCCTACATCTGAATACTACAGTGTTCAAGCAATTACAATGGAAAGCGCTTAGAAAGGTAGTATCAATATAAGCGCTATGACTATTATTAGTAATGGTTCAATTATGAAAGGAATCAGTAATGATACAGTACCAGTACCATGACTAGTGGTTGGATATGAAGGAGAAATAGAAAATGAGCTCAGATTTCGATGAAGTTTTAAAGAAAAAGAAGAAGAAAAAAACCTGACATGCACAGAACCGATCATGATCATTTGAATTAACCTACATCGAATACTCGAGGGACTTCCTATCGGAGTGGATGACGGCGTCTAATTGTAATGACTCCCGCTTTAGCACTTACTGATCGGCAAACACACTCGTTGGTTCTGATAATGAAAAAGACTTTAAAGTGATATTTATTTTGATTAAATTGGATGGGATGGTATGTTGATAAAAGGGAAAATCCAACACTGATAGCAAACGACTCGTGAATAAAGCAGAAGTAAAACTCAGAAAAGCAGACTGCTGAAATCGGACACAAATGTTATGCATTTTTGAAAGTTGTAATCAATATAAGTATTGGAAATTTAAATTGGCTGAGTCGGAACTGCCACTGTGATGTAGTGCAGGACAAAGTGTCAAATTTCTTTTCTTCAAAATGTATGATTCGGGAGTGTCTCTTCTTTTTTAGAGGACACACGGATAATTATGTACTATCCATATTGCCCCAAGGGAGAAGGCACTTACGAAAAATGGAAATTAATGATGTATTTTGTTTACACCATGAACGGGAGAGTTGTCCGTGACAACGTAGCAATCCAATAACAGAATTGCCCGTTTGAGATTGCATGTAGTGATCTCGCACTTTTTGGTTCACTTTTTTTTTTAAACTGTCATAAATTGAACTTATTGCAAGGGTTGCTCCGATATACGGCACATGCTCCTGCGACATTTTTCCGTAGCAATTTCCCACGCTAACTGAATTCCTATAACTTCAACCATATACACCCAACACTATACCTAGGCTACCCCTAAACCTAACCCCAAAACCTACACTAAATTATGTACCAAAGCTAACTACCAATTTACTTTCTTACGTTTATCATTGCTAGATCGTCGGCTATATGACGATGTCGATATTATCAGCCGTAGTCGCCTTGGTAGCCGGGTGCACCTACGTCTATGTCGTATGCGCTGTCAAAGATACGTGTCCCATGCTCGACGAACTCCACTTCGACATCGGAGTCCCGAAAGACGTCATCAATTGCGTAAGTAAAAGATTTTACGTTTGTAGGGCACTGATCCAGTTGTTTTTTATGCGGGGGTGGGGGTGGCTGCGGTGGCATATTTCCGAAAATCTCTGATCCATGATATTAAGTTATAATTTCAATCAACAAATCGATATAATTATGCCTCGTCTAAACTACGGTTACTTAGTTACCCCCCCCCCCCCCCGCCTCCTCAAATATGGAATGACGAGAGAGCGAGAGAGAGAGAGAGAGAGAGAGAGAGAGAGAGAAGCAGATGATACGACCTCCTCCCACCCTCTATAAAAGATACAGAGTATTAAGAAATATGGTCCAAAGAGAGGTGAAAAAGGCTAAACTCGTTTACTTACAAAACAAGATAGAAGAAAATAAACAAGATTCGAAAAAACTTTGGCAGAATCTAAAAAGCTTAGGATTGAAAAATAAGAAGCGAAAAGAACAAGAATCTGTCATTAAAATTGATGGGGAATTATGTCATGATAAGATGGCCATCGCTGATGAATTCAATTCTCATTTCACAAATGTGGCTGCCAAATTAGTAGACAAACTCCCCCCTTCCAAAGACTTTTTCAGCGCAGACAATGATTGTATTCGTGACTTTTACGAAAGAAAAGGTGTACGTGAAAACAGCTTCGAGTTATTACCAATCAGTGAACAATTTGTATTCAAAGAGTTACGTAAGTTGAATGTATAAAAAAGTACTGGGTTAGACTTGATTCCAGCTAAATTTCTAAAAGATGGTGCGAAGGTTTTATTTAAGCCTCTAAGTTACTTAATGAACCTATCTATCTTGACGAGTACTTTTCCAGAGGATATGAAAATAGCAAAAGTGACTCCACTTTATAAAAAGAAAGATAAAACTGATGTTAGCAACTATAGACCTATTAGTGTTTTAAGCGTAGCATCAAAGATTCTAGAAAAATCGGTCTGTGTTCAAATTGAAAGATACTTCAAAGAAAATGATATAATTTATGAATTTCAATCTGGTTTTCGACATGATTATTCGACTGAAACATGTCTAATTCATTTGACTGATTATTTGAGGAGAGAAACTTCCCAAGGGCGCTTTGTTGGTATGGTGCTCCTTGATCTGCAAAAAGCTTTTGATACAGTTAATCATTGCGTCTTATTGAAGAAGTTACAACTAATGGGTTTTGATAAGGGAAGTTTAGATTGGTTTAGATCCTACTTATCTCATCGGCACCAAGTAGTGGCCATTCATGATATTCGTTCCAAACTAATGCCTATAACTTGCGGTGTTCCTCAGGGAAGCATTTTGGGCCCAATTCTATTTTCAAGTTATATAAATGATATGTGTATTTGTATAAAAGACTTCAAACTATTATTGTACGCAGATGACAGCGTACTACTCTATTCAAATCCTGATCCTAAATATATTGAGGAAAAGCTCAGTGAACAGCTGTCTACGTGTGTCGATTGGATGACTGATAATAAGCTTTCTTTACACTTGGGAAAAACAGAAAGCATTTTATTTTGTTCTAAAAGTAGTTCTAAAAAGCCATTTGAATTCAAAGTGACACACAATAATCAAGCAATCAAGAGAAAAGAGTCTGTGAAGTATTTAGGCATTGAGTTGGCTAGCGCAATTTCATTTTCATCTTTAGTAGAATCAGTTGTAAAAAAAGCAAATTCTCGTCTGAAATTTTTGTACAGATATCAAAGTTGTATGGATTTAAAAGCAAGACGTATACTCTGTTTTGCTCTTATTCAATGTTTATTTGACTATGCTAACCCTGCATGGTATAGTAACATAAACAAGTCAGATCAAAAGAAGTTGAAGATTATACAGAACAAAATAGTGAGATTTATCAACTGTTCTGGTCCAAGAACTCATGTTGGCTACAGCGAACTTTCTAAAGCTGGTTTTCTTGAAGTCGACCAAAGATCAAAACAACTCGTATTGCATCATGTGCATAAAATATATCATACTAGGTCGAATCATTATATTCGATCCAACTTCGATCTTGACGTACATGATTATAATACAAGAAATAGACGATTCAACTTTAACTTACCTGAAAGAGTAGGTAGTATTGGAAATTCGTTTTATTACAATGCCATAAAACATTGGAATTCCCTTCCCAATGGTGTAAAAGAAATAGGAAACTATGATCATTTTAAGAGGAAATTAAAGGAATACCTAATACTTGACAGTCAGAGAAGAGAAGTGAATGACATGTTATATGATTGAAATTTTTATTCTTCTGTCGGTTCATACTTTTTCATGTTGTATATACTTATGTTTTCGTACGTTATAGAAATTCTACAAATTCATCATTATTTTCCTCTTCTTCCTTCTCCTCTTTTTCTTCTTCTCCTTCTTCTTTTTCTTCTTGTACTTAATATCATTTCTATCATCAGTTTAATGTTGTTATTATTATTATTATCTTTAATAAGTAGTTCTTATAATTTTCTTATCTGTCTGTAAATATTACTATTTTAACTTATTAATTTTATACATGTCTGTAAGGGACCCCACTGGAAATAAGCTCTCGAGCTTTCGTGGGTTATCCTGTTCAAGCTGACTTTTTTTTATCTGTTATTATTGTACATTGTTGTATGTTGGAAGCTTGTCGAATAAAAATCAATCAATCAATCAATCCCTCTTTCCCTAATCGATGGTCTTGTGAGTAAAGACCGTTCACCATCACCCCCGTTCCCTTTCCACGTTGCTAGTCCCCCCCCCCCCCTCCCCCCCCCCCACCCCCCGTGTATATGTACGCTATAAATACTGCAGAGAGTAAGATTACCATCACTATACATGTACTTGCAGAATAATGATGTACTCCTGATTTTTAAAGAAATAGATGGCATGCTACGAGATTAAATTAGATTTAATCATGAAAATATTTTTTTTTTTAATCTCCCTCACTCAGTCGAGACAAGCTGCCGACATCGCAATGAATGGCACGTTGGCAGCCGTTTTCTTCGTGGAACTCATCGTCGCAGTCATAGGCTCCTGTATCACGTGTAGTGGGATATTCTGCAACCGGGAATTATTAGTCGCCACAGTAACGACAGTAAGTGATTATAGGGAAGGACGGTGACGTGTTTTCGATCATGCACTAGCGTCGCTGAAGTGTTGGTGTGGGTTTTTCATGCCCCCCTCCCCCTCCATTCAATAATTTATATCGGCAGATTTTAATCTTTGTAGGCAGTTGGTGACAGTTACGAATTTACGACTTTTTACCATTCTGATAATTTCTTTATATTCTTGTTTGTTCGAAAAAAGTGAAGACCTAGCTTGGCCCGTTGTATAACTGTGCCATCCTAAAAACAACGACTTCTCGAAATGCGTATACTTAATTTTATTAACTACAAACAAAATTAAATTTAGGCATGACGCGGTAGGAATGTCTCAATAACCTGTTGGCTTGTATTCTTCGTCATTGTGGCACTGTTTTTTGGATCCCGTAAATGAAATAAGAAAGAAATAATTAAATATATTCCTTCATTTTTACATTGGACTTGATGTTCAACTCCCTCCCCGTCTGCCTGTCTCTGTCATTCTCTCTCTCTCTCTCTCTCTCTCTCTCTCTCTCTCTCTCTATCTATCTATCTCTCTCGCCCCCGCCCCTCTCTCTCTCTCTCTCTCTCTCTCTCTCTCTCTCTCTCTCTCTCTCTCTCTCTTTCCCACACACACACACACAGGCGCGGATCCAGGGGGGCCGAGAGGGCCTTGCCCCCCCCCCGGCCCCCCGCAAAAAAAAAAAAAAAAAAAAAAAAAAGAGAGAAGAAAGGAAAAGAAGGGAAAGGGAAAGAGGAGAGAAAGGGAAAGAAAGAAAGAAGAGGAAGAAGAAAAGAAACAGGGGGGGGGGAGGAGACCGGGGGCCGAAAGGGCCTTGCCTTCCAGGCTGTTGCCCCCCCCCCCCCCCCATCAAAAAAAATAAGAGAGAAGGAAGAAAATGGAAAGAAATTTCGTTTTTTCAATTCAAATTTATTTGCTCATAAAAATCCAGAAAACACATGCAAACATTCATAAATCAACATGATACAAAGGATAAAATTCACAAGAAAAATTAATAACAAAGTATACATTTGGATTAAGTATGAGAGGGACAGCAATAAAGGAACAAGCCTTGTGATTAGCTGACCCTGTAACATAATACATTAAGGACGCTACAAAAAATAACAAATCACTTACAACAACATAAAGGGGGGGGGTATACCTATACATTTAAACAAACAAACTTGGTGAATACCTGTCTAAAATAAAGTGCCTAGATTTTGACTTAAAAACATTTAACGAAACTGCTTGTTTAATATCTGAAGAAAGAGAGTTCCAGATTTGGGGTCCTTGAAATAATATTGAGTTTTTAAAAGATGAGAGCCTCGGTTTGGGTAAATGAAAATCATTAGCATTTCTTGTATTGTATCCATGATATTCATTATTGAACTGAAAAAAGGGAAAAGAGGAGATACTGGCGTATTGATAGGGGGGGGGATCAAATTCAAAAGTGGTTTCATTCAATGCTGGCAGGATATAACGTGTTTGTTGGAAAATGACAAATTTGACTAAATTTACAGCCAGGCAAGAATATCTGATTCTTGAGATTCCTACATGTCAGGGCCCGAGGTACGGAGTGGATCGGGAGCCTCGAGCCCCCCCCCCCCCCCCCCCTCCGCCACTCTTTTTGAAAAAGTATAATAAAGAGAAATTAAAAAGAAAGAGAGCAAGACAGAAAGAATAGTTAGCTGCCAGTGTCAAAACATAATGATGCATTAAAATATGCTCATTTGACCGTGATTAAATGCCTTAAACCCCCCCCCCCCCCCCTGCCGCCTGGATTCCACCTAGGGCCCTAAGGCGGGCCATTAGATGCTCATCTGACGGTAATGTAATGCCTGAAACACCCGATTTTGGGGGCTCCGCCCCCTGGACCCCACGCCAAAAAGTGCCCTGCCAGTGTCACAAAATTATAAGGTATAACAAAAAAATGCTCATCTGACGCTAATTTAATGCCTAAAACCCCTGATTTGGGGCGCTCCGCCCTCTGGACCCCACGCCAAATAGTGTCCTGCCAGTGCCACAAAATTATAAGGTATCAACAAAAATGCTCATCTGACGCTAATTAATGCCTGAAACCCCTGATTTTTGGAGGATCCACCCCTGGACCCGACGCCAAATAGTGTCCTGCCAGTGTCACAAAATAATAAGGTATCAACAAAAAAATGCTCATCTGACGGTAATTAAACGCCTAAAACCCCTGAGCTTCCGGGGGGCTCCACCGCCTCGACCCCACTTGGGGCCCTTAGGCGGGCCCCTGAATGCTTATCTGACCGTAATTTATTGCCTTAAACCCCTGAGCTTCCGGGGTCGGACAAGGTATCAAAATGTGTTTGTCTGACCGCAGGCGCATAGCCAGGGGGGGGGGGGGGTGATGGGGTGGTCCCCCAAAATCGCCGGCCAAAAAACAAACAAAAAAACAACGAGAGGAGAGAAAAGAAAGAGGACGTAGGAAGAAAAAGGAGCAGACAAAGAACATCTTTGAAATTCAGATAAGGATTAAGGGTCGAGAACAGCACAACGAATCGTCCTCTTTCTCTAATGATTTAATGAATCGTAAAAGCTTCCGCACTTCGCGCGGAAGGGGGAAAACTGAATTCAGACGAAGAGTAAGAGTCGAGAACTGTAAAACGAATCATATTCTTTCTCTAATGATTAATTGAAAAATAAAAGCTTCCGCACTTCGCGCGGGAGGGGGGGGGAAACTAAATTCAGACGAGGATTATTTTAGAGAACGGTACAACGAATCGTCTTCTTTCTCTAATGATTTTAATGAAACTAAAAAGCCTCCGCGCTTCGCGCGGGAGGGGGAACCTGAATTCAGACGAGGATTAAGTGTCGAGAACTGTACAACGAATTGTCTTCTTTCTCTAATAATTTAATAAATTGTAAAAACTTCCAAGGAGAAAAACTGAATTCAGACGAGGATTATTTTCGGGAACGGTACAACGAATCGTCTTCTTTCTCTAATAATTTAATGAAACGTCAGAGCTTCCCTGTTTCCCTGAGGAAGGAGGGGGAAACTCGCCCCTTCCTGCACCGACCCCCCCCCCCCCCGCATTACGTCACTGTTGGTCACCATTACGTACCAATATTTGGCTCGCATAATTTCAAATTTGGGCCCCCCCCCCCTAAGAAATCCTGGATCCGCGCCTGCACACACACACACACTCTCTCTCTCTCTTTTACTCTCTCCTCGCTTTCTCACTCTCCATCTTTTATTTTGAAAATACCATCTGCACATATTTTCTTTCATACATTTTCAAATTTTGTTTCTCTCTGTCTCTCTTTCGCACTTTCATTCATCTATAAATACCCGTCACTCCGTACCCCCCCCCTTTCTATTCCTCCTTTCCATTCTCACTTTCATCATTCTCCGATGTTTCCTACAACCTTCTCCTTCATAGCATCATTACCCCCCCCCCCCCCCCACCTTTCCTCTTAATCTCTCATATTTCTTCTATTATTTTGTTTCTCCTGCATAGGATGATTACGAGTAGTATCAAATTCGATGCTACCACGTTTTACCTACCAGAGAGGCTGATGATCGACACACATTGGAGTTAACGGTACTGGTTCCAGCGAAAATGGATCCACGATCAACTCACTCAGACTGTCACAGTGGCTGAATGTAGATTTGATGCTGTCAACACGTCGAAGACAAAAGACATTCATTCAGTCATTATAAGATCATATCTACTGAAGTAAAAAAAAAATTCGATGTATATTATGGAGATCTTTCATTCTCATTTCGATATCTTATTTTCAAATCAGAGAGAGAGTCTAGCCTGGTGACAGTTTAAATTAGCCAAAGTCAGTTATCTGACGTAGCCTTTATTTTTTCATTGGTGCGTATGTGTCGAAACCTCCAATTCATAAATCTTGGAGTATCTTTTTTTCGGCCCCAGTAAAGCTCACTTCACTACATTTCGTCAGTAAGGTATATTTGTATAGCGCCATCTATCGTTTCTTTGACGACTCGAAATTTGATGCAGCGATGCCTTCGATGATGCATACTGCTAAAGTAGTCGATGATTGGACGTCTGAAATGATCACGTGAGATGAGGATTATTGTGTATGCACGTCGTGAGCACGCAGTGGTGTGAGAGATAGAGAGAGAGAGAGAGAGAGAGAGAGAGAGAGAGAGAGAGAGAGGGGGGGAGGAGAGAGAGAGAGAGAGAGAGAGAGAGGGGGGAGGGAGGTGAAAAAGAGTGGCAGACCAAGAGAGAGATAGAGAGAAGGAGAGAAGGAGAGAGAAAGAAAGAGATGATAATTGCCCGGGATAATTGGTAGCTAGCATAGGGCATTTTAGACAGAAGCAATAAGGTATTCATGTATTCTAATATTTGAAATGAAAAGTGAGAACATGATTTTTATTTAGTTATTGTGTAATCAGAGATTTCGTAGGCCTACTGTAAAGACAAGGTACAGACAGGAATGCGAATATTCACAATGTATAAGAAAACAGCTATTGTGCGATCAAGGCAATCTTTGGATAAAACCAGGGGCGGATCCAGGATTTCTATTAGAAGAAAAATGAAGAAATTGGGGCTTTTACCCCAAGTAAAAGTTTTAGGCTTATCCAGGTCCCAAAAAGTTGAAAAGGGTGCACGTTTCTGGAATAGTTCACGTAAGGTATATTTGTTCCTTTTTTGAAGGCTAGCTATATGGCAGCAGCATAAAATAAATTGTAAGTATTATTATTAACGAATATTTTTTTTTCTTCGTCGAATAAAATGAACAAAAGGCTGATTTTCGAGAATTCAATATTTTTTAATTCCTGTAAATTTCAAATATGTCGCTAGAAAAGGAGACTTGCTTCTGTGCTCATTATTCAGCGAGTGTGGGGTCGCTAGATGGCTGCTCTGAGCCCTCCTGGGGTTTTTCAGAGGTCCGATACTCTTTGATTCGGGCAACCACAACCTCTAACTCGAGCAGGGAGGTTTGGGCTGCGATGTGTCCGAATATCAGCAGACTCAGTTACATGTATTTAGAAAGATTACTCGAATATTCACATATTGTGACAGAAGGTACCTGAATACATGTTATTGTAGTAATTTTCCCTACAAAAAAATGAACTGAAAAGCTGATATTCGGGCAAAATGTCGTCAGCCCCCTCGCGAAAATGAGACTGTACGCCAATAATTATATCATACACTTATACACCAACTTATATAGGCAGATCATTTATATATTTAATTATGAACATTCTTTCTTAATCTGTAACAGTTTCATTTTTCCTCTACACTATTTACTTTGTTGTATTAAGTGATTTTTTAACAAACTTATTTTTCTCATTTCATAAACATAATCGTAACATATATAAATAATTGATATTCAACTTACACTTTTTTGTGTGTGAACATAGTAAACATATTAATACGTAAATTATCAACATGCAATGTATATAATTGTTTCTCTTATGTTTCAATGTTACATGGTACATTTTAATCAGACTACTTCTATATCCGCTGAAAATGCAAAGACTTTCAAGAAATTAATCGGCGTCAATACCAATATAATTTTACCTATTTGTTGTTAATTATAATTTTTGTGCGCAAAATAAAATCTTCATTTACCATGAGAGTGAAACTTTCTAACAACAAAAATACAATTCTCTTGCCTGTAGAAATCATGTTCTTATTATCTTTCATGTGTTTGTAATGTTCACCCTTTTCAAAGATGATTTGCAAGGCTTCTGTAGTTGATTATTTTATTAAAAGTATTTGCGCTAGTATAAGTTGCATATAGTCAGGATAATGACAATGTATGACAACAATTATTATTGTTTTCATTTTACAGGCCTATTGCTTGGTAATCAGAATCGTGCTTTTGAACGTCGATTGCATAACACATCAGTACTTTGAAGTAGACAGACTTTGGGGACGATTTTGTTGTTGTTGTTGACAATATGAAAATATTGTAATCAAATGAATGTAATTCACTTTAAAGGTAAAGAACAGTTATGGTCATGCGATTGCATTGTGAAAGAAACGTTGTGGAATCGATCAGAAAAGGTTGATCATCTAGCATCTAGCATCTGCAAGGTTCTGGAATCATCAAAATGATAAGAAATTTGGCCCATTCTTCGTAAAGTTACAAGCGCTATACACAGAAAGATGTATATGGGACTACCCTATATCTCTCACAGACCATGAGAGAAACAAATTTACGAAATATATGAATTAGTAGGCGGTTTCCCGGCTAATTTTTTATCATCATGTATTAGTCAAAACATATTCTTTCACATGATTGGTAATGAGAGCTTCCATTTCATTTTTTGAAATTGGGGCGTTTCCAATACTGGCCTTTACCTTTAATATGTGACTATTGCTTGAAAATGTTATAAGGAGAACATCAAAATATTGTCATTTTGTGTTCATTAAATCACAAAACTAATATTTGTACGTCCTACTTTAATAACATTATTATTGATTGAACAACATGACTTGTGTGCAATAGACAAACATTATTAAACCAATTACAAGAGCAAGATATATCCTGTAAAGATTATTCATTGCAATTTCTCACGAATAAATGAACTATTGTATATAACTTTATTTATATGACTTGGAAATATAATTATTTTGTCATTGAGCTGATGCAACCAAGGAGATATCAGCATGTAATACCTCCTTGACACAATAGGTATCTCCAGGGTGGGTCTATCTCTATTGACCCAACTCCACATTATAATCTATTCTAAATCCTTCAAATCTTAGATTTGTGTCTATTGTGCATGTTTCTGTTCCCCCCCCCCTCTCTCTCTCTTTCTCTCTCTCTCTCTATATATATATATTTCTCTTCCATTCCCTTCTCTCATCCTCTCTCTCTCTCTCTTTCCCTATCTCTGTAATAATATATGGATCATAACTCTCGCTCTCATGTCATGAAAGTATTTTGTAGGTCATTAATTTTGGAAAGTCGCGGGGGACAAGAAGTTGTTAACTGCATGATAAAAACGAACGGAACGTTAAAGGCAATACAAAGTTTTGGTATGGGGTCATGAATTTGGTTCCAATGAACATATTGGAAGCATATGCGATTTTATAATATTCAATTATCGTTTTTAGCGGTTGAAATCGAGTTTAAAATGTTATGTTGTATAGCTCCCTTTCAAGACTGTACTTTAGCTTTAAAACAATTTTTTTCTCGACTCTACAATCAACCGATTTGCCATTTCCGTTTGGAAATTATATATCAGAACTGTATATTCTGAATTTGTTATGGTCGCAGCTACCATGGAATGGCCTTAGGTGCTATTTGAAATATTTGAAATTTACCGGGAGCACTGGTAATTTTGTTTATTATTCAAATTCTCGAAGTAAGAGATTTTTAGGGGCTAGAGCTTATAACACATCCAAGTGTATCAACATCAATTTTTAAAGAATTGCAATCCATTCAATTTTTCAAATTTACCAAAACTGTGCATTACCTCCCTAGCTCCAGAGGGGAAAATCGTAAATCTACCCCCCCCCCCCCCCCCCCTTACGCAGAGCCAGTGGAGAGGATTATCAACATGCTCCCGACCCCCATGACCAAAACATCTGCAGCTGCATGACTCATGAAGGAGAAGAACAAGAAAACGAAAGCACGCCCCTTCCGATGAATAATGCGATTATATTCAAATGAAAGCTAACACGCTCCAAGCAAGTGATAAGTGTCAAGATCATGATATTATAATCATGTATTGTTCAGAAGTCAGAAATGTGCCCGACTGACAAGCAAGCTCTACATTCCGAGCCCGACACTGGCACCCTGGATGTTTTCATTTTGTGTTCGTTAGAAAAGAGCCTACCACTGTACCACAATCTGGTGAAAAAATAGAGAAATGACATAATAGGTCTTTGAAAGTTATATGCATATAGCTCAACTGTCTTGCGTGGTGGAATTAGGAGGGGCAGGGGGGCAGTTCGCCTCTCCTGACCGATTTCTAACTATGGCAGAAACGCTGCTTGCACAATATTAGGCAATCATTGTGACATCTAACATAAATTCCGGTTTTTTATTCGCCTTTTCTTGTCCAAAAGAAGTTTTGGGTATTGCGGCAATATCTCTTTCTTGACCCCCCCCCCCCCTCCCCCCCCCCCATTGTGAAACAAATGACCCTTAAAAAGTTGTTAGTTTCATTTGCTGAACTATATAATTATATCACTGTCAGTTTCGATATTTTGCCCCTCCTGAGTAAAAAGTCTGGATACGCCACTCATATGCATTTTCCTTTTGCCATCCCCGATATCCGACTATATATATGTGAGGAAGGTTAGGTCTCTCCTACACAAAATTTAGAGATATTTAAGTAACGTTATAAAGGCGTTTTTGTTTGTTTTTGTTTTTGTTTTTTTTAATGCGGCTTTTGTTTTGTTTTATTCTTTGAAATATTACGCTGGTAGGCCTACTCTCCATGCGACCATAATTTATGGGCACACTATTCAGATAAAAATGATTCTGGTGAGCGATTAAAAAAAAAAGAACAGTATCCCAAATAAGCAGGTAGGAAGGGTACAAAGTAATATATGAATATTTGCTTATTTTAAAGGAGTATAGAACTTATAGGCCCTATATATATTTTTTTTTTCCCTAACCACCAAGTCTGCGATTGGAATTGGGGGGGGGGGGGAGGTGGGAGCAATGGATCTGTGCCCCCTTGAAGGAGTGTTCAGTGACCTTATTTTCTTCTCATTGATATTATTATTATTATGATTATTATCTTGTACTTATTATTGTTATTATTATTATCATTAGGCCTATTAGTATCTTTCATCATTACTGTTGTTGTTATTTGTAGGATTATTATTATACCCGTCATATTAATGGTAATACAAAGTTTTGGTATGGGGTCATGAACTTGGTTCAAATGAACATTATTGGAAGCAAATGCGATCCTACAATATTCAGTGATGTTGGCGCGGTTGAAATCGAGTCTAAAGTGATGAAATTGTAAATAATAAACTCTTTATGTTGTATAGCGCCCTCTCAAGGTCAATATATTAATTTAGCTATAAATTAGCTGCCTCTGAGATTAGCTGCCTCTGAGATATCGTAGAAGGTTGTTAAATGATAACTTTCGAGTTTATTTACTGTCTAGTACTTTAAACCACCCAAAAAAAGAAGTATTGGGTGATGACTATGATTTAAATAACTTAGAATGGAAGATAGGAGAAGGACCTTTTAAACTGCGATCCTTTAGAGACGAAGTAGTGGTGGAAGGGCAAACCAACTTATTGCCGAAAATCCCAGAATGGCGGTTAGCACGACCACAAGTGTCTTTCGAACACCATGGCAAAGTGCAAAAAAAGGAAATGCCTCCATTTGAAATAAAATCGATTGTTCTAGATAGCATTGGAAATTCATGGAATGGGTTTTTACATATATATACAGATGGTTCTAAACTCGAGGATGGGAAGACAGGAGCCGCATTTTATGTGTCTCATTATAATGTGGTGAAATTTTTTAGATTATCCCATGTCTGTATTATGAGAGCAGAACTAGTGGCCATACTAATGGCACTAGAGTGGATTAATACATTTATTGAATCCTCTTCGGTGGTAATTTTTAGCGACGCTTTGTCAGCTTTACAAATGATCGATTCATACTTTATTAGATGTGCTATTGTAAATGAAATTTTATCCATAATTAATATTTTGCAGTTTAAGGATGTTTGTGTTGCTTTTGAATGGATTCCGTCACATTGCAATATTAGGGGCAATGAGATCGTAGATCGGGCTGCCAAAAAAGGAGCCATGAAAAGGGACATAGTTATACCAAATACAAGAAGTGAATTGGCAGCCTCTCGTTTGATCCATTATAACAAATTATGGCAAGCAGAATGGGACAATGCAGAACACGGTAGATTTTTATATGCTTTGCATAGCGACGTTTCAAAGCCCATACATAGACAAGGCCTATCTCGCAGAGAAGAATGCTTGATACAACAACTAAGAGTAGGTAACTGTAGTTTAAATTATTACCTTTTTCAAATTAACCAACACGATACTGGTCTTTGTGAAGTTTGTCAAGAAGATGAAACAATTAAACATTTTATTTTCTATTGTACAAAATACGACAAAGATAGACGTCTCTTAAAAGAAAGGATTAAATTGAACAACCCCAATCTGAAACAATTATTGATGTCTAACCCAATTTTTACTCGTGAATTATTGGGTTACATATACGATACTAATCGTTTTAGATAGCTTTTAAAGCTATCAGGGATCCCCTTAACTTATGTCGATCCTGTAATAATATATAAAATGAAGTATTTGCGGTTTTTCCATGAACAATTGCAACTAACTCCCATCTCGCCTTTTATGTGCATTTTATGCAATTTTAATATTGCAGCTTTTTTTTTATTTATTTATTTTTTTTTTTATTTTTATAAAACCATATCACTATTAATTTCATTTCACCAAGGAAAGTCGCTCGTGGGCTTGATTTCCGAAGCCCACGCCAAACCTATACACGAAATTGACTGGCGCAAATAATCTTTGAGATTGAAGAGCGCCATCTAAACGAAGAACCAACCAACCAAAACTATAAAACAATGTTCTTTGAATAAAATCGATTGATTTGCAATTACCGTTTGGAATATACAACACAACTACATATTCTGAGATTTTCATGGTCGCAGCTACCAACGTGTAGTCGTAGGCGCTATCAAAATTTACCGGGAGCACCGGTAAATTTGTATATTCATTTTTTTCTCGAAAGCAGAAGTGTTTTAGTGGCTAAATTTTGTCGTGCTTATAATACATTCATAGGGGCATCCAGATATATCAAAATTGTAAAGAATCACTATCCTGCCAATTTTCAAAATTTACCAAAACTTTGTAATACCTTTAAAGTCCTATTATTTTGCTTTTATAGAGATTTTAAATTATAATAAGACTGGAAAGTCTGGAAAGGCTATATTTAGAGCATATCTTATTCAATAAAAATAACATCTGTTCCTTGAAAGGAGTTCACTTGTCTTGTTTACATATTTTACCTGTTTGGGTTCGGGGAAGCTCGAGGTCACAGAACTGACCTACATTCCGGGTTGACTTTTATTCCTAAAAAATAAACACTATCTATCCCGGTTTGTATATTAGTGCTCACGAGTATCTCAGGCATCATTATTAGGTTATTCATGCTATTTTTAGCTCATGTTGATGCGCCCCCGGATGCGCCGAATTCTGTGATTTACATGTATGCTTCCCTGAATTTGACATTCAGCCAGCTCGCGCTCCACATTAAATTACTGGGGTCGAACAAAACATAAACATTTTTTGACCGCATTGTGTACATGTCAGTTGGACGTGACGAATATCATTCATGAGGGTTTTCTCTTTTGTTAAAAACCTCGAAATATTTAAAACGTCCTATATTTTGGAGGAATCATGGACATCATTTTGACTAGATTAAAAATACGTTTATTATACAATTCCCAAAACATTTTTTTTTTAAATGATTTTTACAATATCGCTCTAAAATTTATTCAAATGTCTTCCCCTTTCTTCGAGCTTGATATGATTGATATATACACCCCTCTAATTTTTGAATGAACGGGTCCACTGATCATAACTTTCCCACGTGGAGTATCGAGGTCGCGAGCAGAAAATTCTCACTGTGCATGAGCGACTTGCATGCTCTCTCTTGTATTGTGTAATGCATTGTCAGTGTACATGCAAGGTGATCAGCTGTTTGCATGACCTGGGAAGAATGAATATTGCGAAATTTTAAGTACACGCGCATAGCTAGCTAGCTGTAGACTAGAGCTTTACATTTTCTGCACACACACACTCAAACAAACATTGAGCACTAAAAAGGGAAATAACACTTGGAGAAAGCTGAGACTGACGACGAAATCATCTAATCTTAGTGTTTGCTTTCGCGAGTCCAGATCTTATCAACGAGTTTCCATTATTTGAACCCTATTTTTGGATCCTGATGGTCCGAAGTCTACATTTTCAGTGGTAAGTTGATTTATTTATTGATTTTGAAGTCAGTGAGTGAATTTGTCTTGAGATGAGGAGATGAGAGTTGAGAATGAGAGAGTGCATGTGACTGTCGTTTGCCATTTCATCTTTCAAGATTTTCAGATAATGAAGCCTTTACCTTGTGTAACTGTCTGTATAACTGTAAGTTGTAAAAAAAAAAAAACTTGTAAGTTGTATATAGACCTTCGCACGTACATCATGTAATGATGTAGATTCTACTAGATCTAGACTAGATCATAAATTCATAGAGTCTATGATGATTATGATGAGTTGAGTAAGGTCAAGGAGTGGGAGATGCTGGATCGATCGATGAATGTGACTTTCTTCACGCCGTGGTTGTGTATTGCTGACTTCCAGAAAATCGTTGAAGGGGAATTCCACCCTACTAGATCTAGAATCTAGATCTAGGTCTAGAGTCTATGTTGGTTTTTAATAGAAACAGAAAGAAAATGAGACTTGAGAGGAATTAACGGCTAGGTCGGTGAAAGTTTAAACAAATCTGATTAATAAAAATAAGAATAAGTGGCTGTAGATCTACCTAGACTCTAGATCTATCTTTGGAGCGCGAGCTCGATCCTCTCCAATTTGCTCTGTAGACCCTATTGTATTTGTAAATAAGATTTCATAAACTTTAAAGCCACACTATGTCGTACTTGTAGCTACTTGCTCCCTCTAAGGCTCTAGACTATAGACCAATGGTCCTCCACAACCCTCTTTTTCTTATGTTAATTCATGAATTGAGAGATGAGTTGATGAGATAACCACCTGTCCAGTGAAGGTGGTCTAATCCCTCCTATAAACTAGTACAGATAAAAAAAAAAGTAAAAGTAAAAAGTACTGATATTATTAGTATTGCTATTAATGACAGAATAGATTTTTTCCATAGGACCACGCAACTACATGTATTTACAAGGGATATATGGAAACATATATTGCATGTACAAACTATACAAGTACAATGCAGGTATGATTAAACTAAATTCTTGACGGAAAACATTGAATGTGAAGTTTTTTAGTATAGATCTAGGCCTTACCAACTACTACCATGTATGGCTTGTATGCCTAGGTCTACCCTGTTGCTCAATAACCCGCACAGTAAGACCAAGATCCGACTGCAGATCTGGTAGGTAAATAAAGAGTCCGGCAACATCTTTATGTCGAAACTTTCGTGATCTAGACAAGGATTCCTTCATCGCCAGCATAACTGAGGCTTTTCACAAATTTCCTTTTGATGGGAATGTTGATGACCAGGTGACCTTTTACAATGAAACTGTTTTGGAAGTACTTGACCAGCATTGCCCTGCGACTAAGCGTGTCCATCGTTTTCGCTCTCGTCCTCCGTGGTATACAGATGAAATTCATCAGGCAAGACGTCTTCGGCGTAAAGTTGAAAGGCGCTGGAGAAAGTCGCATACAGTCGAGAGCCGCCAGCAATATCTCTCCCAGGTTCATGCGGTCTGCAAGCTCATTGAAAGAGAGAAATCAAAGTACTATACAGAACAGTTAAGCAGTGCAGACGTAAAGAATGTGTTCCATGTTCTGAATACGCTTTTGAACAGGTCACCGATGGCTCTACCGGTTGATAGCTCTACTACATCACTACCAGAGAGGTTTGCTACTTTCTTTGAACAGAAGGTAGAGAAGATTAGAGCAAGTCTTATGACAGGTAATGCAGGAGTTACGGACACCTGTAATGATGATGGGATGATCACGGATGCCTCTGTTCCTATCACCGAACTGTCAGATTTCGACAATGTGACTCTTGAGACGGTCTGCAAATTAATACGTTCTTCACCAAATAAGACATGCTCGCTAGATGCACTACCAACGTGGCTTTTGAAAGAGAACATTAACACTTTTCTTCCATATATTGCATCAATTGTACACACATCATTGAGTAGCGGTGTCTTCCCCTCAGCACTGAAGGAAGCTGTGGTAGTTCCACTGATCAAGAAGAGCAATCTTGATAGGGAAGATCTGAAGAACTACAGGCCTGTCTCAAACGTCCCTTTTCTATCAAAAATCATTGAAAAGGCTGCATTGTCTCAACTCTCGGACCACATGGACGAACATGATTTGAACGTTGAGAACCAGTCAGCTTACCGCCGTTGGCACAGTACAGAGACTGCTCTTCTAAAAGTACAAAATGACATTCTGGGAGCATTGGACAACAGGTTGGTTACCTTTGTCGTATTCCTGGACCTGTCTGCTGCGTTTGACTGTGTTGACCACACAATACTTCTACAGCGTATGGACAAGCTTTTTGGCATCTCAGGAATGGTGAGATCGTGGTTTGACTCGTACCTGTCAGACAGAAGCTTCAGGATGAAGGTTGTGAATGAGCTATCAGAACAAAAACCTCTGAGATTCGGAGTTCCACAAGGCTCAGTGGTTGGTCCTCAACTTTTCAGTTTATACACTCATCCTGTAGCTGATATCATCAAGCATCATGCAGGGATACAACACCACATCTATGCAGATGACGTGCAACTGTACATCTCTGTCGATCCAAAGGACAGGCATGCAATGACAGCTGCTCTTGAGTCATTATCTGCGTGTATCATCAATCTGCAACAATGGATGAAGAGCAACATGTTGAAACTGAACTCTGAAAAAACGGATTTCCTTATTGTTGCTAGTCCACGCTATCGACATCTCATATCAGGGATTGTTCTGACCATTGGTGGTACAGTTATCGAGCCTTCAACCTCTATCCGAAGTTTGGGTGTTGAGATTGACGCTAATCTGAAGTTGAATCGCCACGTGTCATCTCTATCCAGTTCGCTTCACTTTCATTTGTCCAACATAGCACGCATCAGGCCCTTCCTGGACCAGTCTGCATGTGAGCATGCTGTGAGAGCGCTCGTCTCGTCTAGGATCGACTACGCAAACTCCCTTCTCTGTGGCACTTCTGCATTAAATGTGAAGCGTCTGCAGCGAGCTCAGAACCGTGCTGCAAAGTTGGTTTTTCGGGCCAAGAAGTACGACCATGTAACACCTTTCCTACAACAACTTCATTGGCTCCCCGTTGAAAAGCGCATAACATACAAAATTCTGACTATTACATACAAATGTCTTAATAATTCTGCTCCCAACTACCTCACGAAACTCTTACGTAAGCATCAAACAGCAAGACCAGGGCTCCGATCAAGCAATGACCCAGCACTACTCGCAGTTCCAAGGACCAATACATGTACAGGTGACAAATCCTTCTCTTCTGCTGCACCACGCCTATGGAACAACCTCCCCCAGAACGTACGGACGTCGTCATCCCTTTCTCAGTTCCAGAAGTCCCTTAAGACATTTCTATTTAATACTTAATCTGTACCTGTAATATTACATGTAGTTTATAAGTTATTTTGTAAGACAATTTTTTTTTTTTTTTTTTTTTTTTTTTTTTTTTTTTTTATGCGTAATCAGGAAATGTAATCAGTTCATAAGTTATTTTGTTACTGATATTCTTATATATGTATATGATATGTAAAGCGCTGTGATACATTTACTGTAATGAGCGCTATATAAATGCAAATATTATTATTATTATAGACTACGCTCTAGAGTTTTAGACTATTGGAATTGGAATGGTGGTGGTTATTTTACCTGACTGCTAAGAAAGCATTAATGCTTGTAAGTAAGCAACCAGACGGCCGACGGCTTTAGGTCCTCTCCGAGGGACCTGGTAATGAGAATTAATGCCTTACCAAAGGGCATTAGCGCATCGCCTTGGTTTCGAACCCGGGTCACCGGATTACGAGACCACTGCTCTACCGACTGAGCTATCGCGCCTCCTCTATATATCTTGGATGACTCGGGGGGGGGGGGGATACATGGGGGCTCAGGGCTCGGTCGCCCCCAAAATGCCAAAAGAGCCCCTGAAAGTCATAAAAGGGCCCCCGAAGTCATAAAAAGCCCCTACAAATTTGCATAGAGTTTAATGCAAAGCAAGCTTGAAGAGTAGCTCTTGCAATTTTTTTTTTTTTTTTTTTTGTCCCTGTGATGACTTGATCTAAATATCTTGATCTAGATTTTGTGTGTAGATCGTATGTTCTTGGCTCAGATGCACTCTTTAATGTCCACGCTACAGATCTTTCTTTTTTTATATGGTCTTCAAGGTAGTAGGTTTTTATTTGGGTGGGCAATCATGCAGAAAACGGGGCAGATTATTGTGGAATGGCCCTGTAATTGTATACAGTACTTTTATCACATGATATGGCATCACTGGCATGCATGACGAAGCAGACTACATGTACGTGTGCCTAGTCTTCCTAAAATTTTGCTAATTTTCCTCATGCTTTCTCAAGGGCAGCGCTCAAAATACACGGGGGCGGTGGGCGATTCGCCCCCGTGAGCTACATAATCGCCCCCGTCAGGTTGCTCACGGGGGCGATTGCAAAATTAAAAATCGCCCCCGTGGATATAATAAAGATTATCTTTTCGTTTATAACTTTAACGCAATATTGAGTATCAATTTTCAAACCTTAAACCAATGAAATGGAACTTACATGTAGATTAGCGTGCAAGATTTCTTGTTTTTTATTATTACCGATTCAGCTCGCAGTGCAGTGCCGCCGTCAGCAGTGGTTATAGGCCTACTGCGCCGTTTGTAACGGTACGTGTGCACGCTGCCGCGCCATGTCTGCTGGAGCTGAATATAAAAGCGGGTGGGGGGGGGATGCTGGAGAGGAGGACCATTAATCTATTTTATTTTTTCAGGGGGGGGGGGGGGGGAGGTGAAGCGCCGTTTTAGCATGACTTTCTTTTTAACTCTTACTTTCACCTATCTCAGATAACCCTAAGTTTTTGGTTGCTGCTTTATATGTAGTTGATAATGCATGATTAAAATAAAGAGAGAGAGAGAGAGAGAACCACCATCATTTTGCAATAGTTCAGGGTTTGTGTAATGTACATTTTCAAACCATTTCTTAGCGTCTCAATCCTAAAAAAATAGCGAAACTATTTTTGAGCAAAAGCATTATACTGAACTGAATAAAGAATAATAGCTTTATATTGGCTCATACTAATACTGATACGGGCTAAAGACAATGTGGTATTTGTAGAGGTATTCCAATATGACATTTTGATAATCAACATTTTGTTCTGGTATCATATGTATATACTCATAATACAACTGATCTTTATGATTTCTTAACGTGACATAGCTTCTTCTCCCCCTGCAAACAAAAAAGAAAACAAGGTTATTTAATGAAAGGATCATGCGACAAATAATCATTGTGATTCAAATTGAGGTTTTTTTTTAATAAGCAATGCTTTTCACCAGAATCTTCTTTGTAAAAACGACTTTTACAAATCTCAGCCATGCAAATCTGCCACTGTTGTAAGATCACTTTCAGATTAGGAGAAGTGTATTCTTTAATGAGTATTTTACATTGAATGGAACGTCTAAACTTTTTGTAAAAGTTGTTTTACTAAGAAGATTCGGGTGAAAAGCAGTGCTTATTCAAACAAATATTCGCATCAATTTGAATCACAATCATTATTTGTCGCTTAATCCCTTTTAATGACCTTGTTTTCTTTCTCGTTCGCAAGGGGTGAAGAAAATATGTCACGTTATTGACATCATAAAGATCAGTGTTGTATGCGTATATATTATATACACAGGCCCCACGGAACGTTAATCAAAGTGGGGGGCTAAAGTATTTAGGATCAGGTAGAGGGTAGCAAGCGTAAATTGGTGTGTGTGTGGGGGGGGGGGGGGGGGTTCAGGGGTTTTAGGCATTTAATAATGGTCAGAGAAGCACAAATATTTTGATGCCGCATTTGTGTCACTGGCAGGTGAGCATTTTTTATTTTATTTTTTAAGGTAAAATTTACATTACTATCCTATTTTTTTTGTTTACCAGTTTGGGAGGCTAGGGGGGGGGGGGCGGGCCTGTAGAATCGGCTCGTGGATCCGCGCCTGTACAAAATAGCACACACACAAAATCGCCTCGCCGCTACGCGGCTCAGTAAAGAAAGAATGTAAAGGTTGCTCCGAATAATGAGGAGGAAATAATGTGCAGAACGGGAAAAAATCGAGAGAATGTCACCACAGGATGAAAGTCAGTAGCAGCTATGTAGCTTATAAATATGTAAGAGGGAAAATGCTGATTAAAATGAAAATGATGAAATAGCTAATAATTGAGGAGTATCATACATGTAGGTACCAATTCAATGGATATTTGTATAAAAAAGAGCCCCCGTCAGTACTAAAAGAGCCCCCGTGAGAAGGTTCACGGGGGCTCTTTTTTTTGGGAAGAGCCCCCGTGGACAACAAATTAATTTGAGCCCTGTACAAGGGTGAAGACCATTGCGCAATAATTTATCCCCCTGCAATGCTTATAGTATACAGGCAGCATCATGATTGTATTGTTTGTTTGATTGATGACTGCAGTGTGTTAATTTGCTCATCTAGATCGAAGCCTTCTAGGCTAATTAGCTACAAGCTAGGCTTTATAACAAAGTGGTAACCACTCGTTGAACTTGCAGTGGCTCTATATCTGTGCAAGATCAGAGACAGGTCAGTGTATTGTAGGAAAGGTCAGCAATTAGAGAGAGAGAGAGAGAGAGAGAGAGAGAGAGATAGAGAGAGAGAGAGAGAGAGACAGAGGGAGAGAGAGAGAGACAGAGAGACAGAGAGAGACGGACAGACAGAGTTGATGAAGATCAAGATGAAGAGAAAAGGGATATACCTGTACTTCCCCAAAATTGCTTGGTCTGTCATGAGATGATTCAAGTTTTCACTTTTACTTATTGTATACAAGATTTGTTTATAGGACGGTCAAACTAACTTACCCAGTTCGTGTTAGTGATCGAGTTAGTCCATTTATATTAGTGCTGTAATCAAATGTTTAACCGTCCGGTATCCAACCGCCCATGGCGGATTCTGTTTTCAATTGGACGGTTTCGTTTTCCCGGTTTTTAAATTTTTTTTTTTTTAAGTTTTGATGTATGCCCCTCCACCTGGCACTATGCCTGGCAATGTCTCCCGGCTCAGTAATCTGTGTGTTGACTCACCACTAGAACAACACTCCAATCTGTCTGTCATCTTGGTTTGAAAGTAATCTTTGTAATAGATCTCAATATGTAGTTTATAATAATTCCTCAATTTTTTTTCTATAACAAATAGTATACTACAAGGTTGTATCCTAGGTACCCTTCTGTTTTTAATTTACATTAATGATCTTACACATTCTTCTAAAAACGACATTGTTACTATTATTTGTGACAAGTTCACAAGCACAAATCGGTGCCTTCTAATGCACTTCGCAGTTAAATGAAAGTCCTTCCCGCTTTTTCACACGGACCTGGCTTGCTGCCGACAGTCGGTAAAAAAATGATATTAAAAAATCGTTTAACCGAAAACCGTCAGGTTTTGACTGGCAATTAAATGGAATTGGAGATATCCGTAATGTTACAGCACTAATTTATATGTTCAAATTTATGATATTGTAGCAATAAGTTAGGAGGCAATCATGACGGTAAATGTCATGTGAATATTATGAATAGTAAACCAGGAGACAGATAAGTTGATAACATTTGTATCGGTAATCTTTTTTTCTATGTCTGCAGATCGTGAAGAAGAAGAAAACATTTCCACGATGCCATCCAACTCGAATGCCCGGGACGTTGAAGTCGGGGGCGACATCGCGCGTACCAGTCGCCCCACGATGCTCGTTCATGCCCATTCCAGCCAATACGGAGGCGGATCAGGGGGGACTGGGTCCACCCAACTCACCCCTGCAGGCAGCTACATACCCCTCACCCCCTCTGCCAATGCCTACCACAGCTACAACTCCAGCATAGGCAAGATGACGGGGCTTCTGCAGATTCTCTGTGGCTCGGTGACAGCCGTGATGGGGCTTCTGGCCCTGGTCTTGCATTCACATCAATACTTCATGGACCTGCCCCTGTGGGCCGGACTGGTAAGTCTATTGGTAGCTCTTTGAGTTTGAAAAGTATCTATATCGAGGAAAAATACAGTGTACTCCTTGGACTATCACTCTTTAACATCTGTACATTGTATCGCCCAGGGATGCCAATTTTCAGGCAATATAGCCAGAATTCAGGCCCTGGCAATATATATTTTTAGACCATAGTTTTGGCTTTTTTGTGTACAAAATAGCTCATTCTAGGTGATTTTCAGGCCCTCTGATCAATTTTAACTGGCATCTCTGATCCCCCAGAACAAATTGATTTTTGGACAACTACATGACATGTACAAGTGTCTGTGTCTAGACAGGCACCCTGGAGAAATGGGGGCACAAAATCAAAGCCCAGGGATCCGTTTTACAAAGCCTTTTTACAATGACAAATCAGCTGATAAGCAATCAGAAGCAAGGATTTTACTGGCTTTTAGCAAAAGTTGTCATTTGTCAAAGTTTTGTGAAATGGGGCCCTGGCCTCTCAAATTATTATTTTGTTCACCTCTATAGAGCTCATGTGTTCAAACCCAAGATATTTCAGCTCACACCCTCTTTGAATTTAAAGAAAAAAGTGAGTGTGGAGCCCTGCCATAGGACAACTTTCCCTTAGGGCAACTACCCCCCCCCCCCCCCCCCCCCCCCGCCTCCTCAGGACAATGAACCCTCCTGATAATAATTATAGCCCTCTTCCAAAAAATATTTATCTGCTTCTATACAGTGCGTCCCAGAAAAAACGAAACCGAGAATCATTGATGTTTTATCATAACTTAATCACAATTATAATTAGTAAATGACACATATTTGGAAAGCGTGAAAAATGCATCATATGACTTGCATCAAATGAAAGAGGAGTATCTAAGCTTTCCAAATATGTGTCATTTATTAATTATGATTGTGATTAATTTATGATAAAACATCGATAGTTCTCGGTTTCGTTTTTTCTGGGACGCACTGTATAGATAGGTCAGAAAATAGCTCTTGAAAGCAGAGAGTTCAATGAACTTCCTAAACCAGGTGTAAGTTGTTTTAGCAATTCACCATTTTCATAATATAATCAAATTTAATGCATATAAATCTTGAGTAAATAATGCATTAATTTTTGCTAGGTTGGACATGGTATGTCCTACCTTACAACACTGTAATTTGCATTCTGGCTATACAATTACTTGTAGCAGGTGAATGAAAATATTTGTATGAGGCACATGACAACAATGCATAATTACATTTGATTTACATTACAAAAATAGTCTATTGAAGAAACGATGATTGAGATTCTTTACAAATCCTTCTAAATGCCAAAGTTGTTTGATGCGGTCCCTGGATATATGATATTCTCTGGTTGGCCAAAATATGTAGGTCGTGTCACTGTAATGTAATCTGGTATGAACTTTTTGTTTATTCAGAGATTTGTCATAAATTTTCTCCCAGGGTCGTGCCCAAGGCATTAGATAGTTGGCATCTTGTGTTGTTGTTTTGTATACATACATGTATGTTGACATGAAATAATAATAATAATAATAATAATAATAATAATAATAATAATAATAACAATAATAATAGCCTAATAGTCCACTCCAAATTTTATTAAACCGAAACGGAAATTCTTTTTGCCCAATTGATCGTGAGCCTGGCAGCCACTGAGCAGCGCCAGATCGACGTTGCTCTATCCCTTATTGTTGAACGCCAAACAAATGTCTTGCCATAAGAATTGAAGAAAGGATTGGCCTAGATGTGTATTTCATCATTTGTGTTCAAAAGAATTGCAGTTTAGCTTGCCTAGCTCCTAGTCTGAATGTTTTCTATTTCTAAACGTGGAGGTCCTGTGTCGATCATTTTGTTAACATGTATATTATGTTTCTTTGTTTTGTTTCTTCTGCTTTTTCTTCCAATAGGTGTATCTGTTTGGAGGTGTATTTGGTGTTTCAACTTCAAAGCAACAAACATTCATGGTGAATATTAATAATCCCAGTTTATTCTTTGCAAATATGCTTCACAAATGACACTCTTGCAAGATTTTGTACTTAAATTACTAACCCACTAACATGCACAAAATGCTGAAAAAATTCTCAAACTAGAAGATATTTATGGTTTTTTGTGAAGGCATCACTGTGCAACACCCCAACACAGTAAATTCTCCCAACCAATTTTTGAATTTTCTCAACCGTTTTTCCAACACTTTGATGTTTGGATATGGTATACATATATAGAGCCAATTCATTGTTAGGTGACGATTTTAATTCACGTAAAATTAAATTAAATTGTCATGATGTAGTTGGGAGAATTCAGGAATCAATCAGATCTGTTTTCCCCTATTTTGTATCATTTATAATGGTCTGTTTTCACTCAAACTGTCAGATTATCTTTGATTGATAGCAATGAAGTCACTACAGTACCTTAGCACCATTTTCTCTCATCTGAACAATGTTACCAAGTCCCTTTGATTTGATTACAAAATACATTACAAAAATTTCCTACAGTCCAAACCTTGCCCAAACACTAGGCGTATAACCCAAACCCTAAACTGTATCATAATATATTTGCAATTGTAACCCTAGCATATTACATCTCTGACCAAAAAAAAGCCTGTGCAAATGTTGCTCTAGCAAATATTGGGTCATCATGTACACGTAATTGATATACCGGTATGTAACTTTTTAAACTTTATTTTCCCCTTCTTTTCTAGATTGGTCTCTATCTTCTGTTTTCCGTTGTGTCAAGTATGGCATCTTCAGTGGTCGTGGTGACACAGGGACATGCTACTTTTATGGAAGCAAATACATGTGAATGCTCCATCCTAGAGGTAATTGATTCATGATTTAATTGACAATTCAAGACTTGTATTTTGTGGGTTAATTTGGTGATGACCTGAGTTGTATACTTTGTATATTTTTTAAATTCTGATGATGAAAATTGCTGTTGTGTCCCATGGTGTTAGTCTACATCATTTTGACCCTGATTACCCAAAATTATGAAGTTAATTGATATCTGGAAAAAAAATATTGAAAGACAAGGTTACGATTGAATGTGCCTCGGGACTTATTTTCAGTTTCTCCTAACCCTCTTCCAGGAGTGGAGCAGGTTCACAAAACTATTATCCCTATTTGTTATAAAGGTTTTATATATTGTTACATAACATTCCATTTTCAATACTAGTGCATGTATATGCCCTTGACTTTATGGCTTCATACAGACAATTTCAATATTTGTAATGGTCGAGTGCATAGACCTTGTAATATCATTTCACCTCTGTAGTGTAAATGTAATACTTCAATTTGATATGGGCAGTCACATTAAATAGCCTTGATTTGTCAACACATTAATGTCAATGGCTTATAGTGAACTGTAAGATTATAGCTATCAGTTTGTAATATGGGGCAGGGGGATAGAGGGGGCAGGTCATATTTAGAGTTAACAGTACATACAAACGGATATTTTATATAACGCTCAAAAATGGGTATGAGCAAACATTGACATTTTTTAATGAGTTTTTCCAGTAACGTAATACGAGACAAAAAAATCTACGATTCTTCAAAATTGTGTCTTGGCCATGGAGAAGACATCCCGAGTCAAAATAAATGATTTGTTTTATAAAAAGTTGTTGAAATGTTGTGTGTCCCTGGTATACTGTAGCCAACCTTGCGAGGTTCCTTCATAGGAAGTAGGTGTGAAACGTTGGCAAGATTGGCTCTATGTTATCTTGTGTATACTTCTTACATCCGGAGACCAAGAGGTATGGCTACAAGATTTAGTGTCATAATGTAGGTCAGGTTAAGGATCTGTAAAATTTGTAGGCTCATTTCAACTGGGCTGTAAATCTCAGGAGGATGGAAATATATGTACCGTAGATGGAATGAATGGTATGAATTATGAATGTTGTGTTGAAGGAAGGATTTGGATGAAATCATTGTGGCATTTCATTTGTTTAATGTCATTTGGTAATCTGAACTCTGGAAAAAAAGTGATACAGCATGAAAACCCTTATGGCTAGTACATGACTGTATGTTATTTGTTCTCCTTTTTATTTCTCTCCCTTCTCTCCTTTCTTTTTGTCTGTCATCCCTTTCACCTTCCCTCTTTCTGTGAACCTTCCCTAATTGTATCTTTATATTTGCTTCCCTTTATCTCTCTCCCTCTTTCTCTTTCTTCCTCTCCCTCCCTCTCTCTCCCTCTCTCTCCCTTCCTTGCCCCATGCCTCCCTCTCCCTCTCATCTTTCGCCCCTCCCCTGTCTATCCCTCCCTCCCTCTTTCCCTCCCTCTTTCCCTCTCTCTCTCCCTCTCTCTCTCTCTCTCTCTCTCTCCCTCCCTCCCTCCCTCCCTCCCTCCCTCCCTCTCTCCCTCCCTCTCTCTTTCCCTCTCCCTCTTTCCCTCTCTTCCCCTCTCCCTCACCCTCTTTCCCTCTCTTCTCCCTCATCCATCTTGCAGAGCACCCATATGCTGTACGATGCTACAGCTGCCCTGGTGTCATGCCTGGAGCTCCTCGTGACCTGTGTAGCCATCTATCATTGCTTGTTGGGTCTTGGTTGCTGTAGCTGCTGCCAGGGTCCTATTCCCAGGGTAAGTCTTGTGTGATGAAAGGTATGGTATTTCCGCATGCAGTCTCCAAGATGGCTCAATTTACATGTACACACTAAAAGACAATGGCTGATATTTTCCTACAGAGTGAGGTGCAATATATGCAGCCTTCTCAATCGGTTTAAAATTCGCAAAAAATCCCTCTTGTAAAGTAATATATTGACCAACGTGTCGCATATTTACTAATGTACTTCAATTTATGCATGTTTTGCTCCAGAACCTCTACATGTAGTTACTAGCTGTTTAATTCACCTGTTATCACTAATTGCAACTCTCTGGATGGAATTCACTTTTTGTTATAAATATATCGTGGATTAACAGTTGCTATGTTAGACAAGCCTAAAGCAAGCTTGTGAGTTCTCAAGAGAAACCTTTGGTTACGAAATATGCATAAATTATTCAACAGGTCTTTTGTCCCCTCACCTACTTTAGTTGATGGAAAACTTGGTAGGAAATTTTTCAAAAAAAATAAACATGAAATGATTTGAACTACTAACAAGTTCTTAGTTGTGTTTGGGGGGGGGGGCATAGATTTTTGTCACAATTTCTGTTCCATAGACTTTATAGAAATTCTTGGACTTTAATACACTCTGGCAAACAACTTTAAAAGAAAGCAGAAAAATCAGTCAAGCAAAGTTTGAACAAATGTGGACAACAAATAAGAAATTTATCAATTTTTGAAAGTTGTTATTACTATGTACATGTATGGGAGCTTCAAATTGGTTGAATTGGTCATATATCACTGTGATGTAATGCCAGACAACTTTCCTATTTGTTCAAATACATAAAATGACTGAAATCTTTTTTTTTTTTCCTCTTTTATAGGATCTACAATAATATACTATCCATAATATATTTTGAGTAATGCCCCAAGGGAGTAAGCACTTGGGAGAAAAACGGATATTAATGATATTTTGTACACAATTTAATTGAATTGCATAGCTCTAGTGATCTCATTCATAACTTTCTTATTATTGGTCCTATTGATTTCAAATTTTGACATTCTGTATCTTTTTTTCTGCTTTCATACAATTTAATAATAGTACAAAGGTTGGATTGCCCTTTGATATAAATGAACAAACTTAAGGTAGATTTCTTGCATCATTGTAAAACCTTACAAAAAAAGATATAATATGCATGAAGTGGGGAAAAATATTCAAAAAGAAATGTTTTACAAATTGCCCTATAGGGATTCATCATTATAGGGTTGTGTAGTTTTCTGCCAATGGAGAAAAAAATGAATGCCCAAAGCAGAGATACTGTATACAGATGCCACAAGAAACCTCATAAGAAATAGACCAATTAATTTTAGCACCATCAGTCATATGCTTTCACAAACAGATGGTAGAATATTGGATGTTAATCTCAAGGATAAATATTTATTTGAATCATTATAATTATGCTATACTTCTCAATGGAAGTCATATAGAAGTAAAGAATAACAAATTTAAGAACGGGCACGAGCGATTTTATGTGGTCGAAATGGCACAAAAAAAATTGATTAAAAAAAATAATGGAATCTCATTATGAGAGCACAGTTATAACAAAAATCTCATTATAAAAAGGTAATCTTGCTGGTCCTCTTTCTTTGTATTTATTTTTGTTGCCCCCATGATATGAGAAGAATTTTATATAACAAGCTTTAATATTCCATTTGTACATCAATTTGCATCTCCAAATTGATCCCACAGTACAAGGCTGAGGGACCAATTTGGCTGAAAATAGAGGTTAATATTGCAGGTTCTCGTCTAATGGGAATGACTAATTAGCTTTTTTATGGCTGATAATATTTGTTTTTCATTTCTGTTTCAGGAACCAAGAAATGGCATTTCCCATCCTCCAACTCTGATGGATTTCAGCAACATTCCTCTCCCCCCTGCCCCTATTTACCCAGTCCTGCCCCCTGGCAGCTCAGAGAAAGTGCCCCTTGAGTGAGGAGGGGGTCCTAACGAATGAGCCATCACGCCCCACCCCCATGCTGTGGATCGACAATCGGGGCGGAGTAACAGCTCATGATGCAGCACAGTAAAGATGTGATTGTATAAAGCTGTACTTGGATTTCAAAGTTCAGTTTATCACTCCATTCGTTTTGGATGCACTTATAGAGGACTGAATATGCTATTCATCCAGACTTGCTTAGCACCGTGGTCGATGTGCTGTAGGAGAGTTACTAACATGTTTTTATAGTGTATTGTGCTAGTTGTGCTTGCACTTTAAGCTGGACTGTGTTAATGAATATGCACGTGCTGCCGGTGGGGCAAGTTAATCGCTGTGTACTTCCAAGAAAGGACTCGCAAGTGGCATTAGCTATGGCCAAAGATGCGTGAGAAGACAAGAGGTCATTGGCAGGAAGATGGAGAACTTTATGAGAGTAGCTTGGGAGGAATAAATAATCTGTAACATCCAAGTGTTATTATTTAACATGTTTCATACTGTAGGAGCTAGACCTACTGAAAAAATGTATTCAATTGCCATGCTAAATTGATTATAAATACAAATTCTATGTAATCTCATGCAAATGTGAAACTATTATATCTTCCTCAAAGCTTCCGCAAACAGATTGCACATCTGTTTTGATCAACTTAAAAGTTAAAACTGTGATTCTACAGAGGAGTTTTATGAGGCAATCTTTTTCTTCCTCTAGAATTTTTCCATATATTTCCATTCTCTCTTGTGGCGATGAACTTACTTTTCTATCTTCCATAAGACTTTTCTCTTTTACTTGAGTAAATCTTTTGTAATAAATCTATGAGCTGTCACTGTGATGCTGGCGTGCACATTAGATAGTTTCATATGTCTTAAAGGCAAATCTGACAGGCTTCATTGGTTGTGTAAAAATCTCACGTAAAATAAAATCTTAGGATACTTGATTTAAGTCTAAAATTTAACTCAGGACTACATGTATATAGGGCTTAATTTGTCAAGATAGTAAAAATTGGAGAGTTCAGTAGATAAAGCCACCTTTCCATTTTTGGAAGATACAATTTTGTTCTGTATGTTTTGAGTCGGGCCATCCTCACTTCAGCTTTTAACTAATCTTGCGTTCTGCTAGCAAAATTCTATTTTGAAAGAACGGCTCAAAATAATCCTAAATTATTTATATTGCAATAGATCTCTTCAGAACCTCAAACTATTAACGACCTACAGAAAATTTGCTGAAAATCACTATCAGATGAAAACACAAGTCACATTTGCATGTTATAGCTCAGACGACTATGTGTATATGTAGGTATATATACAAGTAGCTTGATTATCCTATCTTTCACTTCTCATCGCTCCATTATTTTCTGCCAAAATCATTTCGCAGGTACAAATTATTTGTAATTCTTAACATTTAGTCTAAATTTAATTTGATTCTGTGATAATTCAGTTTACATCGATACCAGAACGCGAGATTATCCCTTTAACAATTGAATACAAAGTCAAGAGATAACTACCCGGTTTTCTTTAGACCTCAACAATGCAATTATAATTGCAAAGCCTCTCTTGTGCAAATGTTTGAAATGATTGAAGTAGACGCTGTATGGTTATAATTGAAATACTGCATCTTGCAGGTTCGTTTACACCTATACACTCATAAAAGACACTACCAAGCAAACTGATGCAAAAACTTGTAATATTTTATGTACATGTATTTGAGATTAATTGTTGCCAAAGCAATGGGCATTCAATGTGTTATTGACTGCATGGCATGGCATCAAGAAAAATTCAATACGACTGTACATGTAAGAAGTTAAAAGTTTAAATGTAAATGTAAACTCTGTGATATGCCATTCCCTTTTTATACTTTTGATATGACATCTAGATAGAGTTGTATAATACTAGTAGTTTAGTAAATCTAAATCTTGATCAGATATTGCTGGGTTTTTTTTAGCCAGAAAGGCATTAACTCTGTCTTAAATGCTATGAGCTATAAATGCCATTTTTTGTTCTCAAGCAGTAGACGATGGGGTAGAAAGTTCCTTAATTTTAGAAAATGTGTTTTGTTATGCTACAAGGATTACACAATTTTGTTTTATATTCAGTTACATATTGTTTACTTTGGGTATTACTTTTGATATTCAGTTTAGGGGGTAGAAAGTTTCTTAATTTTATAAAAATGTGTTTTGTTATGCTACAAGGATTACAATTTTTTGTTTTATATTCAGTTCCATATTGTTTACTTTGGGTATTACTTTTGATATTCAGTTCACTTTTACTTTTATACAGTTTTTGTTATGAATTTTAGTGCAATTTCAAGTCTTAGACGAAACGTCTCTATTTATTGTATATATAGGTTATAAGTCAGATGAGAAGAAAAAGATAACTTTGTTATTACAGTTGCATCCATAGAAAACTGCAACGCTGTACAGAAAGATCAGAGAAAGTCTGAAACAAAAGAAATTAATACATAGACGTGCAGTTGTGAATGGGCAACTCATCAGTCATGCTCTTTTCAGTTCGCCATTTCTCGATTAGCCTACTCTTTCAATGCACAAAACATTGTAAAACTTTTTGGTAAAAGGAAGAATTAATTCTCAAACTAATATCATAGTGAAGGTACATGCAATATACATAAACTTAAGATACTAATCTAATGGTTGGATAAGTTCTTTCTTCTAAATTTGAATACTGTACGAATATGAAATAAGTGTGTGAAAAGCATGAACTTAGTCATTTAAGTTGCAAATACATAAAGGCCTCTGGAAGGCCTTATGTGATAACTCAAAAGTTCAAAGGTAATTTGTTTTATATGGCGGATTATCTTGAACATTTTCTGCATCTACTTGTATATGTATATCTCTGATTTTCAGCTTTTGATCAGAGTTTCACTTTGGGTAAACATTATTTTCAACTGTTGGTACAAATGATAAGTGATAAGTTTAATTTCTATACAATAGGTAAATATTGTCAGCTGATACCAAAACGATTTTTTTCCCCATTGAAATGTACTGTGATGTCAAAGTTGTAAGGGTGTAAAAAATTATACAAAACAGCTCAGCTATAATATCGGGAAACTGTCTGTCACAGATCTTTTGAGCAGTTATTAATGGCTTTTCGATTGTCACGTCGACAGAGTGAACTGCGACATGACGTCGTTCTGAGGATCTGCGCAATCTGGAACGCCAATCTCTACAGCGATAGTGTGCACCAAGCTAGCTGTACTGGTACGTGAATTAGACTCGTTCAAAGTGGTGCGTGCGGGGATGAATATACATGAAGAATATGTCACTCACATCATCATGTGACATCATTTTCACTATAGTGCAGCAAGCAGGTGTTGACTGAAATTTAAATGGTTTCAAAAGGAAATGATCACTCTCTGGACTAGAACGGCGTTCTTGTTGACACAATCGAAAAGGCCCCAATGTGTAACATAGTTATTGGGATGTTTGCAAGCATTACTTTAGGGTGCTACTTTAAAAAAAAAATTACTTTGTGACTAGTTCTTTCACTCTTAACAATATCTTGCCAATATATAGATATCATACTCAAATGCTCAAACGCTTTATACTATTCCATAATTTGTCATGCTGTGGACAAACCTGTACATTGAATTTTCCCTGGGAATGAAATAGGAATTGAGAAGAATACAACCAAACTCCATTGTGTGGAAAATGTTGGAAAAATAGTTGCTTCTTTAGCTAATTTAGCTATTTGAACAATTCTGACATTCTCATTACGGTAACGCTTCGGTTGCTTTCTTTGCCTGCCTCTCTGCATGGTCGCTCCTCTGCCACACATGCACATTCGCACAAAACATTAGGCACCAATTGACAGAAGGATTGCTTGGCACAACACAAGGGCTTTGCCAAAGTACCAATTTATGGTCTTTATTAGCTCAATGACGACCCTCTTAACACAGGAATAGATTTATCTTGCACCAGAAACAAATGATGATGGCTTTGGTATATATATATATATCCTATCATAGATATATTGTGGCAAAAGGAGATTTATTACGCGGCATATAAAGAGTTAAACTTTGTGTCACACGTTGAGTAAAATTTAATTCCTTTTCAGTTAGCGTATTTATTTATTATCATTTCAGTTAAGCCCATTTGTTTTTACCTGAAAGACAGGGTAGTCTAGTGTGCTCATTTTTCATATAACAAAATTCGGCTATTGATTATTATAAGAATAAGTACACTCCTTCTTACTTTTCCAACACCATAGTATATATAGTAAAGTTGGTATATAAGCCAAAAGTGAAGAAAAAAAAACATTTTGCAACATGCCTTAAATTGTACTTTGTAAAAGCTAAGAAATGTAAAATAATTGTACTGCTACTTACTTGTATGTTGATAAAGTAAATTTTTTCAGAATGAAAATGTGCTAGTATACCAATGATTTAAAGTGTGAGTTTAACTCATCATAGTTATTTTGTCACCTGAAAATGCTGAAATATTTATTTTGTGATATAATGGTTATTCAGTGTATATGTTTGTATAGCTAATATTTTAATGTGTTGTAGGACAACACCAACTGTTAATGAAAATGTTTCAAAAGAATTGAGTAGAGCTTGGTGTCAATAGTAGACTGAAAAATCAGTCTATTTGAATTTCAGTCAGGGGAATGTTCTGCTGAGCCAACGTCTGTCTTTACCAAATCCCTCTCCTTTTAGTAGGAGAGCCTCAAAAGATAAAATATGTTTTTTTGTTGTTGTAATAACGTACTCCAAGAAAACAGTTTTTTCTGTCATAGTCAATGGAAGACTAAGGTTCATAAAAGGTATACTGAACAGATTATAAGAGATAAAGCAGTAAAATGCTGAAGGGGAAGGGAGCTACAAATAAATAATACAGCTGGGCTGAGTGGGGTTTGAAAAGACTGCATAGTGCTTCTCTCTGGGAAAAAAGAAATCATTGATATTTATTTTCAGTTGTTAGGTTGTTATACATTGTACTTTGTTTGTCTTTCACTTTAGGATATTTTTATGCATCAGCATCCTTTGAATACAGGAACCACATCACATGTCCTCAGTTTAGAACTAGATTCTTTTTTGGACAGCCCACGAGACCGGTAATGTCGGTCCCTTGAACCTTTGTCAGGAGGCCAGCAAAACCAACCGGTCGGTCTCTTGAAATAAGATTGATGTGGTTGGTCTCTTCGGCTGTTCTAATTTGCTGAAGTTCTCTTGGGCTGTTGGTCTCATTGGCTGTAGCCTTTGCATAGATATGGTTAGCATTCTCCAGTCATGAGGAGTAATGTTGTGCTAAAAACACAATTTCACTTAAAGCCCCTCTGCACTAGTTTGGCCAGGAGGGATTAGACCTCCCTGCATGGTCACTGATAGGTGGTTATCTCATCAAATCATCTCTCGATGAACATAAGAAAAAGGGGACCATGGGTGACCGCTGGTCACTGATTAGGCATTGTTTGCTATATAGAGGGCACAAGTAGCTATAAGTAGTGCAGTGGGGCTTTAAAGTTTACTCCATGGTATGGTCGAGGTTTGTATTTCTAGGGTTTGGATTTACACTGGTATCTTTGCACCTTTAGCAGTATTTTTATGTTATTTGTAAGATTAGTACTAAATTCTGATATTAATGTGATTGTTTCTTTTAAGTAATAATTTATTATTTATACACTAAAACTTACAGAGAGTATGGTCAGTATCGTTTTTCATTGGTTTTCACCTTTGTTTTATTTTATTTTTGGGTCTTATGACGGGTTATACAGTTCTTACTACATAACGAGCCTGATCACTTTGAAATGTATTGTTTCACATGTTCACCTTGAACCACCATATATACTGTCAACATTAATACATATTGCACGAGCAGTTAATCCAGTTTACCTGTCAATTCTAGTATTTTAAGCTAATATAGATTGAACTGTTTTGACAGGTGAAACCTCGACAACACACTGCTACAGAGACAATTATCGCTATAGAATAACCCAAAATTGTTTGATTTATGATATTAATTCTTTGTTACATCATTTTAAGTGATGACAGGATGGATACATGTAATGTATATGTGGGAATATAATAGAGTATATTAATGAACAATGTATTACTAATGTGTCGCATATACCTGCACAATGTGCTTATACCTGATAAAGAAATGGATTAAGCCTTCAGTTATTCTTTTGAAATAAGTGTATTTGTTCAAGCAATCTTCATGTTGCGGCAGAATAAAGTTTTGGCACTAGCCATGTTTTGTAACCACAGAGAATTCTCATCCAAGATGTATAATATACTGCTCAGTTTAAGATGGATGAATTGAATAAGAAAAGAGAAAAGTCGGGGGGGGGGGGGGAGAGAAAGAAAGAAATGGAGAGATACTAAGAGAGAGTGAGGAAGGAATCAACAGAGAGAGAGAGAGAGAGAGATGACTGATTGAAAGGAAGGAGAGGAGTTGAAGGAATAAAGGTCATGGGGAAAGTGAAGAAGGTAAATTAGAAAATAAGAATAAGAATAAATAAGATTTTGTTGGAAGGGAACATAAAATAAATATGTATTGTGATATCTAATTATCTATGCTATTAGACAAAGACATAAAGTAAGATGAATTAAAAGCTCATGTTACAAAGTATGTGTACTTTTATTCAAGAGTTCAGTTAATATCTATTTTGTTGACTAAAATCTTTCCCAAACAAAAATGCATGGAGATACTTCACTGCATTGTATGTGTAAAAATTGATTTGTCTTGAATAAAAAAATAAAACAAATTTTACTTGTGGTTAATGCATAGTTTCTAAAGGGGGATAGCAAAAAAAAATCTGTACCTATTCAATTTAATCAGACCTAAAGATTTATCAGTAGCACATTGTCAAGTTTCATTTTTGTAGAAAACAAAAGAAATATAACAAGAAAGAAATAAAGGAGAAAAAAAGAAGAAAGAAAGAAAGCAAGAAAGAAAGACATCAATAAAAAAAAAATTGCATCATGTCGTCTACTCAACCATTATGCAACTTTCTTCTTCTCTGCTGCCCTCTACTGATGAGGGGAACCAGTACTGATACCTGCTCATGAAAATTGGAGTAAAATAATCATCCATCTGTCCATCTCTCTCTCTCTCCCTCACTGCCTCCCTCTCTCTATCCCCTCTTTGTCCCATACTTTTTCTTTGACATGTATTCTACACCCATCTCCCCCCCCCCCCCCCACACGCTTTTTCTTGCTCCCTTCCCCTCTCCCTCTCTCCCTTCTATCTCTCTCTCTCTCTCTACGGTATTTCCCACTCTCTCTCTCTTCTATTCTCTCTCCCCCTCTCTCTCTCTTTCTCGTTGGAACCACACAGAAATCACCACATGCTATTTCTTGAAAATGGGTAAATTCTTTTGATTCCCCTTGATATCAGAGGAAGGATTCCTCTCGCATACAATGTACATTATACAATATACATGTACGGTATTGTGAAGCCATGCAATTCTTTTTACTTGTGCTGTTTTTCAAAATATCATGGTTAACTTTGACTATACAGTATGGATTCATGGAATCAAATGTTTGTGAAAAACTGCTCTTTCTTTTTTATTAGCCATTATTTTCATCTCACAGACTTGCTTTGAATAAGGAACACATATCTGGATATTAATCAGACTTTGTTTGAAGAAAAACAAATCTGATATGCAATTCTCCCTGATATTAGAAATTGGATACAATTACCTTGAAGAGGTACGTGTACAGTAGCACCAAGGCATTTTTTGTCTCCCACCTTGAGAAAAAAAAAGTCAATCATGATCTGAAAGTCTGATTAGACCATTTGGCTGACTAGAAGGCTCACAATATCTCAATTTTTAATCTTATCTTGTATTTTCTCCCGAAAAGCAGTCCAGTCATCATAAGGTAGGTAGGGGCCACAAGGACAAGAGCTCCGTGGACCATTTCCTGAACCAAGCCAATTCCAAACTTCAACCCTTGGACAAACATTAAAACAATCCTTAACGTAAACCTATCAGGAAATCCAAATGCAAACTCAACCCTATATCTTTGGCGACATAAAGCCTAAAGCAATTTTTTTTTTGTCAAGAGCAGATGTAAGATCAGCACCCTCTCAGCTGGTCCTCATTGATCACAGTATAGCTACACAGTGTAGGTATGTTGGTGAAGCTTCTTGTTGGTTGATGCATCTCTATAATTCCGTATCAGTCCGAATTGTGAGCAATTTTTGCAAGAACAAATATCTGGTCACCACCTTCTCACCTGTCCCTCGTCGACTACAGTACAGCTAGGTATGTTGGTGAAGACTGCTTTATGTTGATGCACCTTCACAACGCTTTATCAGTCTGGAGCCTGAGCAATTTTTGCTGGAGAAAATATCTGAGCCCGTCTTATAAAGAGTTATGATTGATCCAAATCAATCACAAGTCCTCCAATCAATCGCAAGGCTGCAATCACGATCTATCTCATATGTACATACCTGTAGTTGTAAATTGATATCAACTCTTTATAAGACAGGGTTGTGGTCACCACTCTCTCAGCTGCTCCTCGTTGATCTCAGTACAGCTAGGTGTGTCGGTGAAGAGTCTGAAGACGGCCGTTGGTTGATGCGCCTTCACAATCTTTGTCTGTCTGGAGAAGGCTTCGATATTCTGATAACTTTAGATGGCATCACAGCAACTTCAAAGCTTAAGAAGGCAGAGTATCAGCAGCACACCACCATGCATCCTTGATGACATTGCAGAGCTGATACTTCATCTTCTTTCCTCTTTACACCCAAAGCATTCATTTCTTTATCTTGCTCATCTGAAGGTGAAAAACAAAGAGACAGATATAGTTTTTTAATTTCATACATTCAAGCTGCACAATGCGATCCTTCTATATTCAATGATCGTTAAATGAATATGAATCTTCGGCTCAGAGCCAAAAGGGTTTTAACTCTGTTGTAACGCCCTTCTAGTTCCAAACAGATGATAAGCAATATAATTCAATCAAAGGTTTACTCCATGCATACATTCCCCAGAAAGCCATATGAAAACTGGGGGGGGGGGGGGGTTCTGTTCAGAGCCAAAGGGGTGTTATCGCTGTTTTAACACTCTTCTGACTCCTAACTGATGATAGGCATATAAATAATTCAATTAAAGGTTTACTATATATATACATCTTCCTCAGGTCACAATTCGTCTAATAATAATAATGATAATTACAGTGCTTATATGTAGCGCCTAACACTTACTTTGTTAGAAGTCTCTAAGCGCTCTACAATAATGCAGCATAATTACCCTGGCTTTAGCAGTGCAGTTGTTACGCGTGCTGCGTTTCAAGGACTAAATTCCTACCAGGTACCTATTTACTTCACCTGGGTGGAGTGTGGCAAATGTAGATCAATGTCTTGCCAAAGGACATTAGTGCAGCGGCGGGACTCGAACTGCGGACCTTGTGATCGACAGTCCGGCGACGTATCCACTCGACCACAACACCTCTACTGTCTAGCACAGTTTGGTTATGTGACTTGTGAGGAGCAGGGATAGGCAAACTGGGAGGGGATGGAGAAGGATTGCCCAGAGTATAATATGCAGGCCTTCCAAACTTAGAAGTTCCTGATTCGTATGGGACTATATCCCATAAAATGACTGATCGATTACAAACACCATTTATATTCAATATCTTCTTAAACCAATAGCAGTTCTGAGTTTTCTTATATTCCAAATAATCAATTTTCCCTCCTCAAATTGGCAACGATCATTCACTCGTTCACAGTTTGAAGAAACAATGTTTATCAATTTACTAGAAATCCCATCTTACTGCTTTTTGAAGGCACTCCTTGTAGGTTTGAAACTCTTTGCCACAATCATTTCTGCCTACGTGGTCCTTGCTAGATACGCACCGACCATATGCAAGTGCCTGTATAGATAAACAGAAAAAGAAAGAAAAAGGAAGACAAAATTAAATTAAAATATGAATATGTTAAATGTAAACTGCAGCGTGTTTTCCCCCAACGGTTTACTGCATCATATCTGAACAAGCCTTTAGCAGAGGTATTGCAGAGAGGCATGGAAGATACCCTGTTCTATTTATGTTTAAATCAACATCTTCTAATGGATGTCCCTTTCGCGGCACCCTACTTTTCAGTTTTGACACACAATTTTGAAGTCCTGGAGAAAAGCCTCTGCTAGCTAGCACCCGACTAATACAAATTTGATCAAAAACAGTGCCCAACAAAGCAAATTAATATGGTTGTATCAGTACTTGTCAACTGGTACTTGCCTACAGTATTACAAAAACAGGAGTAGAAATATAAATAGAATAATAAAAAGAGGTGATTTCTATGAAATTCTATCAGACTGATATTCTTGCTTGAATCTATACTGTACATGAACTGTAGGTCTGCTAATGACTTTTGATGACATTTGACAACTTCCATTTTTTGTTTAAATGTAAAAACCTACATGTACCTCCTGAAGCTGGAGCTGAACACTTGATACAAACTGTAGACACATAGTTCAGAATATTTAGTTCAGGTGAAATAAAAGAATATTGTAACAAATCAGTGTTTTAGTATTGGACGAAGGTTAAGCATTTTCTGTTGTACGAGCATGCACTATAGCAATATGGTGCATCGTTGATTTAGCAATTACCAAACTGAAGGAAAATGAGCATAAATTACCTATAACAATCATGTTGGTGCAATTATCATGTTTCTTTTAGGGATATTACTTGTATAGTAGTGATCTAATCAGGAATAAGGGGTTATACTGAAGATTATATGTGAAGATTGTATGGGATTAGTAGAAATGTTGTGTTGAAGTGTTGTTTTACTAACGAGGACATAATTGTTCTTTTATACGGTTATGTACATGTATAGGGAAATTTTTAGGATGATCAGGATTGTGTAATTAGGACTTTCCACTGCACTCTATCCGATACAGGCCAGCCTCACCGAGGCTGGCCTACTTATAGTTGGCGCTGGCCTTGGTCTTTACTTGAAGTCTTACTTTTAGTCCACACCTGTACTTGTTGAACGAGTTAACCCTGAATGTTGGTTGGTTCGCATTAAAAGAATTCAACATGCAACTCATGATTGGTCTGATTTCTTAGAACAGTGAAACCGTAGTTAGACATTGAGATCGAGAATCAGTGACAGGAGTTGACAAAGCATGGTGATTGATTGATTGATTGCTCGAAGGATGTTCAATTGACTGTTGCTGTGCACAACGATTGGGGTGACCGATTGCAGTCGAAGGATGCATGATTGTTAATACGCCCTGTGACGTGAGCAGTGAAAGAACTCCAGCCATCAAGCTACGGGCATATACTTTGTCCAAACGGACGGAGAGCGCCTGGCCGACACGGGGCATCCTGACAAATATTCCGTGTCAAGCCAAGGTGGCGAACCGAGTCCGTCACAATATGCTCACCTGTGGGGTACATTCAGCAAAGGCAGCTGGAAACTGGGCCATTTTCTGCCGGGCTTTCTGGACACTTCCACTGTTCATGGTTTCATCTGTCTTTGTTCTTCCTAATGTTTCCTACTTTGTGTCTGATCCACAGGCAGTCATTCTAGAGAGAAAGAAAAGGATATCTGTATGACATACAGTATCTATCAGAACATCTTAGAAGATTGGATTAAAATATATGACTGTCAAGAAGTTGGTTTCATGAAACGACCCCTACCCTAGATCCACACACTAGCCAGTTGCCCTCTTACTTCTTTCTCCATCCCTCATCTTTTATAGCCTTCATCTTCATTATGCCATATGATCTGTCATATGTCAAGTCTGATTTATTGATAAATTAATTAATTAAAATACCAGATATGGTCATTGTCATTAATTTAAATAATAGGGGTCTACATTCAGTTTAATCAAATGGGTAACAACTCTATAATTTGTGGTAATCAGTGTCATTGATCTTTTTGCAGTGCTGCTAGAATTGAAATTTTGTTTGATTTTGTCTTTTTGATAATTCAATTAATGTTTAACTCAAAATAGTAGTAGCTGTCTGTCGCGAAGCGACAATGACCGCCTTCATTTTCACTTTACAGCTGTTCTCCATACAGCTCGCTTGCCTGCAGCAGTTGTCCAAGTCTTCATTTCAATTTGCCTCCGCTTAAGGTACATGGTTCACTCAAAATACTAATGATGATGAACCTGAATGAAAAACCTTAAGTTCGTTTAAGGTTCACTCAAAATACATGGTGACAAAATGCAAAACTGATTACAAAATTTAATTGATTATTGAAGGAACACTATAGCAAAATTGTAAATATGCTTAGAACAATTGTATCATCCTAGAATAGATGATCAGTTATTAAAATACAAGCAGCAATCTCCTGACTTCTATTCATTATTCATTCATTCCATTCTTTATCCATGACATAAAATTGAGGACAATTGCATGTTCACAGGATCTCACACATTGCAGTCACAAACTCACAATCAATCATACATTTGGCCCCGAGACAGAGTGCCAGCCCATCAAAACTACAGGAAAACCCACACGTACCATGTGATTTAAAAAGAATCAGTAATATAGGTCTAGTAGATCTAGTAAGTAGTAGTTCAAACAGAGCAGGTCCAAGGCATGCAATGGCTCACTAGCGCTCGCCGCAGGAGATGAGGCAGGGGCAATGCGGCCATGCGACAGCGGGGCGGCGCAGAGGAGCTGCCGCATGCCGCGGACTGTCGCTTGGCGCTGGTTTTCTTTTCACCCGACCAGCTTCCTACGACTATACACGTTACACTTACACCTTACCCGGGAAAGACAGTCGCCAATGCAATGCAATTACATAATTAATTGTCATATTTCAATCTTCAGCTATTATAAACATTGTATAGCTACAGGATAACTCACAATTTACGAGAGTGACTAAGGCCGATCAGGCGAAGCTAGACAGAATGATTGAATTATCTGATATTAGTCATGCATTGGAGATTTAATCATGTGATAAAAAAGTGGGCGAGGTCTTTTCTATATATGGTCATATAGTTTTTACATCATAGGTTTCTTATTGTTGCCGTCTATATAGTCGTCTATATTAATCCAAAAATTGATGTATTAAAATTTAAAAAATGACTTTAAAACAAAATAAAAAATATAATCATGATATAATAATATTTAATATAGGTAACTATGAGATTTAATTTCATAGTTTTGAAGAATAAAAACTCTTAATCAGCAACGTATTAAAATTATCGATAAGCAAATGTGTCACGCGATCATTATTGATATACAAATACTCACACAGTACACGTACCGGTAGTAGTAGTGGACCGAGCTAGCCGAGCGTTATTTCACGAATTCTGAATCAAGTTATTTTAGCTGAAAAAGTACATTACTCCCCGATAATAGAAGTTAGAAGTCTATTCCGGTGATCAATCTTATATGTGTGAAACAATCAGATTGGGACGATGAGTCTGAGGGCATTTTCTCCCGCGGTTGCGATAACCGTGTTCAGCATTTTCTGCTTGGGCATCACCAGCAACGTACAGGTAAGCTCCACCGGCAAGACTCGGGCACAACACCAGAGCGCACGCCGGAGCCCATTTGCTCGGGGTGTCATTGCCAAATGAACTTGTCTTTCGTTTTTTTCCTATTTATTTGTGTTCTTGATCAGATTTCATAACATGTGAAGTAGAATATCATTTTGCATTCTATTATCTCAATCACAAGAAAGAAAGAAAAACATGAAATTTGATGTACAAAAAAAGGCATAGACCTCTAGGCCTAGATTTCTAGATCTAGAGAGTAGAGTCTAGATCTAGATCTAGAGAGTTGTCCACAAATGATGTAGGGATGTTACAAAAAATTTAAATCTCAGAATTCAAGCTCTTGCTTTATGCCATTAGACAGAGCTTGATAAGACCTTTTATTTGATGCCTCATGCATCGTAATAGCCCCAGTAATAAGAAAGTTATGCCAATTTTAAACGCCCGGAAATCATGTATTTAATTGCTTTGATTTCCTTTGTTTTTAAACCAAAAGTTGTGATCTCGAATGTGACCGAAAGATTCTATTTCATTACATAAAATCGCCCAAAATGTATGTAAATACACGAAAACCGCTAATCAGGCCGTCATTTTTGCATGACATTTTCACATTCCTCATCCAAAAAAACATATTTCTCATCGATAGATTTTGCTGAAATTTCACCAAAAACAAATTCACATGTTAACCAATCATCCTCTAGAGATACTTTTTTTCAAATCCTGTAGGTGGGATCATGGTACAGAATGGCACTAAACACAGCTCTTGTGAAACAGTGCAGCAAAACAAACTGCCAAAAACATAAATCATAAAAAGTTTAGTATGAAATGAAAGATAACAATGTCATTCTTCTCATCCAATAGAAATCATGAAACAAAAATCTAATCAACCCATCAAAAGATCACATTTAGTTACGTAGGCTTTCCAAATTGGTCTCCAATAGTGCATACCAGCCCCATGGCAAAAACCTTCATGGCGAAAGCACACACATTGTAACATACCTAAATGATGTCATCAAATTGAATATCGCCCTCTAGTGACTAGTCATTTCAAAAAGCTTTAACTTCCTTATTCCTTGCCCGATTTTGTTCAAATTTTCACTGACTTTATTCAAATATCTTAAACTTTACAATAAAAGTAACTTGTATGAAGGTTTTGGTTCCCAGTTGCTAATTACCATATTCATGAATACCTATTAATTAGCATATATGCACAAAATGCCATTTGTTTGGGTGTTTACAATTTTGTATGCAGTGAGGATTTTATAATTCTGTTTGTGTGTTCCTACTATGTGCTGCTAATTATGTCAGAACAATATTTTCAGTTATGAGGCTAAAAACAAGTAAAATTATTAATAAATAGAGAATTGAAATCATATTTCCTGGTTTTTACATATGTACCGGACGCGCATCTTATTTACTGGATGGTATTTACCGGTATTTACCGCCCAACCCTGATCCGTCTATAACTAGTCTATAAGCAGGCAAATTAATAATTATTGAGAGGAAAGAGATGAGATACGATCATATGGTTTACATTATCTATTAGAAAAATATTCAGTTCATCACATAATTGAGGGAGCTTGGTAACAGTGTGGCCTTTATGAATGCTTCGCCCTGGCCTTGGTTGTGTCGTAGAGGGGGAAGATCTCTTCTGTATGAAACAAATCTACTCCGTCATCAATAACTCTGGAAAAATGAAAGTTTATAACATTTTCTGTATAGATCTAGATCTAGATCTAGAGCAAAAGGAGAGGACTTCGCAAGGTACAAAACTTTTTATAGCGAGACGAGAAAGACGCAATGTATACCTCAGAGAAAACTGCAAGGAACAGTATCAGTGCGGGATGGCCGAGCGGTCTAAGGCGGGGATTTTAGTCTTTTCAACATTTGTAGGCAAGAGATTAAATCCCGTCTTCGACAAAAGTTTTTTTTTTTTTTTTTTTTTTTTTTTTTTTTTTAATGTCAAAATTGGGGGTTTGGCCTTATCGCCGGCAAATACGGTAGTGTACATGTATTGTATTTCTATTATGTTCTCTCTGTACTTTACTGTTGTATGATCCAGAACTACCAGGACTGCCTGTACAAGTCATTAGGTTAATAACATTTTATAGTAAATTTCTGAACAAAATAAAATGAATAAATAATTGTTTGGTTTAACTTAATATGACTACAAATTTGATACCAAATTAAAGGTGTTATACTGTCTTTACTTTCTTTAATAATTTATAACCAGAGTTGACAACAAAGTTACATTTATTACAAACATGTACATGTACTGTACACCTGTACATGTATGTATCTTATTATAAACAATTATTTTCCCTCCAAAGTTTAGCTGATGTTTTGTTTTCATACAATAATAAACCCTAGAAAATGTTACATTGTAGTAAAGGTCTGAATGTGCTCTGCAAGAAACTTAAATTATTATTGCCATAAGGGGACCACAAAATACATGTACATGTAGGTGGGAAGTTTGGAACAATATATATATATATCTACATGTTGTATATTTGCAAATTTCCTCATTCAAGTCCGTGTGACCTCTTTATTTTGCATCTGTATGACATTTTTAATGCATATTTAGGTCCCTTGTCTAATTTCCTTTCAGAAAATTAATACTTTTACTATGATAGGGTTAACATATTTATGGAGTTTTACACTGTATCAAGATTTCCGAGTTTAAAATGCAAATGACCATTCGACTGGATATAATGCAAACATTGGAGACCTCATGACACTCACACACAACCTAAATTCATTCTACTGCAGTTGTCATTTACATGTACATTGCGTGACTGGATTTTTAACCTTGAAATGGAGCTGTTTAGAAACAATAGTCTGTCAAATCAATGCATGCATGGGGGGGGGGGGGGGTTCATTGTTGGGAGGAAGTTGTCCGAGAAGGTAAAGGAAGAGATCGTCATGTGATAAACAATGAGTAGACCAACAAGAATTTTAGACAAATCTAACACATGTATTTAATACCGGTACTGTTATACAAATTACATTGTAGTCTGACTATCATAAGGAAAAGACATACAAATTCAATACATATCCATTATATGAACACAAATGCTGATTTTTATTTTTATTTTTACCAAAATTATCTACCGTAGCTGTTTAGTCATGTACACAAATTCAGATGGGCTAACATTTAAGTGACTCTGCAAATGTCCCCTAGGAAATGATCTTTATCTGCATTTATGCATACATGCATTACCGGTACCGGTATGTACAATGTACATGTACATGTAGATACAGGTGTACCACATGTTGATGTAGTCGTTGCAGGACATGGAAATATTGTATTAGAATTCGATATGGAGTTCTTAATTACCTGGTATTTATTTGTTCAGATGGAAGTTGAATTAGGGTGTGAAATCTATTAAAAAGTAGTAAAGATTATAAAGCTGTCCACATTTGCTGCATGCATGTACATATACACTGTATATGTACAAACAGTGCAATGTAGGAAAGAGAAGTAAGAAAGAAAAGTTCCCCAGTAGAAAGGCAGAATATGGTACAAGTCATTTTGGAGGGGGGGGGGGGGGGCTCTGTCTGTGGAAATATCAGAGGGAACCCCCAAAAAAGTTTCTCATATTACTTGTTAAAATGAACTGGGAACTTGATGGTGTACTGTTACATTTGCACATGACCCAGAAGCAAATTTACATACAAACCTGTGTACTGACTACCGGTATCTCATCTCCAGGGTACATGTACAGTACATGTATGTGTGATGTAATTTTCACAAATGCATATTTGGCACAAATATACAGGAAATCTTGAAGTGAAATAAGAATAATACAGGCACCATTAAACTGAACCACACACATATGAGGGCAATAAGCCAATATTTTGACATAATTCAAAGGAAAAAATGAAAGTCTCCTCAATCTTGGCACTGTTCGGTTCAATCAAAAAAGAAAGTTGCAGAAAGAAAGTTATCTGGGTATAAACCATAGTATGAAGTTATGAACGCCGGATGGCCTTTCTCTCTCAAGTACCTGAGCTTTTTCATTAGCTCTTGATGATAAGCATGTGTACTTGATCTGTGCACATCGTCAGAGATGAACAAACGTCGTCCCTGCATCTCAAGTTTCTTTTTAGCTGAACCTACACGTAGGACCACTTCCCGATCGCAAAAGCAATTTTGTTTTTAAAATGTGATTCGGTCTTGGCTTGTTCTTTTGTTGGCCTTTGGGCCATGGCATTTGCACTGCGGATGTTGTCTGCCGCCGCTGGTTGTGATGACATCACTCTCATTGGGGTTCGGTGAGGACGCTTGATTTCCATGGAGTTAGGGATTCCCATGGCAGCTCGATTTCCATGGAGTTGGGGATTCCCATGGCCTCTCGGAGAAAAGTATGAACGGGTGCTGTGCAGTCGACCGTGTCTCCTTCAACGCCTTCTGGCACATTGTGCAAGATCACATTTCTTGTGATTAACTACAGTGTACCTGTAGGTCAATAATCTGTCCCTTGATCTCAACAATGGCCGTCTCTTCAGCCATTTTGTTAACCTCACATTTCATTTTCTATATTTTGGTTTCAAAATGGCTCATACCATTTTCCAGATCTGTGTATTGCTTCTGGAGCGTGTTGATGCTAGATTCTGCCGTGTCTAGACGATGGCAGGCCTTAAATTTCGTCATTTTTAGGGCAAGGCCAGTTTGGCCTCGAGTACCTCATATTTTTAAGGGCACCAAGGCCAAAATATTTTTACAAAAAGGGCATCGAGGCCAAAATATTTTACAAAAAGGGCATCGAGTATGAGGCCAAAAAAATTGATTCTACTTTTGTTAGATGTCATGTGTATTTTATGAAACTTGTGTGGGATCAATTTCCCATGACTTTTAGCACCAGCTTCTTCACAGAATGTATAGAGGTCTACGGTACATACAAACAAGGCGGCGGCCCGCAAGCCTTAGATTTAGCAGCCAGGAGCAAGGGGCAATTTTTTTTTTAAGTCGCCCTTTGCCATAGGAATTTACCAGAGCAAGGGGCAATTTTCCAAAAACAGATAGTCTAGGCCCCTTATCTAATCATAAGTTCAAAGAGAGTTGTTAATTTCATAATGTGAATAGATCGAACGATCAATTTAATAACTTTTTAATCTTAACAATATGAACAGGAAAGATTGATTAAGAACATTAAACTTGCACATTAAACAGTATTCTAAAGTAACTAAAAATATTGATGAGCAAATGAATAAATAAATTGTCAATTTCACAAACATCGAAAGTCAGAAGGACTTGGCAAGTTTACCGGGCCGGGTATCCCAAATCAAAATCGCACCTCACACACAAACCTTCCGCCACTCTCTCGGTAGTAGGAGCAAATTTGAAGAAATTATCTTTTTAACTGTTGTATAGAAAGGTCTAGATAGGCCTAACTAATGAAATAAGATGTAAAAATGTCCTTATAGACATTCGACAGCTGAAAGTGACACGCTCAGCTCAGTTGCGTAACGTGCATTCACGAAACCAAAATCGTTCCTCGCACACACACTCTCGCCACTTTTGGTGGGAAGCTGTCGGGCTGGAAGTTTGCCAGCGAAACCGATGCACCCTCGGAGACTCGCAGCGCGTAATTTTACCGGGACTCGAAACGTTCGTCTTGGGAGGCTGGCGGGGTAGCTTTTTGAAGCGAGGTCGGCTGGTGGCAAAATGAGAGTAATTACGATCGAGAACATCGTAGGTGTTCTTAACTTATTAATAAGATAATTCTAAATTCTATTTGAGATAAAATAATAAACTAGACCTACAAACAAACCTCGACAGATCTCTAATGACTATTTGAATGCTTGTTTATTTCTCCATTTGACGATTTGTTTTCTTGATCCTGGCCTTTGATTTGTACGTACGTGCGTGCGTCAACAACATGCACCATATGCATATCATGCGATCGCATGAACGTACGTGCGCTAGCGCATTGCCTATATAATAACAAAGGGCGCATTTTCACGGCACTTGCGCCTTATTAAAGCACTAAATACGAAGCTAGAAGAGAGCTCGTGGGCGGCAAACTGTTCGTGATTCGTGTATTTTTTCTGTTCTAATAATTTATGGGCGCATTTTCACGGAAAACACTTGCGCCTTGCCGTCTAGTTTTAAGCGCAATTGGTGGTTTTATGTGCGCAAATTTAAAAAAAAAAGGGCACGTCCAGTTGGAAAAAAGGCACGTCGGCCAGTTTGAAAAAAAGGGCACGGCCTTTTTGGCCGTGAATTTATCTTTTTTTGGGAGGGCACCGCGGCCAGTCATAGGGGCATCGACGGCCTGGCCGTCGATGGCCGTCGATTAATTTAAGGCCTGCGATGGCAAAGTTTATCAATCTTGTTTACTAAAAATACCTCATTATGATTTGATATATTCCCAATATGCATTGCAGTAACCCATTGCACTTGTATGAGTACCTTCAGTTCAACAAGACAGATTAAATGCTTTATAGTTATCAAAAAGGGGTATTTACATGTAAGTCTAGAATTAGGCATATATTTTAATCCATACATGTACATGCTACATGTATGCCTAACATTTATGATGCTCTTAATACCGGTACTCAAATTATATTAGAATCATTTACTTCATAGCCCCTTTCATGGGAATGCAAATTATGCCTAACTCTATACATTTACAGTACATGTACATGAAGCTTTGAAATTTAGAAGAAAAAAAATATGATTGTCAGCAAAAGAAAATCAGCTAATTGATAGCAATGAGTAAAAGACATACTAATAAACGCTTTACGTCTCATGCTCATTACGGTATATTGCAAAAATATTATTTAAATTGTATGATCTTGGGTTTCTGTTCACTCTTGTGTACATGTATTCTCACAAGTGAAAGACGAAAAGCATTACAGAATTACAGTAGTATGTCTGTATTCGTAGACCTATTCTTCAGTTGTGAAATATGCCTGGAAACCATAGGACATTAAATGTTTTGGGAAACATACTGTATGTATTACTTGCAGTTGCATCATGAGAAGAGAAAATTGGCAAGTTGTTCAGTGTTCCATACAACATTAAAAAAAGTGAATGAGAGCAAACAATGTGCTTGATCATTCAGGAACTTGAACCTTGACTGAATAAAGTTTTGTTCTCATACATGTAAGGCCTGTTTTCATCAGCTCGAGATTGCCAAATAGCCTGCTACATGTATATCTGATTTAGGGAATAATCCCAAAGGTACAAATCGCATCTTCATCAGCTCAAGCTCAAGCTCGAGCTCAAGATATTTTGCTCAGCGCATAGTGCAAGTCTTCGGGCTGGTGAAGGCACACCAGACAAATAGTGGGATATTTTGCTAACTACTGTAGCCCAAGATATCTTGGGATGATTATCCCGCTAATTGCAACTTTGGGCTAATGAATACGCAAATTAACTGGGTAGTTTGCGATTGGGATAGTTCAAATAGCAAGATATTTGGCAATCTAGAGCTGATGAGGACAGGCCTATTATAATCTTGATTAAAATGTACAAATGTTCATTCCATACAAGTACATGTACTGTGTATTTGCACACAAAAGTTTTTCACTTTTTCACACCCTAGTACTCCAATACCAGCATAAATTATGTAGTCTATGTCAGGGATGCCTGTTTTCAGGCAATAGCCTGAAATCAGGCCCTGGCAAGTTATTTTCAGACCATAGTTTTGGCTTTTTGTGTACAAAATAGCTCATTCTAGGTGATTTTCAGGCCCTCTGATCAATTCTAACTGGCATCCCTGACATGTGCGGCATACATGTACATACAATGATTCAGCAGGGTTCAAAGAAAAAACAAGTTTACCATTTGCCTTGATGGGCCAGTAAATCATGCAATGCTTATGTACAATTGTACATGTACCTCTTTGTATACATAACTTCAAACAAAAATATAGGGTGTATTTACAAAGCTTGAAGTATATTAATGATATGTTACTCAATTATCTTTTTATTATATTCCAATAGGTTGCTGCATACATTCACAAAGAAGGCTACTGCATGTGGTATGACCAATGTGGCACAGATGCCGTGACCCACAAATCCTTAAACTGCCTTTACAACAAACCTGCAAAAGTTCTTGATACAAAAGGTCTCGACACCCTGAAGACCCTATGTCCAGAGATGGTGGCAGCCAACGAGAGTGAAACAAAGACTTGCTGTTCTGCGTCACAGCTCGATACATTCAACTATAACATGAACATTCCCAGAGAGACAATGAGTAGGTGTCCATCCTGCTACAAGAACTTGGTCGACATTTACTGCTTTTTAACATGCAGTCCGGACCAGAGTATGTACGTCAATGCCTCAAAGACCACACCTTACTCACCTCCAACGCCACCACCGGAAAACACAGTGCAGGACAAAGAAGCTGGCCAAAAGAGCATCACTGAGGTTGACTACTTCATCCTGAATGAAACTGCTCAAGCGATGTTCAACTCTTGCATCAATGTCAACTTCCCCAGTAGCAACACGAAGGTCCTTTCATTGTACTGTGGCTCTTACGGAGCGGCCCACTGCACCGCCCAGCGCTGGTTGGACTTCATGGGGGACAAGAACAACGAACAGACACCTTTCCAGATTAATTTTAAACTTGGTGGCGCACCTGCACCTATGGAACCTATGGACACCAGGGTGTATGCATGCAACGAAGCACCAAACAACAACACCCAACCCTGCAGCTGTCAGGACTGCCCCAGTAGTTGCCCACCCTTACCCCCACTGCCCCCTCCCCCTCCTCAGTTCCTCGTCTTTGGCATCGATGGTTACATAGTTATCTTCTCTGCTGCCTATGTAGTCTTCCTTATAGTCTTTATTCTTCTCAACTTCATCTGTATGTGCTGCAATATGTGCTGCAAGAAGGGAGGTGAGAACACTGGCGATTGTTGCGATGAGACCTCTACAGCGGTGAACTCTGTGAATGGTGCCAACAGGAAGGAGATCTCTGAGGATGAGGTCGGTTGCAAGGCATCCTGCGGAATGGCTTTCCAGAAACTGCTGGAACTGTGCTTCAGGAAACTGGGTACTCTTGTAGCGGGCCATCCACATATTGTTCTGGTCCTTGGCGTCATGGTTGTCACAGCAATGACTGCAGGGATGGTCAGATTGAAGGTAAGGATACTCAATTGAGGATCTATCCAGTGTTAGTATGTTTTTACTGTTGTTACCATGAACCTACACTTAGAGAGTTGGTTGCTACTAATATTTCAACATGTGTATGATCTCAAACCTCTAACTAAATAAATACTAAGCCCGCATACTGTAAGTTAGGCTGGAGTCTATGAAAAATGCCCATGATATATATATATATATATTAAAGTTCAGTTGTATCCAAATGGTTGCATTTCTAAAAAAAGGTATGCTGTAGACGTGCCTGCTGGTTGTTAATGATCAATGAAACTAATTAACTATTAATACTAAGCATAAACCATTAAATGTTAGGGCTTTGGCTAAATCAATAGTGTAGTTGGATGTTTGATTATAAAAGTTGAAGAAAATTAATTGATGCTTTATTGATATCTTGATTTGGATAGGTTACTACGGATCCTGTGGAGTTATGGTCACCCCCTACCAGCGAGTCTCGTCTTGAGAAGGCCTACTTTGATGAGCACTTTGGTCCCTTCTTCCGTACAGAGCAGATCATATTGACTGCACCTGAACGCAAACCCTACAATGTCACTCGACAGTATCCGAGCGAGGCCACAACCACCTATGGTGGCATTCTATCCATCGATCTTCTGCACCAGGTGAGAATCCACAGCTATGAGGAAAAAAATAACCCTCCTAGCCTCCCCCTCCCCTTTCCTGTTGACCTTTTTCACCATTATGTTTGGTACTTCTTCATTATAATTTGTATTCCTGTATTGATTTGTATCCATACATTACATGCCAAAGAGACAGTCTGTCGATGCAAGTATGGTATAAGATTCATTTCCTAGTTTTTTGGGAAAAAATCTACACTTGCCACTCACAACCCAGGTGTAGAAATGTGTACCTGGTATGAAGAAATTCCTTGAATGCTTGAGAACATTTTTACGGAAGCTTGACTAAAGTGGAAAATGATTCTTCTACAAATAGAAAAAATTATACACTTGCCACTCACAACCCAGGTGTAAAAATGTGTACCTGGTATGAAGAAATTCCTTAAATGCTTGAGAACATTTTTACAGAAGCTTGACTAAAGTGAGGATAATAATTCTTCTACAAATTGTTTTCTCAGGAAAATGCAAATTTCATTAATTAACTATCAATGTTTTCTCAGGAAAATGCAAATTTCATTTATTAACTATCATTTTCTTTTAAATGCCAAGGCTCTTGATCTTCAAGATGCTGTGGTCAATCTGAAGGTGCCCTTTGGTAACGACAGCTTTGTGACGCTTCACGACATTTGCTACGCCCCTCTTGCACCGCAGAACACTCACTGCACCATTGAGAGTGTACTGAACTACTTCCAGAATAGTCATGAAAAGTTGGACAGAGTTATAATGGATCCTTCCCAGTTCTTCATAGCTGCAGATTTTCATGAGCATCTCTTGTCTTGTGCTGGGTAACTATCAAACAATTCAATCTTTCTTCAGATCTTAGAATATTCTTGAATTATTCTTGGTCATACTTTGCAATGTTCAGAATTACATGTAATTGACAAATTCAACAGTATCCTTGTACAAGGTTACTGTATTAAAGGGATAGTTGAGTTCTGTTGCAGAGGGCGCTACACAAAATAATTTTTTTGGTGAGATAATGAAAAACTGAGTGTCAAATTTGAAAGAACATACAATTTAAATGACAAAATCATCTTTGTTTTATCTAAATCGGTTCAGAGACGGCTGAAATATCCATAAATATAACGATTTCTAATACATGTACTTGTGTACCACCACAAATATTAGATAATTTAAAAAAGCCGTTGAAAAAACGAAATAGCGCCTTTGACATTGTATTTCAGCCAATGCCGATGTTGGCATTTTTGTGTTGGTTATATTACGCCCATGTATTGTTATTTTTAATTAAATAATTAACGGTCACCGTATTTTTGTTAAAGTGGAGCTGAATGGGTATGATCGTATTGGCTAAATTTCACACATTTTAAATTTGGGGTCTAAAATTACCTTCATAGCAATTTTAGGTTCTAAAAGGGCACCAGAAATGTCATAGATAAGAATAAGAGCAATAACCATGCTCTTTGAAGGCATTTGCGGTCTGAAGACAGAACTCAACTATCCCTTTAAGGGATCTAACAATTGGCCTTTCTCTCTTCTATGCATGTAGATACCTCCAGTTTCTAAAACAATTTCCATTTTGAATTGTACTGTGTAATGATCAACATGCTATAATGATAGATGCAGACTATGTTTTTTCCAGCTCCTGTAACAACTACTCAATATAAGAATTGTGCAATATTCTTATTTGTTATTCCTTAGATTGGCTCCTGCAAGGTCTATTTTATGAACGATCCAAATCCTGTTTAAATAACGTGTATGATTTTAATAATACAAATTTTGTAAGGTCATTGTGTGCGAGTTGCAGTAGTATCTGTTAATGAACCAGCCATTTGAAAACTTGTGTACGGCATAATATGATCTCTCTTTATGATGTACATTATAAATGTACATGTAGTACGTGTATGTACGCTTCTGAATGAATAGTTTGAAAGCAAGCCTACATGTACAGTATAATGACTTACAGATCATCTTACCTGATGAACGTGTATCCCAATCTCTTCTTCCATATTTCATTAAGACAACGTATTTAATGTACATGTACAGTGTTTGTATATGACAATATCATCATCATCATCATCATCATCATCTATACGGGAGTGTAGGATATCCTCTACGTCTCCCGGTCTGATCACTTGGTACATTAGTAAAGGTCTATAAATCAGTGTATGCGTGGATGTCAGTTAATGCTATAATATAATGTTGTGCTATAATATAATGTTTGTATTCAGTATTTATTACTGTTTTATTCCCCAACAGAATATGCATGCATGTATATACAAGGACATGAATTTGTGTTTGTTTAAATTCAAACCGTAATATAATTCTGTTGTAATTTGTTTTATATTCTGATGTATGTAGGAGCCCAGCAACCCTGAATGATACCACTGCATTGCATATGCCTTGTATGGGTACCTATGGTGGTCCAGTCTTTCCTTGGACAGCTCTGGGAGGATATGAAGGTAAGTTTAACTCCTTCGTAAGGCCTTTAAATAATGTTGTATTGTCCTTTGCGACCGACCCAAAAATCTAGAAATCTACGGTCGGCTTTAATTTAAAAAAAACGTTTTTTTAGAAGAATTTTTTTTTTTAAGCATTCAAAACTGAGAAGTACCAGCCCAAATAGGGAGTGAATTTTTTTTTAAAAGATTTCTGACCGACAGACCCATGTTTTGGCACCTAAAGGGCAATACCACATCTTCTTTTTTTTAGGCCTAATGTTGCCGAATGTACTCTACGGTATGCCTCGCTCATGATCATGACGATCATTATCAAAGAGTTTGACACCTAATTCACATTGTTTGTTTGCATGTCTCTTTGTTTATAACATTCAGGTATCCTTTGATAGTCAAGTTGAACTGTGTAATTTGTTTTTTTAAACACTGGATATTCAATGTTTTGCTCTTGAAGTTGAAATAGTTGCAGACTTTCTATTTAAAATTAGGTTTAAAAATTCCTGTTATTCTTCCTTAATAAGGACCATGATATAAAACTGGTATAAACTAAAAATGCATGAACTAATAAAAATGTTCCTCCCTCCTAAAAATATAAAGCATGTTTTTACTAGATCCAATATTTCTACAAAGAATATTTATACATGTATGTTTATGTATATCAACATGTTTTTTTCAGTGAATGCTTTTGTGTGCTGATGCATTTGTTTCATTATTATTTTAATTAAATGATTGTAATTGAGGAGGGTGGAGTTGGGAATCATAATTATGGACAGTGCACAAGTATCCTAATATGTATTGTTCCTTTTCTGTTGGAGGCTCAGCTAGATATGCATCTATGCTCGATAAAATACAATATAAATCTTTAAACCTTGTCAATTGATATTTTCTGAAAAATACAGAATTCCATTTCTATATTTTTTTCTATGATAGAATCATCTTTATTCAATATTACTTTCGACTTTGCAATTTTTTTCAAAACATATACATAAATATACATACATAATATATATAAATTATAGAATTACAAAAATATTATACAGGATATGGTGGTACAGAATTTTTTTAAAAGCAACAAAATGTATTTCCACCTATTATCAAATAATACAAATTTGTATCTAATATATTCCTACTTTACTTTTCTTTACAGGCGATGAGTTTAACATGGCCAACGTCTTGGTGATTACCTTCCCTGTGGTTAACTACATCACTGGAGATCCAAAGCTGGAGAAGGCCATGGCTTGGGAGAAAGCTTACATTGACTTGCTCAAGAATTACAGCAACCCCAATTTCACCGTTGCGTTCCAAGCAGAGGTAGGATTGTTTGCATTGTGATTTTGTGAAGACGTTTTATTTAGACCTATGTGATATTATCTTTTTTAGTATTCAAGTACAGTACACTTATTCAACTTATTTATCATCCAACAGTGAAAAGCACATATAACAGTCTTGAATACACAAATTGGTAATATATAACAGTCTTGAATACACAAATTGGTAATATATAACAGTCTTGAATACACAAATTGTTATCATGGTAGAGGTAGGATTTTTGCAATGTGATTTGTGAAGATGTTTTATGTAGACATATGTGATATGATTTTTTTTTGTATTCAAGTACTGTAGGTATTCAATTGATTTATCATCAAACAGTGAAAAACACATATAACAGGTCGTGAATACACAAATTGGCAACATGATAGATGTAAGGATACCTTCAACAACAAAAAAAGCACAAGGCTTGTAAAACAGCAGGCACAGAAATATATCATATAAAAATAATAACAAAGGGGATACAAATCAAATATAAACATTACAACTTATATTTAGAAGAGCTTGATGAAATTCATCTCTCAAAATGTTAGCCAGAGAAATGATGAATCATGGGTTTTTGAAAATGTTTGTAAATGAATTAAAACTAGGCTTGTAACGTATTTTGTGTATTTTTTTTCGGGGGGGGGGGGGGAATTAGGAGGGTTGTAGTCGATGAGATTTTCTCGGTACCATTTTGAGTAGTGTCCTAACAAGTCCACATTTTGAGAGCTAAAATTGTCAAATGAATATATATGCAATATTTCAATTTCCATACAAATTGGAAGGAGGTAGAGATTCCTTACATGCTAATACGCAGGTTGCCATATCGAAACAATTAAATCATACAGTACATATCATCAAAACAATGCCTATGTGAATATGAGCCGTAGCAGTTCCTCTACCACTTCTCCACTACTAGAATAGTCTTTGAATTCAATTTACATGGATTGATTGTTATTGCCTCATTCATTCATTTCTTTATACAGCGGTCAGTTGAAGACGAGATTAACAGGGAGAGTCAGTCTGATGTCCTTACCATCGCACTCAGTTATATCTTCATGTTTGCCTATGTGACCTTTGCCCTCGGACAGTTCAACGGCTGCAGGAGATTGATGGTTCGTATTGTCTTTACCTCTCTCTTCATCCATTCATTAAGTCAACATATTTAATACATGTAGATGTACATGACAATATCATCATCATCATCATCTATACGGGAGTGTAGGATATCCTGTAGGTCTCCCGGTTAGATCATTTAGTACATTAGTAAAGGTCTAAAAATCAGTGCATGCGTGGATGTCAGACAATGCTATAATATAATGTTTATCTTCAGTATTTATTGCCGTTTTATTTCTCAACAGAATATACATGTAAACAAGTAGCATGAATTTGAGATTGATGGTTCATATTAACGTTTGCCTTCACCTCTCTGTCATTAAAACTTCAGTCACATATGCTGTGGTTTGCATCAGTTTACTGCAGGGGATTGGGGGGGGGGGGGGTAAAAGCATACTGCACTTCTTGTTTTTATATCTTGTAACTCATTGATAATTGAGTATGTTTTATATAGAACCTTTTTGCTGCAAAGCTACTTTTTTGTTCTCATCCCCACTTGTCACTCATTTAACAAAAAACATCACGGTTACTGCAGCATATGTGAATGGGCCTTTTGAATTCCTGACTTTCCCCTACCCTTTCTTTATGGCATAATTTTATTTTTATGCAATGTTATCCTTTTGATAACCCTTCATATGAGTTATCACCCCAATGCAAACATGAATCGTCTCTTTTGTAAGTCTTGATTGAGTGGACTTTACTCCAAAACTCCTGACCATATTGCTATCTGTCTCGCTCTCTCTCTCTCTCTCTCTCTCTCTCTCTCTCTCTTTGTATATCTCTCTCTCTTTCTCTCTGTATCTTTGCCTGTATGTCTCTCCCCCTCTTTCACTTCATTGTCACTATTCTTCTGTAGACATAGGCTAAAGATATATACATATTATTATATATTATTACAACTTTACATGTATTGAATGTATAGTAATTGTGATTCATCAGCTGATTTAGACGATGTGCAGTCTAAAAGATCACATTCTTAAAGTCAATCTTATCAGTCAACAAAGATTAAGGTTACAAGATACTGTCGATAGAAATGTAAACATTATACTTCTTTATCGCACAGGGTCAACATTTCAAGTGTCCTCCTTGGTGTATGCGATTGTATGTTTAATATGCAATGTCGTACCCGTTTCGTGTGAGAAATCGTTGAAAAATGTTACCAAATGAAGGTTGCAACGTCTCTCATTTATCCTTGGCTTGGCAATGATCAGGGTAATGGCTGATTTATTATCCTTCTACAATGTTTAATATTGAGCTTTAATTTGTTGCCTTGACAGATGTTTCAAAGTCCAAAGTTGAGATAAAAGCAGTACCAGGTACATACATGTACGATGGAGTTTTGACTCGTTATGGAAACATGCCAACATGATTTAGAATGAGGACAGGACATTTAAATAATTATAGAACTCTCTTGAAATCCTTAAATTTTAGTTTTCACATTATGTCCCATCAAGTCAAGTTCTGTAGAATTCTGCAGGAATTTTGAATACCAGTATGTCACGTATCCAAGAATTTAAATTTTGCAAGGAAACCGTTTACTGTACTTTAATTCTAGACTTCACTGTCAGACATTATTGAGTGACCTAGTGACTTCTTTTTTTCTTTGGTAATAGTAATACCATACATAAAATGAGCTGTAGAGGGTAGCACAAAACATACAACCATTGGGTACAAGGGTCTGGAAATCAGACCATTTACAAAAAGGATTGCAATCCCTAAAGTCGATTCTACAACTAATAATAATAATAATAATAATCTTTTAAAGTCCACTCCAAATTTTATTAAACCGAAAATGGAAATTCTTTTTGCCCAATTGATCGTTAGCCCGGCAGCCTCTGAGCAGCGCCAGATCGACATTGCTCTATCCGTTTAATGTTGAACGCCAAACAAGGTAGCAGCAACTCCCGTCTTTTAAAACGTCTTTTGGTATGACGCGGCCGGGGTTCGAACCCACGACCTCCCGGTTGTGAGGCGGACGCTCTACTGACTGAGCCAACACACCGGTTTTTCCCCACAAAAATTCATTTTCAAGCCATTTCGTTTTTGGGGAAGCTCTAAATTATTATTATCTTTCAAATGCTGGTGGAATTTAACCATTTCATTTTTTGGCCTGCAAATACCTCAAAGGGGAAGTGAGGCTCCGCATTATAGCAGGAGTGCCCTGTACTGTGAAACCACTTAATCAGGATATGCATCAGAAAGCCTTTGTGTTGAAACCTCGTTAAACAATTATTTAATCGTGATATAACCATTAAGAAGTGAAAGACTTGTTGCTGTCCACTTTCATTTCAAGTAGACTAAACATACATGTAGAAGGACGTTGCCTTCTCAGTTTATACTGTTACAGGAACTAAAAAAAAGTTATAAAACACTTTTTCACTTGTTTCCGCAATGACTTTCATAATTGTCTGTGGTCTTTACAGTCAGCAGTCTCCATGGGTATTGCATTGTAATTTGCTTTAATACAACAGACTCATTAGAATGAATGTGTATACAAAGCAAGATACCACACAAACAACATAATTTGGTGACCCACTGCAAAATTAGTGTAGCTACCCCTCTTGCCTTGGAGAGTGTTCTGGTCAGGGAGATTTACTATGATGATGAGCTTTCCTTATGGGTCCTTACACACTCAATAGGCCTGTTTTCATCAGACCGAAGTTGCAAATAACCTATTTTAACTAGCCCGATTTCAAATAAGCCAGCTATTATCCAGAGAAATCTTGGTCTTAATTCCCAAATAGCCCATCTTTATCTAGATTTTGATGGGCCTATCGGTCTGGTGAAGACCCAATTTCGAGCTTCGCTGAGAGCAGCAGGTTATTTTGCAACTTCGATCTCATGAAGACAGATCTAGTGTGTGTAAATTACATAAGGCCTGTTAGTAAAGAGAAGTACACGCTTGATGATTGATAACACCTGTTGTATGGTGAACATCCAAATAGTGTCACCCCCCCCCCCCCTATGAGAACCTGCATGTATGATTATGTGTCCTTAATAAGGATACATACATAAATATCACAGTCCAAATTTTTGTATGGTAGACCTTTCCCCATAAGGCTTGAAAAAGTCTTGAATTTTATTGTTTACATTGAACCATTGCCTCTGGGAATCAGGTGGTTCCGACAATAAATCAGATGGGAGTGGGAGAATTCAGTAGCCACCTTCAAGTTCAAGTTCTTGAAGTGTAATGTGACAATTAACGAGACATTAAATGGACCTCTGCTTCCTGTCTCCTTCGAACTTGACATTGAAATCTTGCGGTTGATAATGTGAAGGCTATTACATTGCCTGCTAGTCATTAAAGCATACTAAATCTCCATGTAGTCCAGGTTTAAATGGCTGGAGTTAATCCACTAATTTTTGGAGCGTTAAGCTCAAGTTGTCAAATTACGCATCAAGAACTTTATTGTTCATAATGATTGTGTATCTAAAGGAACAAATAGATCATATCATTATGAAATCAGTTTACTGAGTTTTCACTATTTTCATTTTTTTGTTTTAGTAGATTCAATTTTGTTTGGTCATTTTGCCTGAGAACTACGTGTACAGTAATTTGTGAAAAATAAAGGGCATGGCACTTTTTGTTTCATGAATCAGTGAATTGAATTGAAAGTCCTTCCTCAAGAATACGAGCCTGTCTTTTCTTTGTAACTGCTATTAGCTTTCACTTGCTAAGTGATATTGAGATGTACATTAAATGCTTTTGATGTTTCAGTTTTGAAATAACATTAAGAATGTAGTGGAAAATTCCACGTACAGTGTATACCAATTTTCTCTTAGTCATTAAGACCTGTGCAGTACATGTACATCCACATTCAGTATGAAAAGTCCAAGCTCCTGTAGCTTTAGCAATATAATATTATTTTATTACTGTACAATGTATTTTTATAAACATCACTGGAATTTGCGGACACTCATTATCAATTGGTAGAGCAGGTTAATGTTTAAACGTGTATGCTGTCAGTTATGTATTATGGGCAATTCTAGCTGTACTTTGAACAGATGATGTGCACTTTGTATTGAGCAAACGCTAGGTACTTGAGTTGTGCGTCATGACATCATGATCATAATATGAATCAACACTGTTTGCTGATGGTGTTCTACATTCTTACATGTACATGTAATAGCATAAATATTTCATCATAACCCCCATGCCTTTTATGAACCAGCGGGTTCATGTAGTATGGGAATCAGTGAAAAAACATACACGGGGCTCGGGGCGAATTAGCCCCCGAAATGCCCAAAAGAGCCCCCGAAAGTCATAAAAAAGCCCCCAAAATTTGCATAGAGTTCAATGCAAAACAAATTAAAGAGGGTTATTTTCATGCAAGCAAGCTTGAAAAGTAACCCCCGAAATATTTTAAGTATTTTTTTCCCTGATGGGAATGAGGATTTCAGTCAGTCAAGTCGTTAAAATGATAAATGTGAGAGTAAATTAAATCAATTTTCATCAAGACCAATAAATCATTAGCAGGAGTATAGGGTTACTGTTTCACTTTCTGTTGGAACTCTGAATTAATGGGACACATTCTCAGTACTGGTATTCTGTAGAGTTTTACACAATCACAAAAAAATGAAACAAACACAAGAGCCATTACTAGAGGTTAAATGTTACTTTAAACAAATCACTGTCAATTTATATTTGATGAAGTTGAGTTCATGATGCTAAACATGTCAAAAGTTAAACCACCTTCTCAGACTTACGAATAACAAATAGTTGAGGTAGCCGTTCTGCTGGGGCAGTTGCCATGTTCATTTTCAGTCTTATTGTATTTGTTATGTTTTCAATATTTTCATTGCAAGTAAACTGATTATTCTATGTGCACGTTTTTGATTTATTTTCATTATTATTACACTCAAACTGATTTCCACATTTGTTAGTCAATGGTTTTGTTTTGTAATTATTTTAATTCCAATTAGATTGATTCCAAGATCATCCTTGGTCTATCTGGAGTCATCATCGTACTCATGTCCGTAGCGTCCTCCATCGGTGTCCTGAGCTGGGCTGGTGTGCCTGCAACCCTCATCGTCATCGAGGTCGTACCCTTCCTCGTTCTGGCAGTCGGTGTGGATAACATCTTTATTCTTGTTCAGAGATACCAGGTATGAGGCCTCCATTTTTGTCATTCATTCATCCTTTTTTATTTTTGTTGTTAATTCTTATAGAAAGCAGTCCAAAGACTGATACAAACAAAGATTACACATGGTACTGTAGTTCCATTGTTCAAAATTCTTTGAAAGAATTCAATAATTTCACCTTTGTTGACAAGAAACAAAAATTGAGATTATATAGAAAGAAGAATTGTTCATCATCTTGCAATTCAAATTGAAAGAAACTTTAACAAATTTCCAATTTTAAAGTAAAGAGAGGAAAGGAGAAATGAAAAGGACAAGCTGGGGAAGACGACAGAGAGAAGCGAGAGAAAGAGGAGCGATCTGTTGAGAAGAGGGAAGGAAAAATTTTTAACTCCTTTTGTGCCACTTTGTGTTTGAGCATGCTTCATGAATTCTTATCTTCATTTCTTTGTTTTTATTGTTGACTTTATCATAAAATGTACAATAACATGATGTGAAATATCATGTAAATACTGTTTTTTTTACTCACAATGGACAGAGAGACGAACGCTACCCCCATGAGAATCGTGCAGAGCACATCGGCCGTGTCCTGGGCGAGGTTGCTCCTAGTATGCTCCTCACAAGCTCATCAGAGTCTATAGCCTTTGGCATCGGTGAGCATTGTTCCCTGTACAGTCAAACCTCTCTAGAAAGGCCACCTGTTTTCAGTGGTCAGTTTGTCTGTTTCCCTTGGGGGGTCCTTAATAGACATGTTTGTCTGTACTGGGCTTTTTTCAAAGGAATAATATTGATATGCAGTTGATCCAGAGCCTTGATTGCAAGTTGACTTGAGAGGGAAGTGTTTGTCTCAGCTCTTTACGAGTGAGGATTTGCAAACAATTCAGATCATTTGCGACTCATTATGAGGCGAAGCCATAATTGACAAAAAAAATTGCCCCCTGCTGGCTTGACTACATGATATAAACATACTTATATTTTCATAAAAATAAGTGGGTGCATTGTTAGCAAAACTTCAAATGTATTGTTGAATGTACAGAATATAGGCCATTGTACTTTTTTGTCATGCTGGCACTTGTCTCTTCGTGGTCCTGCACTAAGAACTTGTGAAAATGATATCAGTTAGGTGTTGCTTGTTGGAAAACAATGCAGATTGTGTGTACCAGTATTCAACTTTTGCAATGGATGGTCTGTTGATATGATTACAACTCCAAAATGTACACGTATCAGACTATTAGTACTAGATGATTAATTCAGATTTGTTCAACGTTTGTCTATAAACAACACCATATCATGATCATGAATATCATTCATAGCCGCTTGTAAAATACTGGTTCATTAAAAATTATAGCTTATTGTACTTGGGCTTAACCTTAATCATTGCAGCAGCTGGAAAACGTTTTGCAGTAGCCGCATCAAAGACTTGGAACAGCATCCCTCTTTTCATAAGGGAAATTACATGTCTTGTCACCTTTAAAAAATCCCTCAAAACTTACCCTTTCCCCCAGTGATCTACATCTATGAGATCTACTTCCTGTGAGACTGTACATTTTTTGTCCGTTTTTCATACGTTTGTATTTGTAAGCGCTATGGTACTTATTGTCTTTAGCACTCCTAAATATTCAATATTATTATTATAATTATCAAATTTCTTTTTGGAAATTTTTCCAATGCTTAGGTGCCATGTCTAGCATGCCTGCTGTGAGAGCGTTCTCTATGTATGCGGCTGTTGCCGTGGCGATGGACTTTTTGCTCCAAATCACCTGCTTTGTTGCTATGATGGCCTTGGATTCCTCTCGTCAAGAGGTATGCGTACATTATTGGGATTGTATTTTTATACCGTATGTAACCAGGCACCTCAATGCCGATGAAAAGTTGCATCAAGTGATTTTCAGTGATTGGAGCTCATAGGTTTATTTGGCCAAGGTGGTCAAATTCTGGTGTTAAGCATCTTTCTGAAAGAATATACTTTCGTCTTTCAAAAGATTTTGGTGTTTAAGGGGTGCCTGGTCGCATATGCTCTCATGGCCAAACACTAGGAAAACTTCCAAGGGATTGGAAATAGACCAGTTTGTAATTAGCACATGATACCAATGACCTCAAATATCCACAAATCTTTCAAACTTGGGGAAGTCCCACTTTATGCACTTTAGAATAAGAAGTGCCAAAGTCATGGAGGTACTTCAAGAATACATTTGTTTGCCCTATTGAGAAGGATACTTCCACTTGTGTTCCATAGATTGTGCCATTGTTGCATGAGTGAACAAAGATTACATAGATTACATAGCACGTACCGGTATCCAGTATTTGTCTTGGTGGGTTGTACAGTTTTGAACAAATTACTTTTATCTGCACATGCACAGATTGTCTCTGCAAACTGGTTCATTATTATGAGACCTTAAACCTTTTAATTTCGAGACCTGAAACCACTAGATCTTTAACCTTTTACTTTTTTCAACTTCAGGACAATCTCCATTATATATATTTAACCTTTTACTTTTTACTTCAGGCCAATCGCTATGAGATCTTCTGCTGCGCCACAGACAAGGAAGCAGGCAAGCAACCCAAAGAACCTGGTCTCCTGTACAGGGTGGTCAAGAACTACTACACTCCGTTCCTCTTCAACAGATTCATGAGAGTTATAGTGGTGAGTTTACTTTTCTTCCCAATAATTTGTAATGCTGTGGCTGTCTTATAAACGTTAGAAATTAGGAAACCACCATTATAAGTACTTTTAAATCAAAAGTGAAAGCACAACTTTTCATTTTAAGTGTATGTTGTAGTTTTTAAGCACTTCAAGAGCTTTTTCAGTGCAGTAGAATATATTTGCATAGTGTTTGCACTTTATAAATTGATATTATTAGCACATGTATTATTATTATGATCATTAATTGAGGCCACTCGAGAGAAAACAAAGTTGCTACTGTAGACAGATTGCATTATTATACAGGTTTCCCAAGGCATATTTTCTCTTTGAGTAAAGCATTAAAGGTAAAGACAAGTATTGGAAACGCCCCAATTTCAAAAAATGAAATGGAAGCTCTTATTTCCAATCATGTGAAAGAGTATGTTTTGACTAATACATGAAGATAACAATTTTGCCGGGAAACTGCCTACTAATTGATATATTTGGTAAATTAGTTTATCTTTGGTGTGTGAGAGATAAACGCACGTGTCACGCATATGTGCGTAGTCCCATATACATCTTTCTGTGTACAGTTCTTGTAACTTACGAAGACTGGGCCAAATTTCTTATCATTTTGATGATTCCAGAACCTTGCAGTACACACCAATACTTATATGCTAGATAGATGATCAACCTTTTCTGATCGATTCCACAACGTTTCTTTCACAATGCAATCGCATGACCATAACTGGTCTTTATCTTTAAAGATCCATTCTGGCATCAAGCTGGCTTAAGTAAGATCATGATAAATATGCAAATAGATCAGTGGAGGAAAATCCCATAAAGAATAAGAAAGGTATGATTGAGAACATAAACAATTTGAGATTCCATGATTTAATAAGTTCCACTTTGTCCAAAAAGATATTCCATTGTGCTCTGTGCCTAAGATGTATTTAATATTGAACACCTGTTTTTACACACCCCTCTAAGAAATGCATTATTTGTTTAGAGCCAGAAGGGCATTAACTCTGTGTTAAAGTATACAAGTAATAATGCCCTTCTTGCTCAAACAACAACATTTAGATCTAAAGCTCTGTATGATATTGTAGAGCTCTGTGTTTCCATGTTCTGTTCATATTTCCTGTATGTTACATGTTGATTTTCATTTCATCTCCATTTATACTCTATTCCAATCCCAAAACGTCAATAGCAGATACAATTTCAAAGATATAATCATTGATTTGTTCCTCTTACAGGTGTGTGTCTTTGTCTTTGTCCTCTTTGCTTCGTGCGCACTGATCCCCTCTCTACCAGTCGGCCTTGACCAAAAGCTCTCCATGCCAGAGGTAAGATAATACTGAAGACTGCAGGGGCATTCTAGACCATTCTGACCTGAGACTTTTTTGTTTTTTTGTTTTTTTTTGTTTTGGGGGGAGGGGGGGGGGGGGGGGGGGGGGATGAGTCAGACAAATTAAAAGTTGGTCAACAGAAAAGTAAAATCTGTTAATAAGTGAAGGTGTTAGATCAAAAGAAGGTGCTGAAATTTGATTTACAGTCAAGAGTATGAAAATGTCCCAAAATTGATAAGTTTTCCAACAACAATCATGGCTTTGCCAATAAAGATTGTGAATGGAAAGTCACCCCCCGCCCCTTGCAACATCCTGATAAAATTATGTTTAGATACTGACCAATACTCACTGATGGATAGTCGTTTAGAAGTATTTAGTATTCTCTGCTAAAATAAAATCACATGATTTGTGACCAACGTTTTAGAAGAAAATGAGTCAAAATTCAAACAAAACATGGAGGAATGAGACAGCTAGAAAGATAGATTTGTTGAACAACATGATCATTAACGTCTTTAGTCAAGGAGCTTAGAGATATCAAGAGATGAGAGGATGGTTGATGAAAAGAAAATTGGGGGGAGGGGGAAGAAAAGGAATGAAAGGTCATAAATAAAGGAGAAAATAGACCTGTTTTCATCACCTCAAGTTTGCCAAATAACCCGCTAGTTTAACTATCCCGATCGCAAATTAGCAAGTTAATTTGTGTCCTCATCAGCCCGCAGCTGCAATTAGCAAGATATTTGGTCAAGAAAATATACCGAGAAATCTTGGTTCTCTGTCAAAAAATCCCACTATTTTCCGAATAGCGGGCTAATTTGCACCCATCCGAGCTAGTTTGTGATGAGCGTATCTGTCTGGTAAAAACGCACTTTCGAGCTTCTGGACAATATCCCGAGTCTGAAAATAGTGGGTTATTTGGCAAACTGAAGCTGATGAAGACAGGCCTTTAATACGAGCATGTTGTGTAACCATTTCTGCACCTGTTCTTGAGACTGGTAACCTATCTCCACCATTCATGACATGCAGGACTCGTACATGATCAACTACTTTGAATCGGAAGGTTCCCTGCTGAATGTTGGTCCACCAGTCTACTTTGTGGTGAAGGACGGCTATGACTACACATCGATAGAAGGACAGAACAAGATATGTGGAGGCTCGGGATGCAATGACAACTCTCTCACGTCACAGATATACTTTGCAGCTGAGCTCTCGCAATAGTATGTATAATTTATTGTCAAAGTTATATATTTTCTCCTCGTGTAGGGATTGGTTTAAAAAAACCAATGCCCTCCCAATCAGACTCGATTTATTATTTGATTTATGATAAAAGACACATGTATTCTTAGTATATTTGAATGTATATTAACAAAATGTCAAACAATAATGCAAAATGTAAAGGAAAAAAGATGAACAAGTGAGGTTTCATTTAGACATTTTCTTACAAATTTTTTGAATACTTAAATTGTTATTGGAAAGCCTTACATTCTTTAGCAAGATATTTATCTATATTTTCGTATTTTTAACCCAAGTAAAAAAATCCATTAAAGATGAACTTGAGTTCTGGTAAATATAGGAAAAAAATTCTCACAGAATCTAACAAAATTTACACTAAATGTTCAAGATTACAAATATATGACATGTGCCAACAAATTTTTCCAGAAAATGTATAGTGGCTGAGTAATTATCGTAGAAAAATAAGGAAATCTGGGTAAGTAGGCCCGACATTATGTGCTTAACACAGGTCACTATATGGGAGTTGTGGTTTTTATCGAAGATGATACCCAGTAAGTTTTTGTGCGTTTGGTTGTTTGAACCAGTGAAATAAAAACAATCTACTGCACGATACACAATCCAGAATAAATCGTAGCAATTTTCTCTTGAAATACGATTTCCATACCAAAGCTCAATGGAAGCTTGACCAAAGCTAAGGTAATAATAGCATTCAGTACTCTGTATCATTTAAAAACAACTTTACATATCCAGATAATATTGTTGTTGTTCTCATTTCATATATTATCATCATTGTTATTATCTTGATCTCTATTTTCTTGAACAGCACAAGAGTAGCACACCCTTCGTCATCTTGGATGGACGATTTCTTTGATTGGGTGAAACCCAACAGTAATCTGACGTGCTGTAGGGTTAATAATGAAACGGGTGACTTTTGTCCCTCTACTGGTATGTTCGTCTTCATGTTCTTATATTGGGGACTTTCAGATTTGCACGTCGACATAGTGGACTTCTACATGTGACGTCCTTTTAAGGCAATGTGACGTCCTTTTAAGGCACTGCCATTGCCTTAAAAGAACGTCACACGTAGCAGTCCACTATGTCGACGTGCAAATCTAAAAGTCCCTATTACCCAAATAATGATACATGTACATACATTGAACAACTGAATTATTCATACCCTTTGTAAGGAATTTAAGTATAAGTATTGGTGTGTACTGCAAGGTTCACCAAACTATATTGTTATCATGGCTAAAAACAAGCGGAACATGATTAAACTCAGTTCTCATGAAATATTAGTTCCAGTGTAATATCTGTGACACTGTATTGGGGTGAAATATGTCTGGATGTTTTTAATTTTTATAAAAGCATTTTTGGGGGGTGTCACCTATTCTGCATTCTTCTCACCTAACTCCCCCCCCCCCCCCCCCCCCCCCACTCTGGGGTCGGAATGACCGCATGCATGTTACCAAAATGTCCGGTAAGGGGTACTTTTCACGCACCAAAGTCTGGCTCGTACATACACAAAATTGACTTTACACACCGGACTTAGGGGGTGTTTTCAAAAGGAGGGAACACGCATATGCGTACCCTAAATAACACTGAGTGGGGGGGGGGGGGCCGGGACCTAACCATTCTAAAGCACAAGCTAGAAATTCTGCATTGATTGGTTTACGAAGTAGTTCTACAGTTTGGATTTAGACTTAATATTGGCTCAAAACGTCCTCTTAAAGGGACTGAAAGTTCCAAGTTGCAATTGCAGGGGTTAAAACAACTGTGTGTGCCATTTTCTTGAATTCATATAGATCCTTCCCAATGTTGTATATACTGAGAAAGATAATGTTACTCTAGTTTGCCAAATAAAATGTGTGTTGCGACATTTCATGTATATACTTTGGGGAAAAGTAACGCTTGGGCATGCAACACTATTAAATCATCATACATGTATTTGTTTAAAAACTATTTATATGTCATTAATAATAATAATAGTAATAATATTCCGTGCTTGTACAGTGCTTAACACATCAACGATATCTCTAAGTGCTTTACAAGTGAGGTATGAGAGCCAAAATGGGTGTGAGGAGACAATATATGAGATAGGGGTTTACTTTTGTTCTCTCAACAGACACCAAAGATACGTGCAGATCATGTCGTCCATTGTCAGAGCAAGATAAGAGACCTACTCCAGAGGAGTTTGAAGAATTCCTACCTTTCTTCTTGGAGGACATCCCAGGGATCTCCTGTAGCAAAGGGTAAGAGGAAGAGACCTTGACTTAAAGGGATCCGGTAACTTTGTCTCAGATTCTGAAACAAAATCCTGGATTTAGCTCATGCTGCAATTATAATTATAATCTTTTGGTCAGTCAGGAACCCCATGACTTTTACCAGCCGATCGCCTGTCTGATTATCAAGATATTTATGATTGGAATTTCAAATTTTGAAAACTGTTTGCCAAACGGTTTTCATAACACTACAGTCTATTGGGGAAAACGAGTATGGTAAAACAGGTCACTCAAAGGTTTTTATTTTTTTTTGGCACTTCTTGATCCCTTTAAAGGCATTGTTTAAAAATGTTGAATCTGAGATGCGCGGCCCTATGTGTTATCAGGGTCTGTGATATGGTGTTATATTGAAGCCCTAAAAAAATTGCGCTTCAAAAATTTCAAATCAAATCAAATAATATGTTTCCAAATCCAACATCAATTAAAAACAATGTGTAAAAAACAGTCAATAGGCAATAAAAACATTGTAAAACTATGACATTTCAATCAAACGATTAAGAAGAAAACAAATCGAAACAAGTATAGCAATAAAAGAGAAACAAGGTACAGGCTACATTAAAAACATAAGTGGATAATTGGAAAATGGTGAACACAATAAAAGCCAGGTTTTTTTTACTTGATCACGAAGCGCCTCAAAAATTAAATTCTTTGAGTGACCGGTACTCGTTTCCCACCATAGACTGTAGTGTTATGAAAACCGTTAGAAAAATGTAAAATTTGGTTTCGATTTCCAATCATAAATATCTTGATAATCAGACAGGCGATCGGCTTGTAAAAGTCTTGGGGTTCCTGACTGACCTCAAGGTTTATAATTATGATTGCAGCATGAGCTAAATCCAGGATTTTGTTTCAGAATTTGAGACAAAGTTACTGAATCCCTTTAAAGGAAACTTTTCCATTGCTCAGCATTGTTAAAGAATACAAGAGACTTTGATGGTAGTTGTCCATGCACCAGACAAGGTTTCTTTAATATCATTCTACATCTTGGCATTATGAACAAAGGAACAGAAATAAAATAGAACATACAACAATTACAGAACAATGAATTATATGCAGAATTGAACGGATACGTATTTAGATTGTTGTTAAACATTTCAACATGACAGAATATACTGTGTTTGGTATTAATGGTTGTAACTGTTCATTCTGTATAATGTCACTTTATACTTTCAGAGGCAAGGCTGCCTATGCATCAGCCGTGAACTTTGACGATGCAGCCAAAAAGAAAATTGGGAGTAAGTGACAAGATCATTAGATACTCTATCATCCTATCTTCTCATATTTCTACATGTACATGAATTGTGTATTTTTATATTTGTTGCATACATGTCTGTACTGTCTTAAAAGTTAGCTTGATATTAGTTTTATAGTTTATTGGTTTGGTAACAAATACAGAAAAAAATAAACAATTTTGTTTACATGTGACCAGTAGTCAGTTTAATTTAGCTTTACTTTTTTTTTATTTCTTGCATTTGACATACCAATACATGCATTTTACTTTGGGTTAATTAGCACATGACCGTCAACCTATTTTTTTGCTTTGATGACATATGAATAGTTTTCTGTTTAAAAACAAAAAAAGTTTGATAATAAAAGAGGAGGATGGTAATGATGCTTGAGTTGCAATCGTTGATGGCAGCAACAAATTTGTTATAAACTTTTAATTTTTCCACTGCCACTTTCTTTCTCTATGCCCTTAATGTCTTTGTATACCATGTAAACATTTTTGGTGGCATTCTTTGAATTGTGACTGTAGTTCATCTATATCCCGATGATTCTCTTATTTCCTGATGGTTTAATACAGGAGCCATCTGATTCCTTTACGGGCAAACGGTTAAAATGAGATGGAATTGGTAATGTCTTACCACCATAATTTAATTATAACATACTCTTTGTCACTTTGTAGCGACCTACTTCATGACATACCACACCACCATGAGGAATTCCTCCACCTTTATTGATGCCTTGAAGATGTCGAGAGAGGTGTCGGCCAATATCACAGCCATGATCAACATTACAGACAACCCAGAGTTTGACGTCTTCCCGTACAGGTAATTACATGAAGGAGAAATCTCTACTTTTTGATAAATCACTTTTTTTTTGATAAATCACTAATTTTTGATGAATCACTAATTTTTGATAAATTATTAATTTTTGATGAATCATTAATTTATAATAGTTTACTTTCAGGCATTTTATATATTAATTTGAGGTGCCAAATAATAGCTAGTTGAAAACTGAGCAAGAAAATAGAGTAATTCAAGTCAGGATCTTAACTGGTGTTGGGCGGAGGCAAATTGGACACACTTATTCTCTTATTGTGTACCATCATTCAAATCTCGTAACATTTCAGTGTTTTATAATTTATGAATTAATGCCTGATTTACAAGGTATAAAACAATTCATAAAACCTTTAATCCCAATGTTTCCGCTGCAGTATCTTCTACGTCTACTACGAGCAGTACCTGACCATCGTCCACGAGACCCAAGTCTCTCTGGGCATCGTCCTGGGAGCGGTGTTCTGCGTGACCTTCGTCCTCTTGGGCTTTGACTTCTTCGGTGCGTTCATCAGCACCTTGACCATTGCCATGATCACCGCCGACATGATGGCCATGATGTACCTCTGGGGCATTGACCTCAACGCCATCTCCTTGGTCAACCTCATTATGGTGAGTCACTCTCTCACTCTCTCTCTCTCTCGTTGGCTCTGTTTCTCCTCGTCACTTTCTCGTCATCTTTTTCTATCTATTAATTTTGTTTTCTCCTCGTCACTTGCTTTCTCTCTGTCAAGTTCTTTCCTTATAATTTCTCTCACTGTTTTTTTTTCTTCTTGCAGTCACTTTCTCTTTTGCTCTCTCTCTCTCTTTCTGTCACTTTCTCTTTTTCTTCTCTCTTTTACTTTTTCTCTGTCACTTGCAGTCAGTTCCCCTTTTCCTCTCTCTTTCTCTCTCTCTGTCACTTTCTCTTTTTCTTCTCTCTTTCACTTTCTCTCTGTCACTTTCCCTCCCTATCATTTTCTCTTGCTCTCCCTTTTTGGAGGCAATCAATTTCTCTCTATCTCTCTCTCTCTCTTTCACTTTCATTTTTTCTTCAGTTCCTTTCACTTTTTGACTCTTCTCTGTTCACCTTCTCTCTTTCTCTAGCTATCTCCTCCTTTCCTGTCTTTCTCTTTCTGTCCGTCTTTTTCTGTTTCTTAGTCTGATTTGACTTTCTCAGGGGTAGCCTTCATTGAAGTATTTTAGTAGTTGGACCAGTGATCTGTATGTCAGAATGGTGGAGGGACCATAGTCGAGGCTAAAGAGAGTTTCAAGGCTTAAAATGGTACTTCATCGATTACAAATTTGCACTTATTGAGCTAATTACTTCTGTACACCATTTTCAAAGAATGTGTTGCATAAGCTGCAACTTGCACTGTGGCAATCATTTTAAAGTTTGTTCAGCTCTCAGATGTGCTATCCTTCATGCCATATTTTGTACGTTTGATTTTCAGTCTGTTGGTATCTCTGTGGAGTTCTGTTCACATATCGTCAAGGCTTTCACTCTCAGTACCGCGATGACCCGGTTAGAGCGTGCTCAGGATGCACTAGCTCATGTAGGAAGTTCGGTAAGTACCCCTTTCTATTCCAACACATCAGGCAGGGCCATTATTTTTATCCTAATTTGTTGCTGTATAGCCTACTTCTATTTCTCATTGCTGTCACAGTGCTTCAGTATCTAGAATTATATTTCACAAGAATGTACTTCATGTAAAGATATTGCTTACAATGTTGTTTTGTTGGAGTCATGCATTGAGAATTAAATGAAACAAAGTAAAACAAAGTAAAACACAAAATGGAGTCATATTTACAGTTCATGTACACACAATATATAGTGTAGGTGATGAACTTCTGCACTAGATCATAAACTGCTGTACAAGATATTATTCCATGGAATAATTTTAGCTTATATTCTCACCTCTTGGAATTTTCCAAGGGATGCTTGCCCCTAGACCCTGTACCTCCCTGCTTCAGTTTTTCTCTGTTACATATCCATATGGTACAGGGAAACCTGTAGAATAAGGACCACTCAAGGGAATCATGAAAAGTAGTCTTTATAGGCAGGTGACCTTTATGTACTGCAGGGGCGGATCTAGAGGGGGGGTTGGGAGGGTTGCAACCCCCCAAAAAAAAAAAATCCGGGGACCATTTTTTTAAATCTTATCTTTTTTTTAAAACTTGTAATTTTATTTTATTCTATTTCTATGTATTTATTTCATTTATTATTATTATTATTATTATTATTATTATGCCTCCGCCACCGAAGGTGGTGCCGGAGGCATCATGTTTTCGGGTTGTCCGTCCGTACGTCCGTACGTCCATACGTCCGTCCGTACGTCTGTACGTCCGTCCCGTTTGACCGTTATCACAATATCTCAAGAACCATTTAAGATTTAAACTTAAGACTCGGGAATAGTATTTATCACCATAGGAAGACGATCTGATTAGATTTTGGAGTACGTAGGTCAAAGGTCACAGGTCACAGAGGTCAACTTATGAAATTCCTTGTATTGAGTTTGTTAGCGCGATATCTCAAGAACCATTTGAGATTTAAACTTCAAACTTTAGGATAGTATGTATCACCATAGGAAGATGATCTGATTAGATTTTGGAGCACGTATGTCAAAGGTCAAGGGTCACAGAGGTCAACTTATGAAATTCCATACATTGAGATTGTTATCATGATATCTCAAGAACCACTGGAGATTTAAACTTCAAACTTAGTGATAGTGTGTATCACTATAGGAAAACAATCTGATTACATTTTGGAGCACGTAGGTCACAGGTCAAGGGTCAAAGAGGTCAACTTATGAAATTCCATACATTGAGATTGTTATCATGATATCTCAAGAACCACTGGAGATGTAAAAACTTCAAACTTAAGGATAGTATGTATCACCATAGGAAGACGATCTGATTAGATTTTGGAGCACGTAGGTCAAAGGTCAAGGGTCACAGAGGTCAACTTATGAAATTCCATACATTGAGATTGTTATAATATCTCAAGAACCACTGGAGATTTAAACTTCAAACTTAATGATAGTGTGTATCACTATAGGAAGACAATCTGATTAGATTTTGGAGCACGTAGGTCAAAGGTCAAGGGTCACAGAGGTCAACTTATGAAATTCCATACATTGAGATCGTTATCGGGATATCTCAAGAACCACTGGAGAATTTTCACTTCAAACTTAATGATAGTATGTATCACCGTATCATAATATCTCAAGAACCACTGGAGATTTAAACTTCAAACTTAATGATAGTGTGTATCACCATAGGAAGACAATCTGATTAGATTTTGGAGCACGTAGGTCAAAGGTCAAGGGTCACAGAGGTCAACTTATGAAATTCCATACATTGAGATTGTTATCATGATATCTCAAGAACCACTGGAGATTTAAACTCCAAACTTGTTTAAATTGCTCTATGGCGGAGGCATCATTTTCGACTGCGCGCAGTCAAAATTCCATCTAGTTTCTTTTTGGGGGGAGGGGGGGGGGGGGGTTGGGCGAACAAATGTCACAGAGTCCCTTGCCCCCCCCCCCCCATCAGCTTTTTTGAGGACACGGGCCACCGCCGAAATGACAAGCTAGGCCAGCGTTGCCGATTCTCATCCCCAAAATCCCCACATTAAAAAAAAATTTAAAAAAAAGGGAAAAAAAAGAAAAAAAGAAAGAAAAAAGAACGCACGCTGGAGAGAAACCCTTTCAAGTGCAAATATTGTGAGAAGATATTCAACTCATCTGGTAACTTAACCAAACACATTATAACTCTGGATATAACTGTGTATTTAACTGTTACTTGATTTAAAAAGACGTTATCATGCACTGCTTTTTATGGTCTCCATTGTGTTAATAGATGCCAGGAAAACATCACTTACGGGGTTCAAATAAACACCCCAAAAAAATCGGCCCCCCCCTGAGCAAAAAGCTAGATCCGCCCCTGTACTGGTTCCTTAAAGCCTGTCTGCACTAGTTTGGCCAGGGGGGATTAGACCTCCCTGCAAGGTCACTGCCAGGTGGTTATCTCATCAAATCAGCTCTCAATTAACATAGAAAAAGGAGATCATGGGGGACCAACAGGCACCGATTAGGCATTGTTTGCTGTATAGAGGGTGTAAGAAGCTATAAGTATTGCAGTGGGGCTTTGAACACTGGATATTCAATGTTTTGCTCTTGAAGTTGATATATTTGCAGACTTTCTATTAAAAATTAAGTTTTAGAATTCCTGTTATTCTTCCTTAAAGAAAAGGCCTGTAATGGTCATGCAATTTCATTGTGAAAGAAACGTTGTGGAATCGATCAGAAAAGGTTGATCATCTACAAGGTTGATCAAGTGCAAGTTTTTTTTCAGAGAAAATTTATCCTAGGGAATCATGAAATGTGGTCTTTACAGACAGGTGGTCTTTCTGTACAGGTGGTCACTTTATTACCAGGTTTGACTATAATTGTTTTCTTCTTCCCTTTTCCACCAGGTGTTTAGTGGTATCACGCTGACCAAGGCCTTTGGTATCATCATCCTAGCATTCTCTCACTCTCAACTCTTCAAGGTGTATTACTTCAGGATGTACCTCGGGATGGTTGTCTTTGGGGCCACCCATGGACTCATCTTTCTACCAGTACTCCTCAGTTATATAGGTAAGTCCTGTCTTTAATAAAGGGCCTTCCAAACACGAGGAAGGAAAAATCATGTGGAGAATTGTTTTTATAAAGAAACATATAAAGATATAGACACATATAAACACACCATGCCGGTGTAGCAAAAGTGATTCTACAATTTGTGAAATAAAATAGAAAAGGGAAAAAAAGAGCAGTTTAAGCACTTGACTTGAAATTTGAAGGTCGTGGTTCGATCCCCGACATGGCACTTATGTCCTTTGGTATTTGGTAAGACGCTAATCTACATTTGCCACTCTCCACCCAGGTGTTAAATGGTTACCCGGTGCGAAAGAAATGTGGTTGGATGAGCAAGTGGCACTTGTAAAATGGCAACTGGCCGAAATGCTCCCCAGGGAGTGGAGAATGTGCATACATTGTGTATGCATAATTCGTTGACCGGGGTAATGATATGTACTGCGCCTAGAAACAAAGTATTAGTCGCATTATAAATGTGAGCTATTGTTATTATTGTCATTCATTTAATAATTCCTGACAGGTCCCGGTGTGAACAAGGCACGTATCTTGGAAGAGCAGGAGCAGGCCAGAGGTGGAAGGCGAGGTGCGGACAACGAGCACCTCATCCCCGCTCGGGATTCCCAAGGATTCTTCTATGCGTGATGACATCATCAAAATAGAAAACTGCCTTCTTTTTTTTACATGATGCTATGGGAATGCAAACCAGTTATTTAAATTGAGGAGTGATATATATATATATATATATATGTATGTAATCTGTGTATATTAATATGATGTAATGCCAAGATGAAATATCTTCTGCAATCGTAGTTGTGATTTTTACATGTCATGCACTGTTATACCCCACCATACTGCCCAAAGGTAATTTTGTGTTTGGTCTGTTCTCGGTCTTAGCTTTTTTCTATCCTATTTAAATGTTATGCTTGCTGTTTGTCTGTTGTGTTTTTTTAGCTTACCAGATTGAAGCAAGTATCTTGTACTAGTTCATTATCATAGTCTGATTATAACGCCTTATATACGTACATGTATGTCACTGTAAGATGTGCTCAAAGCCTGCAGTTATACTGATTAGTGTAAACTCTGATAGCATTGTGATATTTCTTGTGTTGCATATTTGGATCAATTCAACTAAGATATGATACCCTTTACCTAATTTATGGAAAGAAGTTTTAATGTTGATTCTTATACAGTAGGCTTGCGGGTGCACCATGTGAGAAAGAGGGAGGATTGAGGAGTCCTGAAAAGGACTCTCGGTTATCTTTTTTGAGGGTGTGTAGTCCTGTAAAGGACTGTTGGTATAGTCTTCAAAAAGACTGTTGGTTATCTTTCTTAGCTTATAGTTCTAAGGAGAGCTATAGCGCTTGGAGAGGATGAGTGACGGGAGTGGCTCGACGTTTCGAACAGGTTGACTATCCGTCGTCACATGGTGCACCCGCAAGCCTACTGCATCATCTACATGTACATCACCATGCAAGCCGATACTTACAAGCAGCATCTAATGTTGAATCTGTCGAACAGACACAGAATATTGTCTCTGTATTATACTTTGTAGTGTACGAGGTAATGCCCTTCTGGCTCTCAGCAGACTGTATGCTTCATATATGTGTACATGTAAGGGGGTCATGCGCTTGCCAAATGATTAGATGCAGAGAGGCGTTCTGCAAATTTACATGTTCCTGTAAGGTTAGATGAGTGATATTCACTCGTGCGGTCCCTTTTCCAAAAATGAATAACACGGATTTCAACAAAACGCATTGTAACAATGTGCACATTGAAAATTGGAGGTATGGAATATAAAATTTCTTAAGTGCTTCTCTTGTTGCTTCCGTAGAGATGTTACCTATTTTACCCGTTTATATTTGCTATTATGGCGATATTAGATGACAAATGAGATGAATATTGCTTTGATCATAGCATTATTGATTAAAAAGATCAGAAATTTGGACATCTATCATTTCTGTACATACTTTCAGACAGCACCATGTATCGCCATGTTTTCAAATGAATTATTAAAATAGTTGTCACGCTTTTCTTAAAGCTGATGTTCATTCAGATTGCTGATTGATAATTTTGATTCTAAATTCTTCTTTTGAAGAAGATAAAAAGAAAAGGCTCTGTGACTGTGTGTATGCAAGTTTTGTAGTATTAGGAAGTTCTCTGACACAAAGTAAATACAGTATTCTAAAATACAGGTCTAAGTTTAGCTGATTCTTTTTAGTTTTGTACCATTTTTTCCTTCTAACTAACAATAGAATATCCTATTTTCTATTCTCATGCAATGTTTTGATTTGTACGGTTTAGACATACCGGTATCTGATTTGCTTCACATGTTATATATTCCATATAAAGCAAAAAGGTAAAACTCTTTAAACAGTTTCAAAGAATTGTGGTTTGTAAAGGAATTAACTATGTAACAAATCTATTTACACACCATCAGAGCCAAAATCATTTCTTTTGTCTTTTGTATCTAGGATTATACATCGGAAATTTGAAATGACTGTAACTTGGTATGAACATCATCTATTCCAGTTTCTTTAACCATGTCCCCATCTTGCTTTCTCTCTCTCTCTCTCTCTCTCTCTCTCCCTGTCTCGCTCTCTCTCTCTCCCTGTCTCGCTCTCTCTCTCTCTCTCTCGTTTGCCCTCATCCTCTTTCTGCGTAACACCAAGTTAATATACTTTTATCATGCTGTTACCGAAATTGATATCTTCTTTATCTCATTGGCTGTATTTTGTTTCATATAGCACTTGATAACATTTTCCTTCAAACAAATATCAAACCATTTGGAACAGTTACCATGAATATTTGTATGTGAATAGGAGAAGAAGGCACTTTTAGTAATTTAGGGTAGAGGGTAATTCTTGGCTTTGTATTGATATATTGCACCGTGTCTATTCTGTTTTAAATTATAAAAGCATTCATGGAATGAAAAATGATAATCTTAATGTGCAATGCACTGTGTATCAGGAGGTTTTTAAAGGATTTTTTAAAGATAAAAATTACCAGATGTTAATGAGTTATGCCTTATCTAATGCCATTGAAGAGAAAAAAGTCCTTTGATGTTTTGAAAATGAAAGTCTACATTCCTACTTTGAACGGTGCCATTTTTCTCTTCATATACACATATTTTCGCAGACTTGTGTAATTAGATTTTTAATACCGTTATTGAAAAATGTGAATAGAGAGTGTTTTTTTTAATGCTTTTGTTTTTGTTCTATTTGTTCTTTATTTCCCCAGCCATACATGTGCACGTACCAATCGGTTTCAATTTACTATTTCATGTATTTATTTATTTAGCCTGACAGTTAAAGTGAACAAATTCTGCGAGATGTCACAATAACTGAAGTATGAAGTCGGCTATAGAAGGTGTATATGATGTGTGTTCAATGAGAATTTCAAGGGAAAGACTTTACTCATAATAAGTCTACTCTTAATGAGAGAGTTTACTTCTTAATAAGCTTGAACTGGAAGAAGTGAAGTCATTGTGCCAGTCAACCTACGAAATGCAGTGATTTGATTGTCACTTCAATACTGCTGGGCTAAAAAGCATTAATTGTACAAGTAGATTCTTCTTCATTCTTTAGGCTCACACGGATGCACTATAACATGGAAACATTAAATGACTTGATTGAGTATTTCACCTGTTGCTCTTCACTGACAGTTGTCTACGCAAAGATGCGGGGTAATTTTAATTACAACAGGGCATGATGGAAAAATAAGTACAATTATGACTACCTGCATATCATGTCAACACAAAACATTGAATATTAAGTGTAGGTTGATGGGGTCCTGGGGCATGTTCTAATAACCATCAGTTTTACTGTTGAATCAAATATATATTGTGATCACACGTTATGAGTGACTTCACCAATATCTAAGTCATAGATAGATCTCTGCGTACACGTAATATATGCTGTCTGTGCCATTGGAAAGTATATATTTTAAACTTGTTTTTGTCATGACAGTTGGAAACTTTTTACCTACCGGTACATGAATTTGGTTTTCAGAATATTGCCCCATGTTTTTAATTGTACTTCAAATAAAATTGTCCAAGAAGGGTCTCTTCTATTATGTGTAAGGCAAGAAGAAAGTTATTTCAAAGTGAACTATTTATTAAAGATTCTTTGTGTGATGTTAGTGTTTCCAAGCATTTTTGAAACATGACAAATATAAGTAGACTGATCAGTACCATATAATAATGTTTATATAAATCCCTGCTTACCTGTATGTACTTGTGAGCTGTAGTTGTACAAAATGGAGTGATTTCTTAAGTGAAGTGAATGTTGTATATCATGCTTTTGATTTCGAAAGAATAAAATGTTTATTAATATTACACATGATGCTTACTTGTTTGCTCTGTTATCTGTCTTTCAATTGTTTTTGCCTCATATTTTTATGGTTGCATTTTTAAAGATAAACTTGAGTTCTGGTAACAAAAAGAAAATAGAATCTCACAGAATCAAACGAAACTTACACTGAATGTTCAAGATTACAAATAAATGTCATTTGCTAAACAATTTCGGTAGAAAATGTATACTGGCTGAGTAATGAGCATAGAAAGAAAAGGAAATCAAGGTGTACTAACCCCTACACCATTTGTGTAGTCCCATATGCACCTTTCTGTGTATAATGTATGTAACTTTACCAAGACTGGGCCACATTTCTTATCATTTTGATGATTCCAGAACCTTGCAGTACACACCAATACTTGTATGCTAGATGATCAACCTTTTCTGATCAATTCCACACCGTTTCTTTCACAATGCAATCGCATGACGAGTACTCAACTTTATCTTTAATTGCATGTGGAACTTTGCAATGGAATGCGAAAACTGTTCCTAGAGGTATGAAAACAGGGTTTGGCACACGCACAGTGCCCCCATTTGTTCAGGTACCCCTAAATGCCCCTTTGTACATAGGAAAAGTGCCCCCTTTTAATTTGTAAAAAGAACCCCTTATCCTTGAAATAAGTGCCCCACATTTTTTTTCATAATTCCTATCATTTTTCTTTTCCCCTTATAAATTCCCCTTTGAAAATCTGATAAGTGTCACTTTTCCTTTTGTGATAATTGTACCTTCCACTTTTGATTAGTGCTTCTTTTAATCTGTGTTGAGTGCCCCTTTTCTTTTCTAATAAGTGCCTTTTATTATTTTGCTAAATTCCCCCTTTTCACTTCTGCCAAATGACCGTATTAAAATCTAATAGGGGCCTCTTTTCCATATTCAAAAGTGCCCTTTTCATCACTGGTGAGTATCCCTTTTCAGATGCGAGAAGTGCCCCATTTTCACCTCTGATAATTGCCTTTTTTACTTTGACAAGTGCGCCTTTTGTTTTCTTACAAGTGTTTGTTTCCCTTCTGATAAGTGCCCCCTTTTCCATTTTCTATAACATGCGCCCCTAATTTAAAGCGTCTTAAGACCCCTTTGTCATTCATTTTATCCCGAAGCTCACCCACTATAATCCCTTGCAATTATGGTTGATAACGTTACGATATGTCTCTTTAATCCTTCATGATTAAATTGTGCTAAAAACTGAGGATTTGTTTTTCATCCTCTTTATAATTTTTCGCACTGCGTCCTCACAAATCTTAGAATTTTTGTTTGCTTGCTTCGCTAGCTCAGAAATTAATAAAAACGACCATCTCACCCAACTACAAAGCAATACGGCTTATGTAAGCAGTATCTTAGACCATGTAGAGAATGGGTGTCGATCCTTACATAATACCTATTGTTCAGGGGGGATGAATGAATAGATCATTCCCCCCCCCCCCCCCCTGAACAATAGGTATCAATTACAGATCGACACCCATGATGTCGAGAGAGATACAAATATTGGTATAATGATGATCATTCACAGCATTTGTATGGCGCCATATATCTGTTTCAAAAAAATATTCAAAGGCGCATCATCCCTGATAATATAAATAATCACATAAACAATCATTACAATGTAGGGGTCTATATACCAATGTCTGAAAATTGTATATGTTCGCTTGTAGGTTTCCCTTTGTAGGCGCCCCCATTTTTTTTCTTTTTCTTTTTTACAGAGAGTGCTCTCTTTTTTGTTGGTGCCCCCCCCCCCCCTGGAGGAAGCTCCGCTGCCCTTCATCACCATCATCATCACCATCATCATCTCTGCTAATCAAGGAGGCAAATACATTGTTCCTAGTGTAGCTTTTTCAGTATCCTTCGTGATGGTAGAAAGAAACCAAAACTAGCCTGCTTTAGCGCTGGATGGCTCATAGTTTAGAATAGTCTATTAATGAATGGGTATGCTATTTTGCAGATAAAAGTTTCATGCTAAAATACTTAGTATCGTTAAACAGATTTTTCTCCAACATTTTATCTAGTTATAGATTTTTTTTAATTACAACGTTTATCATACAAGCTGTTTGTAATTTTTGAATTATTTTCATAATATATTGATGAAGATAGATGCTAAACCCTCTATCAATTAATAATAAACTCATCCAAAAAATCGTAGACAACATTGATGACCTCGACGTGACTGGAGCACTTCTGGCGATTGCGAATTGCGGCGGGATTCAGGTAAGATTTTCACTTATTTCTCCTTTTTTATATAGTTTATCATTCCACTGTGCTCTTCTTTATATATTTGGTTGAGATGGTCTACTATTTTTGATTGAAATAAGAGTGTTTGCTCATAAATCTCACTCTTCATTCGGATGAATAGTGTTTACATATTTTTTGCCGTCGAACTGGTTTCTACCAACGCTTCCCGGGACGTCCGACGGCCAACCAAAATCTAAGCCTGAACTGTCCCGATGAGATTATGTGCCGTACCGCTAGCGCTCGCTCTGTTCGGTCTCGGATTATTCTCATTTTGTATTCACGGTACATACATGGTAGTGATATTGCAGTCGAGTGTGAGGTTCCTCCGTCCGCATCTGGCTTGATGTGAATAGTGAATTGACCCAAGAGGCAAGACTGACCGTCTGAGTTCTATTCAGATTTTTGTATCCGAATCATTCATATCTGTTAATGCTAATACTAGATCTAGATCTAGAAATAAATAATCCCTTTTTGAGTGTAGATCTAGACTTAGGCCTACATTGTAGACCGAAAGCTTCAGTCTCTGACTGAGTTAGACCGAATTTTCCGTCTCTTTCTGTGCGCCATCTACACGTTCGTAATGGCGTTATCACAGTTTTTCCTTCATAATCATTTTGCCTTCGGCGTAAGGGATGAGATTGATTTAGATGACTCCGGCAGCGAGAGTTTAACACGGCTTGCAAGATTTTTAACATGGATGTCGATTTTGACCCATAATTTCCTTAAAAGGGACCATTAAACGGATTATTTCAGTCAAGTTGGTAAGTGGAACTGAATTATTATAGCCTAGGCCTAATTTACAATATAACATGCACGAGGTAAAATGACATTTTGGGGGATTTTGGGGGCAAAACGCTACGACCTGAAATGGCCGTGGCGTTATCAAGGGAATGTGTATAGACGGTTTCCGTCTCTAAAGAGAGAGCCGGCCGACCCTACCCCAATAAGAGGCTAACGAACGAAAGAGACGGAAAATTCGGTCTATGACTGAGTCTGATAATATCGACGGTGGTCCCGCTGAGATTGCATCTGGCTCCACTGACCGCCTCTGGAATGTCAACAAATGTCAGTTTTATAAAAGAAATGACCCATATCAGACGGTTATTTCTGTCTAATCTAGACTAGGCCTAGACCGAAAATTTCTGTCTCTTTCGTTCGTTAGCCTCTGATTTGGGTAGGGTTGGCTCCTCTCTTTAGAGCGGAGCCGACCCTACCCAAATCGGAGGCTAACGAACGAAAGAGACAGAAATTTTTGGTCTAGACTAGACCTAACTGCAAAACTTATGCAGTAACAAGGATTGCACAAGTAAAACTTCAGTTTTGCCAAAAATGCAATTCTTCCTCGATTCTCGACTCCTTCCCCGACATGCCCAAACTTATCAATATCAGAAATGGTAAGGCTAACTAAGGGCCCATCCATGTAGAGTAAAATACATCTAATTTGGGAATGCATGATGTAGGCTAGATCTAGTATGTTGTAGGCATTGTCATTGTCATGAACTGATGAACACAGATCTTTTCTTTTTAATCTTTATCATCTTGAATTGTGCAATTTAAAAATCTATGGCTATTCTAGCCTACACTGCAAATAATATTTGTGAAATTATGTAATTCATGTGATTTATCGAGCAAGGCCAAGGGAACAGCATCTTCCTCTCTACTCATTCTTCTGCAATAACAATATGGACATGATCTAAGGCTATAAAGCTACAAAGCATCTTTTATTATTTATTTATTTTCCAACACTATGTTTGCATGTTCTATTTTTGTTGTAAATATTTAAATATGTCTTCTTTTCAGAGCCTGAACGAATCGATGATGCAAACTTTCTAATCTTGAAGGAGCATAGTGGAAGTCGATCCTTACGATCCTACCATTACAAGAAAAGGGACAAGAAAACAGGATGTACATGGCACTGAATACCTGCTCATTTGGAAATAAATTCAAAACCATGCAAGGAATCGAATTGGACGATTGCTTGTTACAGCAGTGAAAACATACTTCTCTAACAATAATTATAAGTGGCCAAGAATTCAAGAAGTTTATCCTGCAAGAAACAAAATGGATGACAGCAGTACGGCGAGTAAAGGCCGGTGCTGCAGATGTTCGGTCACCACCTGTCGGTGCATCGTGGCAGAATTCTTCTGTATGTTTCTCTTCATGTTTATCGCTGGAACGACAGATCTTGCATGGGCAGATCGTCCACCTACATCAGAATTACAGGTGGCATTGACCCTTGGTTTCGCAGGTAAGTTCTTTAAAATGATCACTGTGATACAAGCATGTTTAATATTTTTAAAGGTTGTGTATTACAGCTTAAAAATTTGATTCTCTGACTTTTTTGTATAAATTAAGGCCAACTTTTTTTTTTTTTTAATGTTTCTCCTAAGTATTAGTAGATATAGAAAAGGCACAGAAGAATGTCAGTGAAAGTGCAGACAATGAATTAGAAAAAATAGAAAGTTACCCCCAAAACAGACAAATGCAACTGCGCCTCCAATATATGCCTACACCTACTAGGCTACTACTCACTCCTAAATCTATGAAGATTGTCTTCCTATGGTGATACATACGATAATCTCACAAAGTTTGGAGTTCATACATGTACGTCAACTCAAGTCAATTGCAGTAAGTTGAGATCACTAATAGTACTTGTATTAGGAAACTCCAATTGGTAATTCATGCTGTCATCGGGAACACCTCCCATTTTAGTTTACACATCATGACATTATTCACATTATTTTAAATATTTTATTTATGCCTCCACCCACCCATCGAAGTTGGTGTGCAGGAGGTATTATGTCTGTTCGTCCATCCGTCCGTCCCACTTTCTGGTTATTGCAGTAATTTTAAAAACCACTTTAGTTGACGTATGAACTTAAAATTTGTGACAGTATCACTATAGGAAGACAATCTTATTAGAGTTTGGAGTGAGTAGTAGGCGGAGGCATATTGGAGACGCAATTGTATTTGTCTGTTTTTTTTGTTCAGGATACATTATGGATATTGATGGTAAGAGATAAATAAAGGTTTCTCCTCCCATTGACTACAGTATGCATCTAATTTACACATATACTGTATGTATGACTGCCGTGTAGGAGATTCTCCCCTTTCGACTTTTAACATTTTTCATAATCTTCCCTTTGATTTTTCTTTTTCTGAAACTATTTTGTTTCTCCAAGTTTCCAGATTACAACAAGCCCTTTTTCTATTTAAAGTGTATGAATTCCTCAAAAATCCTCGCTCTTTAGATTGAGGGATATTCACAAACTCTATACATGTACATGTGCATATACTTTGAATGATATATTTTGTATAAAATATATGCTTCCTCCATGGTCTCTACATTTTAAACATGAACAAAAGATGATTTATTAATACAATGCATACATTAGTGGGGAAGTTTATTTTACTTAAAGAATGTTATTGTTCTCTCCTATTTCATCAGTCACAACATTGACGCAGTGCTTCGATGCAATCAGTGGTTCGCATCTCAACCCGGTGGTGACTATGGGCTTCATCATAACCAGACAGGTTGGTCTAATCAAAGGAATTGTCTTCCTGGCTGTTCAGTTCACTGGAGCTTTTACCGCTTGTCTTCTACTACAAGGGTAAGAATCGCCGGTTTTATATTTTTGCGAATTGTCTGTTACCCAATTAGAATTAGTCTATGGTCTACACCCAGTCTGTCCACTAACCATGTGGTCTAAAAAATGAATTTCTTCTACTTATCATTTGGTCTAATGACATTTTGGCTAATAGCCTTTTGGTCTAATCTCCATTAAATCTACTACCCATTTGGTCTAATGACATTTAGGCTAATAACTATTCATAAGGTCTAATAACCATTTGATTATTATCACTATTAGGTTAGGGCTGCGACGTGTAGTCAAATGCTCGAGTACCCGCACGGTTGACAACTACTCAGGTACGATTTCTCGTATCCGAATATTCGGCAAAAAAAAAAAAAAAAAAAAAAATCTATCCAAGCCGACGCTTACCCGTGCCTGGGTGAGCGGCGGCCGCTGGCATGGTGCCGTCGGTAAAAATGTTTCCCAACTCAAGCACTGTCAGACTCACCACTCAGAAACTGGAACCAAATGTCTGGATTTCTGTTTGGACTTGTACAGTAGGAAAATGGATTATTCTGCCATCTTTGGTTTTTAAAACAGCATTGTTTACTATTATTATTATTATTAAATCGGCGCCTTCAACTGCAATTCGAAGTAAAATTGCATGTGTTTTCGGCGACAGAACTGGGATACTGCTCCAAAGGTATGGTGGTGGCAAAACAAACAAAAAATTAAAAAAAAATAAATAAAAAAAAAATAAAAAATAAAAAATAAAAAAAATTATAAAAAATTATTCGCTTGTAAGCCTGGGAGTGTACTCAGGTACCTCATTACACTGTTGTTCATAGCCTTAATCACTATGATTGAATGATTATTAATATTAATCCATAATAAGGGGCATTAGACAAACTGGAAATTAGACCGACTAGATATTGGACTAGGTGAGCAATAGACCAAATGGGTAGTAGATTTATTTGAGATAAGACCAAATGAATATGAGCCAAAGTGGTCATTTAACCAATGATAAAATAGACCATGGTATGAGGATAGTACAATGTACTGTACATGTAGGTAGGCTAGAGCTTGGGTGTAGAACAAACAGCAATAAAACAATATTTTTGTATTTTAATCCTGCTTAATCTTTCCTTCTGCTCTCGCCCTTATCTATGATTTTTCTCTGTGTTGAAAATGTGTCCTGTTACAACTTACAAATATTCTTTCTATCTCTCTCCTTAATACCTTATGGGTACTGTATTCAGTTTTTACATTTCTTCTGGTAAACTTACGCTCTTTTTCTCTCCCTATTTATACCGTTGCCATCCCTCATTCTCTTTAAATATAGTATTTATTTCAGTCACTTGCTTTCAGTTTCATTGTCTGGGATCTTGATGCATTGCATTACATATATGTGAAACAAACATGTGATAGTCAAACTAGTTTTATAGTATATTTGGCGAGAAATGAGGCAGATGGCATTTTGAAAAAGATATCCTGGAAACAGATTGAATGCGTAATGTACAGTTGTGCTCATAAAATGCAAGCACAGTGTGATACATGTACATGTACGTGTACATGTACCGTAGTTAAAACTGTTGAATATTTGAAACAAATATGCTTCGATGTTCTGTCTTGCTTCCTTCCTGTTAAAAATAAAGCCTAAACCATTGGAGATTTTTTTTTCTCAACTACTAAGAGCTGTAGTTACTGTATTTGACTCGCCCCCCCCCCCCCCCCCAACAAAAAAAGGCAAATTATAAGAGGGCCTTTGTTGATGTCATCGCTTTTTTTCTGCTGGTTTTCCCTGCAATCATTTATTTGTATGACCCCCCCCCCCCCCCCCCCCCCAGATATAAATCAGCTATTTATAAATAGTAAACATCCATGAAAGGAAGACAGTATATTGCCTGGGGTGGTGTTAAATCATTTTTTGAGGTGGGCCTGAAAGCTAAATGTTAGTCCAAAATTATTTTCCAACTAGCACTTTTGTGTGCATTTTATAGTCATGAACTTGACTGTGATACAATTTCAGCAATATTTGCAGAATTCCTGTAAATTTTGTGAAAGAGTTTATTGACCCATTACCTCGACATGTGTTCCTGATTTAGGGTTGTTCTAGAGTGCATTCCAAATCACCAGTGGCCTTCATGCGAAGGAGGGCTTGTGTAGTCTGCAGACACAAACTCTTTTCAGCTGAAATACATGTTTACGTTTATTTGGGTTTGAACGGTAAGACTATGGAAACTGACTCCATAGGCCCTGCACTGTGCATGTGTAGATCTACATGTATGCTCTGATGGTATAAAATGATACGGCCAGTCTAGAGACTGAAAAAATGTATACATATGTAGGCTACATGTACTGTAGCATCAAGGCTTGCGCTTGATGGCATTGTTTCAAGGGGTGAACAGAGAGTCTGTGACCCGAACTAAGGTCCACATGATTGAATCCTTTCAAAACTGTTGATGAAATGAATGTCATGTGTCAATAGACCTGTCCCCGAATTGCAAAATAACCCACTAATTTCAGACTTTGGATATTTTCCTGAAGCTCGAAATTGCGTCTTCACCAGACGGATACACTCATCACAAATTAGCTCACACGGGTACAAATTAGCCCACTATTTCCTGAATAGCGGGCTATTATGGAAACAAGGCCCAAGATTTCTTGGGATATTTTCACCCCCAAATAGCCTGCTAATTGCACCCTAGTGCTGATGAAGATGCAAATTAGCTGGCTATTTGAGATCGGGCTACAGTGTAGTTAAGATAGCGGGTTGTGAACTTCTGTCTGATATTTCTTGGGATATTTTCACCACCAAATAGCCTGCTAATTGCACCCTAGTGCTGATGAAGATGCAAATTAGCTGGCTATTTGAGATCGGGCTACAGTGTAGTTAAGATAGCGGGTTGTGAACTTCTGTCTGATGACGACAGGCCTAATGTACAAATCATGTTACATGTACATGTAGGAGACTAGAACCATGGACCAACTGCAAACCATGGTAGGACTTGAGGCTTGTACATGTATTGTACCCTGGAAAGAAAATATGGTCTCCATTTCATAAAACTTGTTGTCAATAACAAATTTCTATGACAAATTTGCTCTCAGCCAATCAAATGCCACGATGTCAGGAGCTTTAACTGTATTTGTAACTTCTAAGTTCTTATCGATCAAAGTTTTATTAAACAACATGACAAGTATTAAAACAAAGTTCTTGTATGTGCCCATGTCCTTTTTCTGTGGAATCGTCAGTGGACATATACTTTTCATTCGTGTCTGCCTTTTTTCCTCTTTATCTTTGAACCATATTGTGTGGGCTGATGAATACATCTTGCTATTACTAACAAAATTGATATAGACCTAATTTACAAGGAATTAAGCGTACTTGTAGGGGCCTATTAAGGAATTTTTGTTGTTAGGCTCCAAGCAATAAGGCGCCTAAGAACGGGACCCCTTCAAATTTAACAAGCACGTCACAGTTGGGGATACAGTCAAGAGGTCATACCCTCTCTGGCTTCCAGTAAAGCCAACATAATCTATTTATGCAGCCATATTGTAATCACTCCATCAATTATAAAACTCTTTAGGCACTTCAGCCATAGGTTGTTTTTCTGTAAGTAAACTTCAAAATATGGTCTCTCAACTCACAAGCCCATTGTACATGTACCAGGAATTTAACATCTGGTGCGTTGAAAAAGCTATTGATGCAATTTCTTCTAGAGTTCCAACAGACACGATCACATGCAAGTAATGAAACATTGATTTTTGTATCAAGTTCAAACAAAGATGATATGTATTATGATGAATTTACTGCCAATTTAGAAAATAACTGGTATAAAAATGAGACGGAAGTTTTCCTATTACCAGTACCAGTAAATGAACTTGTACTGTTGTAATGTTTCATGTTGCAATCTTTACTTTAGTATACCTGTACTTCTTCTATCACTTGTCCTGTGTCCTCTCTCTTTTCTACATGTTCATGTACGTTTTTCTTGGTTGTCTACTTTCTCAATTTTTATAATAACCCGGCAAAATATAAGAATAGCAGCCTGCATGTGCATGTACGCCTAGTGTACTGTACTACACAGCTTTGAAAACTCAAATTTGGCCATTCACAAATCTAAAGAAAACATCCCCCATAATGCTCACCTTGTTTTCGCTGCACTTTCTCCTCTGATTGCACTCTGACCCCGTGACCTTTTGTCTTTGAACTCTTCCCAATGTGTGAAAACACAACACGGTGTAATTGCCAGAGGGTTTTTTTTTTTTTTTTTCTTTTTCAATTTGATCATCTGAGAGCCAAACATAGAGCTTAATTTATATCACACAAAAATGTGAACTTTCCATTTTCCTCTCCCTCTCCTGGTGTTTCTAAAATTCTAAAATGTTCAGGGTGCTACAAAATTTCTTTGATTCCTCCTGCCAAAACCTGCAGGTAAATCATGAAATTGCTTAGGCTTGTACCAGTTGTAGTGCACTGGATTGTTGTTGCTACGTTGGGAAGGCTTCATAAGAATTCACAGTGATGGTGTGAAACATTTGGGTGATTTTATCCACAAAAAGTTCAAAATCTGCACCTAAATACATGTACATACCATTCAAACCTGCCCTTGTTTATTCGATAATCAACACTGAAATGGATAAGAGGGGGGGAAATTAGATATGAATCTGAAATAACAATCAAATTTGAAACGGCATGTGTTTTGGGTATTTCTGTATTGTGTCGCAGATGGCATGCAAATGTCCCAAATCGATTGGCATTGGAAACAAAAGAAACTATTTCTGAGTAAGCGACTGTGTCATGGTTAGTTGAACTTGCTCACAAATTGTTTATTTCAAATTATGTGGAAAAGTATATGACCATTTCTATTCAAATCTCTTTTTCCTCTCTCCCTCTCTCTGTTGCTCTATCTGTTCCTCTCTCTCTTTCTCCCTCTGTCTGTCTGTCTCTCTCCCCCCCCCCCCCCCCCTCTCTCTCTCTCTCTCTCTCTCTCTCTCTCTCCTCCCCCCCCCCCCTCCCTCCCTCCTCTCTCCTCCTC